AAAACACATAGTTGCCTTTGGGCACGACTTGGAGGACGAGCTGGACTGTATCTAGTGATAGCTATAGGCCTACGGCCCTCCACGCCATATACCCTTCGGGAGGTCTGCCGCAAGGGCGGCTGCGCCCTTGCCGCTACGGCGTTAAAATACAACAACAACAAATACTGCAACGGGAGTGTTATCGTACATCAGCAATAGGTGTGGAACAGATCTTCGTAAATAGCCAACGCCAGGAACTGGAATAGTTGCAGCATTGTTGGCAATGCCAAGAGGAACTTTTAATCACTTTGTGTCCATCCCCGCCACTCATAACGTTACAAGTCTTTGCGTCCTTCTCCCGGAATTACTCTTTAGATGGTTCGTTCGTTTTAGAGCCAGACGAAATTACAAAGCAAACAATGTAAAGTTATAATGTTTAACGTGGTTCATCAGTCAGCCGGACGTTTTTTTCTAAACACTTATATCCAAACCACTTAAACCTTTAACGCGTAAAATCTCAACAACCATAATGCCAATCTACACCCAAGAAGACAAATGTTACGACCCAACATGCACGACCAAGTCCAGGGCCTGCCCCGCAGGACCACGGCGACTACGGCACACCATAAGTGCACGAACTATGGTGGTGGTGGTGGTGGTGGTATATTTAACGTCTCGAGCGACGAGAGACGTGTTGGGCGCGATGCCGACATGGTCTATGCTAATCTAAATTATGTTACAGGGCTACGTCTTCACCTAACGCTCCTGTTCAAACCGCTCCATATTGAAGCAGATCTTCTCACCTGACCAGAATTCTCTTATCCGCCATCCTTTTCCCGGGTCGCTTCATCCACAAGAAAGGTAGTTCGGATAGTACTAGGAAAAATCACAAGGGGGAAAAACCTAGCACGGCCGGTCGTGGTGTGGTTCTACGCCTTTCTTCTCTCCACTTTGCATTGGAGCGAAGCAAGGAAGGCGTACAGCAAGTCAGCTCCTAGCCGATGGCGATACAGGAGCCCGCAACAAACGCTCTCCGTTACTGCCTGAACAAGTCAGGCTCTGGCGGGAGCGAAAGTGTTCAAGACCTTCCAGATAGAAGGTCTGGCACGAAGACAGAAAATAGCCTAACTGCTGTGCCGGGGCTTTGGTGCCTTGTTTGAGTGGTGGCCCGCACGCGGCGGGCACAGCGCGCCGCAGGCTAGCGGACGCGCGGATCGGCGAGGGCGAGAGTGACCTTCAAACCTTCTAAACCCTCGCCCTACTTCACTTTCGGGGGAGGTCTCGTCGTGTTTGGTGTTGTGAAAGGAATGAGGGGGAGGGTTGCTGTGGTGGTGTTGAGAGACGAGTCCGAAAGTGAAGACGGAAATAATAAGACCCGTTAGGGGTATGGGTCGAAGCCCTGCAAAAACCTAACAGTTCTTAACACTGGGTGCCAAGAAAAGGTTTTTACAGGAGAAGGTGCACGAACTATGGGAACAGATGCGTCACCCTACGGAACGGAAGAACTATGGTACAAGTCACGTGATGATAAGAGATATGATAAGGGATAAGGATATGTTGGATATTCGGCATATCCAACATATCCAGACAAAGTGGACTGTTCAGCACTGTTCAGTTAGGATCGGACTTGTATATAAGGATGGACTCGAGCTGGGCTCTAGGACAGACTTCCCATAGCTTCTTCAGCAATTAACTTCGTATCAGGATTAACATCCGCTTTCAGCTACTACCTTGACAAGACTACGATTGATCACCGAAGCCTTACCTACCCTTACGATTGACAGACATAGCTTCCCTGAAGCTATCCCCGACTACGATTACTGTTACCAGTTCCGCAGCCTCAACTTCTGCAAACTACCCCTACGACTAGCTGGCCGTAACACTTATCGAGGACGATAATAAAACCCCCCCTTTTTTTAGAAGAGAGAGATTATAACATAACGTGAATGATAAGCGAGTGAGACAGACAAGCGAGTGAGACACAAAACTGCGCCGATGATGCTTCAACACAAATGGAGACGTTTCTTCCACAACACATCATGGCATCCAGAAGTAATGAGTCAGGCATACAGCTGGCCCTTCAAGCTATCAGAATCAATCCAGAGCTTAGTGCACGGGCTGCAGCTACGATCTACTCGGTCAGCCATGCAACATTGAGTCGACGATTGAAGGGCTCTACATCTCGAAGCGACAGGATACCGAACTCGAGGAATCTTACTTTGCTAGAAGAGCAGACGTTAGTTGATCACATTCTCGATCTAGATGCCCGATCATTCCCTCCCCGGATCCGTGGTGTGGAAGAAATGGCTGATCGACTGCTTGCTGATCGCGACGCGCCTCCGGTTGGGAAGCGCTGGGCCTTAAACTTCGTCAAACGACAACCACAATTGCGGACGCGGTTTTTTCGGAGGTACGACTACAAGAGGGCCCAATGCGAGGATGCAGAGGCTATTCGCGGCTGGTTCGCTCTTGTGAAGAACACAATCGCGAAGTATGGTATCGATGAGTTTGATATCTACAACTTTGATGAGACTGGCTTTATGATGGGCCAGATTGCATCTGGCATGGTTGTCACAAGTACTGAAAGGCGTTCAAACACAAAAATGGCGCAGCCTGGTAATCGAGAATGGGTTACAGTGATTCAAGCCATCAACTCGCAAGGCTATAACGTCCCGCCGTACATCATCGTTGCAGGCCAATATCACCTCTCAACCTGGTATACAGAGTCAGGTTTCCCGGACGACTGGGTCATTGCGACGTCAGAAAACGGATGGACAACAAATGAAAGAGGCCTAGATTGGATCCAGCACTATGATCGTCATACGAAACCACGTTTGAGAGGCCAATATCGCCTCCTCGTCGTCGACGGGCACGAAAGTCACCACTCAACAGACTTTGAGCTATATTGCAAGGCAAACAAGATCGTTACACTTTGTATGCCGCCTCATTCGTCTCATCTACTCCAGCCCCTTGACGTTGGGTGCTTTGGTCCGCTAAAGACGGCGTATGGGCAACAAATTGAGGATAAGATGCGGCGGGGCGTAACCCACATCTCAAAGGAGGACTTCTTTCCTGCATATCGCAGCGCATTTAGTCAAGCGATGACTGAAAAAAACATCCAAGGGGGTTTTATAGGAGCTGGGCTTGTTCCTCTGAGTGCAGAAAGCGTCCTATCAAAGCTGGATATCCGGCTACACACTCCAACGCCTCCAGCATCACTACCACAGACACCTCCGCCTTGGGTTTCAAGGACACCAAACAACCCAGTAGAGGCAAGCTCTCAATCCAACTTTATTAAGAGTCGGATCACTCGTCACCAAAGCAGCTCCCCAACCTCTATTTGCGAGGCTGTTGAACGACTTTCTAAAGGTACAAGAGGCATCATGCACCAAGTAGCCTTACTTAGATCTGAGGTACAGATTCTTAGAGACGAGAATAACCAACTCAGTCGACGACGGAGAACTAAGAAAACACGCCTACAACATGGAGGAAGTCTTACTGTAGCTGACGCAGCAGATATACAGTCACAGAAAGATGTGACTGCGCAGGTTCAGGAGGAAATGCGTCGTACTAGTGGTCGCAAACTGAGGGCCGAGACAGGTCAGCGACGGTGTGGCGTTTGTGGTCACCCGGGACACAATTCACGAACGTGCCAGTTTATTGAAGAGATGTCTGAAGATGAGGATTATGAGTAGTTTGAATTGAATTGATGCTGTTGATGTTGATATGGAAGCCAGTTTATCTCATCGGCGCAGTTTTGTGTCTCACTCACTTGTCTGTCTCACTCGCTTATCATTCACGTTAACTAGAGTATATATCTATAATAAGTACGTACTTAAGGCCTACTTGTTACGGCCTAAACGATTGGTCCCGTCATGGCGTAGCTATATATGCAGAACAAGGGACAATGATGGCCGGAGTCATCATTATCGAAGCTTTTGCTTTGTGCCGCAGTTGGTTGCCTTGACCTGCTCGTAACACTACTTAGCCTAGATAAGATAGTTCCTATAGGAGCCATAGCTTTATAATTAAATAAGTAGATTATATAGTTACTACTTAAGTCCACGTATATTATGCTAGTTAAGCTACGCCGCCCGAGATCCCAACGTCTCGACGGCGCAAGTTATGGTCACGAGGGGATGATTTCACGTGGGTCAATTTGCCATGCACGGCATGTGATATCGGGCTACCACAATATGCCAAAGCTTCCATGGGTAAGTGGTGTGGAACAGAGACCAAACTTGATCTTGAGCTCATGTTCGCTAAAGAGTGGGATGTGTAGGGCATGTTGGATGTTTCAAAAAAAAAAATCTTGCCCGTCTGGAATAGGGAGATGAAGACTTCGATAGCAGGTTACAATGACATAACCTTGGAAGACTTTCACTGAAATGGGAGATTGAGATGGAAAAGATTAGATAAGATGGAAGACTGGTGGAAGGCTCGCCGAATGCACAAAATGCATGTGAAGAAGTGCCCCTCAGGTAAGGTACAGTGCGGAATACAGTGACTAAGCTCCCCCCGCCTTCCCCAGAAAAGATGCCATCCGACCGAGGTTCGTCCCCTCGTTTCGGCCCCTTCCTGCCTGCTGCTGCCGCTGCTCCCCTAAACTCTCAGGTGGGAGCTTCCGTCCCGCCATCAACGGAGAGTCGAGACCGGAGCTTAACTACCTTAGGTACCTTAGGGCAGTGACGAAGTGGGATTGGACCGAACAACCTCCCCCCCTTGCACCTGCCCTCTTTAATCGGATCGTTGTCCGCTCGTCCAGTCTTTACTGCGTACTCCGTACCTCACATTCTATCGTCACCTGAGGCACTTTGCTGTAGACATCCTCCTCCCTCGGCTGTTGCGACACACCCAAGGTTGCGACGTCCCATTGAACTGACCAACTCCGGCAACACCTATCTTCCTGTCCTCCTCGTCGCACAGCTTCCCAGTAGCTGCCACATCCTCCTTGTTCTCTGTTTCTCAGTCGACGACATATCCTCGCTCGAGAACGCCGCATGCTGCATAAGCTTTCCATCATGGTCCTGGCACGAACTCTTCGCCCTGCGGCGCGCGCGGCACGCCTACTCGAGTATGCGACAACGAGACCGACCTTCTCCTCTCCTCTTCTCGGCCAACGTATCCTGCCCTCAGCCTTCGCCAGCGTTCACACCACCTCCCCGAAGACTCAAGAAGCCGCGGCCCTCCGCCAGGAACAACAGCCCGACGTGTCTGCGACGGAACCTGACGCCGTGCAGCGGCTAGACCCAAAGGCGTGTGCGGATCCAGAGGGGGTTAACGTTCTGATCGTGCCGTCCCGCAAGGCGCTTCTTGTCACCGGTCAATGTTTCGGCCATGACCGTAAGAAGCAAATTGACGTGGCTTGGCTCCGGGACCGCTGTTGTTGCCCGCACTGCATCAGTCCTTCCTCGGGCAACAAATCCTTCTCTACCGCCGAAATCCCAAGTGACATTACCTTCCAGAGCGTCAAGGAAATGCCAGATGGCTCCCATGAGATTCGCTGGACAAACGACATCCCGCGAGCTGCCGCCGTTGACCACGTCTCCGTCTTTCCCGCCACCGGCCCCCAGAGTATTGGGAGGTTATTGACCGAATCGCCAGCTCTTTTCTTCCATCATGCCCGTGTACAAGAGCCTTCTAGATTCGAGTGGAAAAGGGAATCCCTCCTTGAGAGGCTGGAGAGGATCGACTACAAAGACTACATGGAGGGAGGCCCGGCTTTCAGGTCAACCGCCCTCTCCCTCGCCAAGATTGGGCTCGTCTTCCTCACCAACGTGCCCCAAACCGAAACTGCCGTAGCTGATTTAGCTCTCAAGTTCGGCGCCGTCAAGGAGACATTTTATGGCCGCACCTGGGACGTTATCTCTAAACCTGATGCAGAAAACGTCGCCTACACCTCCTCTTACTTGGGCTTGCACTCGGACATGCTCTATCTCGAATCGCCGCCTCGCATACAGCTCCTCCATTGCTTGGAGAACTCGTGCTCGGGGGGTGAGTCCATCTTCAGCGACGCCTTACAGGCCGCTAGCTCGGTCAAAAGATTCGTACCCGATGGCTACGATGCATTGACCAAATACCCGGTACCGTACCACTATAATAAGAACGGTTTCTTCTACCGCCAAGCGCGACCCGTCATCGCTGGCAGGAATGAAAGAGACCGCGAGGTCTGCTGGTCCCCGCCCTTCCAGGCCCCTTTGCCGGGCATGCGCGATGAAGCAGCCTCGGGAGATTGGCAAAACTGGCTCTACGGGGCGCGGGCGTTCCAACGAATCCTAGAACAAAGCGACAACGTGTACCAGTACAGGCTCCAGCCGGGCGAGTGCGTGCTGTTTGACAACCGGCGCGTCCTCCACGGCCGCCGGGCTTTTGACACAGCAAGTGGGCGCCGCTGGCTTAAGGGCACATATGTCGCCGACGAGGATTTCCGAAGTGCTCTACGGCCCTTCCTTGAACCCATCTGAAGATGCGTTGGACGGTTCATCGGAAATATAGAAGCCAACGTGAACTTGATGAGCCCAGTCAGTCGAGATGTGTATATATACACATGCCTTGGTCTAGTGTCACTTTGAAAAGCGGGCATTGCGCGGTTAGAATAGTCACACATTAGGTAAACATGATGGAGTCACGCGCCCAAGATCGGAGATGGTGACAAGCCGCTCAAAAGAAACTATGGTTGCTGGTCTTCAATTACCTAAGTATCGTCCGGCAACTGATCGACTAATGAACCCAAACGCCAGAGTCAACAGGACAGAAGGATGTGCCTTCTCTCCCCCGTGATGCACTACTTTTTTGTGTTTGCGAAAGGACAAATGCCCTAATGCCACTGCCAAAACGCCCCGTCATCAAAGTCATATCATGATGTCCCTCAAACCATTCCCAGGCGATCTCAACGCTTTCCAAGCGATACTGGTAACCATGTCGCGTTTCACTGCGTACCAGACAGGTCTCATTTGAGCACCGTCAGTCGCCTTGAACACCTCAAGACTCCCAGTTCTTGGCCTCGACACCTTCGGGAGGGACGGTCTCGACCTTGCGGTTCTTGACGTCGTCCCAGTCGGTGCTGAGCGAGGTACCGTTGCTCTCAGTGAAGGACTTCATCATGGCGCGCCGGGCCTCGGGCGAAGCATCCTTGTACAGCGTCTTGAAGAACCCGTTGATGTCGGAGTTATCGTCGTCGTCGACACCTTCGAGCTTGTCCCAGTTCTTGGGTCCGGACTTGGAGGACGTAGGGTACGCGGGGCCAGAGGTCGCAGCGGCCTTGGGTTGTGTGGCAGCGGCGGCGACGGGCGCTGGGCTGGACTTGTTCGGGGCCGGAGCAGCGCTGTCGGCGGGGCGTTGCAGTGTAGGCCACTTAACAGCCTCCGCCTTCTTGAGCTGGAACTCGATCTTGTTCGCGGTGACGGTATGCTTGGAGCCAGCGGGATCGATGTGGCCGTAGAGATGGATCGTGTAAGAAGGCTCGTGACCGGGGATGTGCGACATGCTGATCTGTTGGGAATCTCCATTAGCATCTGCCTTGTTCTTTGTGCTGATTTCAAGCAGTGAAGGAAGACATACTTCTGACTCGCCATAGTCGACCTTGAAGTCATCCTTGGGAATGTTCTTTGCAAAGACAGTGACCGTCAAAGTGGCGCTGCTCTGGAAAAAGTCCACACGCACATCCTTCTTTGGCTGCGGCTTTGCGACGGCCTCTGCCTTGGCCACCTCGATCTCCTCCTTTGTGAACTCCTCCACCTCGTCTGTATCGGGACCATCAAGCGAGACGTCAGGCGCAAACTTGACCGTCACCTTTCTCTTCTCATCGTCCTCGGCAAGCTTCTCCAGCCCACCCAGAATCTGTAGCCGCAAAGCGCAAATGGAGTTCCAGATGGCGCCAAACTTACTCTGCGCCGGGTCCTCCGTCTGCCGAACAGCCGTCATCTCGTCCTGCAGAGCCTTTCTAGTACCCTGCGCGAAACCCTTGTCGTCAACCTCGGGAGCCCTCAGCTCGGCCATGCTCTTGCCCTCGACCATGCGCTGGGCCCAGGTGGCGCAGCTATCCGCGTTGGCCAACTCGCCGAGCCGGAAGTGGGCGACGGCGCGGCGGTACTGCGCGTCGGCCATGAAGGTGCGGTTGTTGCGGGCGGAGGCGGCGACCTGGGCGAGTTCGGCATCGCGGAGGGCGCGGCGGAAGTCCTTTGTGCCAATGTAGGCCTTGGAGCGACCGATGAGCCACTTGGGGGATTTGATGACCTTGATGGCTTTGGAGAGCTGGGTGATGGCGGTTTCCCAGTCTTTGTTGTCGACGGCGGTCATGCCGGCTGCGCCAGCTGTGTATTCGGACATTGTTGGTCGTTTGCTTCTGTGAGTGCTTGGGGTGGTGGAAGGGATTCGATGCGGGAAGAAGTTAACTTGGAAAAGCGATGTTGATGTTGTGCCGTGATTAGAACTGCGAGGCAGTACCAATGAGAAGAAAGGTTGGTTGGAAGAAATTAGATGGCACCCGATTGAAGTGAAAGGGAGAAAGCAAACGGAGAGAGAAAGACCGAACGGTGATGCAGTAAGGAAGCTGCAGGTCCAACAAGGTTCGGTCGGTGCTGCCTCCAGATCAGAGGGGTCAGACTGTTCTGGAAGCTGTGGTGGGGCAGCCTCCCCACCTTCTGCCGCTAAGCTTGACCCACCAAGACTCACCGCCCAGGTCACCGACCAACCCACCGAAATGGGCCTCCTTCACCGAGAGTCCCTCATGGATCATTGCCATGTTCGATTGCAAAAGCAGCGCATATATAGACGAGGGCGATTTGGAATAGATTGTTAGCGGGGAGATGAAAACAGCTCTCAATGAAACGTTGGTGTTCCCGATTAGTATCTCTTAGAAATAAAGTCAGCAAAAGAAATGACCACATGGTGAATCGAAATACCGCCGCCTGAAACCCTTCGGAGCATTACCGAGGGAGTCACCTGATCAAGCATCTCGACTCGTGGTGACAGTAGAAGCGCATTTACTCCTTATAGTGTCACCCTGCTTCTCGCAAGGCACTTGGTGCCAGGTCCTTCGTCCAAGTATTCTATCAGAAGCTACCCACACCGACCCCGAGTCCAAGACTTGGTATTCGTCAAATTGTCTACCTCGCAGTCTGCTACTTTCATGGTCAATCATCAGTAGTACTATTCCAAGGCGGAATTCGTGTCTCATTAAGATTAATTGTGTTCTACTTTTGATAAATGTCCATGGTCTAATTCTCTACAAGTCCCCCTTATCACTGATGCCAGGGGTAAGCTTCTCATCTGGATACTTCCGGGCAAACATGCCAAGCGCTTTGATCGGGAACGTGAATTTGTAGTTGGGATACGCAATCGTGCAACTCTTGTTGAAGACGCCCTCCATCGTCTCCTGGAGCCATTCGCCGTTGGCCTGCTGGCGGTCCATGAGGAACTGGATACCCTTTCGAAGGGGCTCAATGTAAGTGTATTCCGCCTCCATGAGGCCGATCAGTGCCCAGGCAGTTTGCACCACCAGGGAACCTCTTGGGTGCTCGTGGTACTCCATCGTTTCAGAAGCCTATCATTGTTAGTCCGGTGTTGGCAGTTAATGCAAAGGGGCTCGCTCACCTTGTAACTCTCGGACCACCCGCCGTCGTCTCTCTGCTTGGAGATGAGAAAGTCGCAGCCCCTCTTGGAGACCTTGCTGGTGCTGTAATTGTCTCCTGCGCTGGCCAGACTCTCCAACGCAAACATACCAGCATAGGTAAAGCAGATACCCCAGCTTCCGTACCAAGAACCGTCAATGTTCTGGTGAGAGCGGATCCAATTCACAGCACGCTTAACAAAGATGCGAATGTCATCCTTTCGGTAGTCGGGCCAGTGCTTCTGGAAAAGCGACAAGACCGTAACGCAGGCAGTGGTGCATTCGGGGTAGTCATACTCGATCATGATGCGGCCAAAGACCTCGGCAGCATTGAGCAACTCCATGTACTCGCCTCCACGACGCTGCTCGTACGAGCCTACACCTCCAGTCTCGTTCTGGTACAGCAAGATGGAGTCGATGGAATCGAAGATGCGCTGGTCTTCGAGAAGCTGAGGGTAGCCCTCAGTCTTTTGCAGCAAGATGACGGCCTTGAGCGCCTCGGAGATACAGTCACTGACGGCGTAGCCCTGTTCGCGGTTGCTGAAAGGCCAGCCGCCCTTGCGCGCCTGGCGGTAGCACTTGTCCGAGTCTTTGCAGTTTTCACGAATCTGCTGCCTGTCGAGAAAGCCAAGGGCCTTCTCCAGCATGGGACGCCAGCGGTCATCAGTCTCGAGACCAGCGGCAATGACTGACTGTATCATGAATGCGGTGTCCCAGCATTGGACGCCGTTGGTGCCGTTGCCCAGCATGCCCTCGGCGTTGACCCACAGGGAGTCCATGATTCTGTCTGCGTGTCTACGGACAGTGTAAGCCCCTGGTCCGTCCCGAATGTAGCAGACGATGTGGTTCATGGGGCCGTTGACTGGCGCTAGGCCTAGGTAATCCGTGTTGGCATCTTCCATGTCAACCAAATCGCTAGTCCAAGCTTCAGCTCTCTCCTTGATCCAGTTCGTCCGCAGGTAGGGGTTCCAGATGTTGACCAGGCACCAGTTCACCGTGTTGAGCAGCCAGGACTTGGGATTGTAGTTGTCAACCTGCGCAATGCTGTTGCGATTCGCCTTCCAGTTGATGGATGCCCAGCTCTCCGGGAAGAGCTCCTTCTTGAGGTCTCGAATGACTTCAGTCTCTTGACAAGTCCAGCGCTTGGAGTATACGTAGGACATTGGCAAGAAGACTTGGCGAATGTGAACCCACCACCGCCAAGGGGCGATAGGCACCCAGTCTGGCAGCAGCCAGATCTCAGGGGGGACCGGGTTGACAATCTCCCAGTCCACAACTCCCAGGACAGCGAGCCACCACTTGGCCCAGTGCGGCCCTTTCGTTGCGCCGCCGAGCTCATGGAGCCTTGCTCTGGCCTTGACCATGACAGGCTCCTCTGCATCGACGCCGATGAGGCGCAAGGTCGTGTAGTTCATGGAGGTGCCGAAGACAGTGCTGGTGCCCTCGGTGTGGAGACCCCAGCCGCCCAGCTCAGGATGTGCGCGGGCGAAGAGGTAGTTCTTGATTTCGGTTGCGAAGGCCGACGAGATGGGCGTCTTGGTGACATACCAGGCGATAACGGCACTTGGGAGGAGGAACATGGGACCGCCGTATTCGCAACCCCAGTCGCCGTAGGGAAGCTGGAGCTTTTCGATGAACTCGAGGCCATTGCGTGTCGCATCGAGTGGGTTTTCCGGTTCAGGAAGGATTGGGAGGTCCTGAGTGTGCGTGAGAAGTGTTAGCGAAGAACAGTGACATTTGCGCAAGCCGCAGCAAGTAGCAAAAGGTGGACTGACAAGAGGAAGACCCAAGTAGTACTTGTCGGCGTAGGTCTGGGGCCAGTCCTTTGCAGCATCATCACCATCCAAGTACTTCCAGGTGTGACGACCGTCCTCATCCTTCATCCTCCATTTCGTGCGATCGGTTTTGGCGTCGATGCGGGGCTTCTTGGGCCATTCCTGCTCGGCGATGGCTTCTGCGACGCGCTTGCGAGACTGAACGGATTTGGCTCCGAGGGTGCTATTGCTCGAGGCAACGGATGGGGCTTTCTCGGCGACCATGGCAGGCGACAACTGTCCTCTCTGTGTGACGGCGGTGGGAGTCGTCGACGTTGTCGTGGTGCAGAGGGACGATATTGAGAGCCGTCTGGATCGGAATGGTGGGTGGTGGGATGGGATTCATGCACTTGTTAAACGGTGGTCCAGTCAGCTCTCAGATAGCGGCGCCCCCTGCGCGTCTCTCTGAGGCGGTGTTCCTCGAATGACAGGAAGATGCATGTACTCGGAAGAAACCCACCACATCCTCGTACGAGACCCCTGCTAGAATCAGGATTTCGTGGGGATGGGAGACAGCGATCATCAGAGGTGTTAGCCCGTGTTGATCGACATTATCAGTCCTTCGAAGCTTCGTTGACAATTTCACGCAGCTGACTTTGGTTCAAGATTGTTGGGGACATTTCAGCCCCAAGTACGGATATGTAACTTAACCTGCGAAACGCAAATTCCCAGGCCATTTGACAGGTGCCAGGGTGTCGCACAGTTCCAGACCAACGCAGAATAAACTTCAGCGGCACCGGGTTTCAAGAGCCTAAGCTGTCCATCCCGTCACTGCATCACTCCATCTCCCATCGATTACGTAAGGTGCTTTCCCGTCAATTGCCCGCGGCACGGGCCACAATCAGCAGCCCCACTTGAGGAGTGCCGCACGGTGCTCTTTCTACTGCTCCCCCTCATTGGTCAATGGCTATTCAATAAGGGGCGCCTCCTTCGTCTGTTCCTGCAGCTCTCACACCTTACCTCACCTTCAGCTTTTCTTGCACACCCTCTTCTTCATACCAATCTTCCAATGAACGACAATCGTCGGAAGTTCTAGAGTCTGACCACAGATACTGGCGCGCGAAGATTGCGAGTGCTTTCTCTCGTCTTTCAATGGACTTTGCTACATCCCCATTGCTCAACGGCCACCAAGAGGGTCGACTAACGGCACAGCTATCTAATCCGAGTCAACCAAGCACCGTCGTGACCATCCCCGATTCGGACCCTAATCATAATGCCACCGGGCTCGCCATAGTGAAGTTGGAAGACATACTAATAGCTTCTCGAGAATCACTGCTGCAGAATCGAGAAATAGTTATTCCCTTCAGGACCCGACCTTCCGCAAGCCGATCCGCCAACAGCTGTGTGCCGTTTAGGACAACTCGATCAGCAGTTCGTTTCCCTGGCCGGACAGTTGAGGAAGCCACCAAGTTCAGTTCGTAATCATGCTTGGTTGGCGATAACTATGCCTGACACTGAGCCAACACAGCCCGGATTATGCGCATCATGCAACTCTCGCTAAGTGCCCTGACGGAAGGCCGGCTGATCACCAAGAGGTATGCGCTTCGCCGCTTTCTGCTCTGCCTCGTTGGAAGTGTGTAGTGCTGAGCACTAGGTTGCACAGAAACATCTACTACCAGGACACCGATCTTTTCAAAAGACAGTCCACCGTCGACAACCTCGTTGATGACCTTGCCTACACTCTTGGCCTTGGGAGAGAAGATCTCGGTATAGTGAGTGGCCCCTAACCTTGACGGATGTCATCTTGTAACCATTCCTCAGGTTGCCGCAAGTAAAGGCCTTGTATCAGGGCCTATCATTCTGCGTTCTGGAACTCTTTCGGAGGTTGACGCCTCATCGAGCGGGGATGTATGAAGCACCAAGATGCACCATAATAGCTCTTGCTGAACAAGATACAGGGGATCCTCATACCGTCGGTGAGGAGTGTATCCGAGATTGACTTCGGTCCTACGCAATGGATCTTGGTCATCGAGAAAGAGGTTGGTGGTCTTGATGTTGCCCGCGGGCCATCGCTGACTGAGTTGGGATAGGCAACCTATCGCACTCTGGCTTCGGCGAGGTACTAGGAGACCTCTGCTTTGGGCATGGGCATTCTGGTCACTGTTAGTAAATTTGCCTACGGAAACAATATCACTCCAACTTTCTGACATAACTGTAGGGCAAAGGTTACCCGGATTTGAACACTAAGCAGTTCGTGCATCTTCTTCACACGGCCAAGCCCGAGCTTCCGGTCTTCGCTCTGGTCGACTTCGACTGCTATGGTATCGCTATCATGCGCTGCTATAGTCACGGCACCCGAGGCCATGCACATGAAAAATCAACGACCGTGCCCAGCATGCAGTGGCTCGGCATCAAAAGCGACGATCTCCCTTTCCATCAGAATGCAAACCCTAGCCCCGGGTCTGCTGATGGCGGCGGCGGCCAGAGGCGGTCGGGTGAGAGCACGTTCGAGTCCTCGAGTTCTCTCACACTACGGGACAGAACTCGAGCGATCAATATGGTCAGAGAAGTGAGTGAGGATGGCACAGATATTGATCGAGATTGCCGACGAGAGCTACAGGTGATGCTGTTCCTCGGCATCAAGGCAGAGATCCAAGCTGTGGACAACACAGGAGACATGTCGCGATGGCTCGATGGGCACATGAGAAGCGCATGATCTGCCCCATTCACGACTTTGATTCCTCTTGGAGTTTCTTTGGGTTCTGTGTGTTGTTTTGAGAGTTGATCTTAGGTTTTTGGCTGGCGCAAGGCAACTAGTGACATGAGAGGAGGAACCGTGCGGAGTGCGCATCTCATATTTTAACACTGTACCTCCACACACATCACCCGAAAATTTCTACTTCACTTTCAAGACTCATTTCAGGTCCTCAGACAGCACTCACAAAATCTCACCGAAAATGGCACCCAAACTCTCAGAAGAGGAGATTGATGATCTCATTTACTTTTCAAGAGCCGGCGAGCTCGCTGATCTCGAAGAGACGCTCAAGTCCCTGTCGGAGCGTGAAGGCGCCTCCGTAGGCGAGGTCATCACCGCCGCCAAGGATGAGGGCAAGTCGACCTGCCTGCACATGGCTGCCGGCAACGGTCACCTCGGTGAGTTCTCGCTGCATTTATGCTTTCAATTTTTTCATTTCACTGACCCGTTCCACAGATATCGTAAAGGCGCTCATCACGGCATTTGATGGCCGTCCCGCAGACGAGAAGAAGGCCTACGTCGACGCCGCTAACGAGTTTGGCAACACGGGCCTGCACTGGGCGTGCCTGGGCGGCCACCTCGAGGCCGTGAAGTACCTCGTCAACCACGGCGCTTCCCCTGCGGTGGCCAACAACAAGGACCAGATTCCTCTCGACTCTGCGCTATTCAACGACAAGCGGGAGGTGGCGGACTGGTTCCTGGCGCAGTCTGAGAAGATGGAGGGCGGAAACCAGGAGGAAGGGCTGAGCGGTGCCGCGGCAGGTATTGAGATTGAGGATGATGGTGCCGTCGAGGAATACAAGGACAAGGATAAGGCTGGCGAGAGCAGCAAGACTTCATAGATGGGATCTGGCTTATGAGTTAAAGACAAAAAATCAAATGAGTGAACGACTTTTGATGACGCTCGAGGGGGCTCCTATGCTGTGGTGTGGATGCAGGCTATCTGAGGATTTTACCAGACTACTCTCTATACGCAAACGGTAAGCGAGTTGACATGGCCATGATTCATTTGTATTATTGAGTTTCAAGGGTCAGTCATCATACTCGTGGCTCTCGTCAAGCTCGACCACCAACAAAGGCACATCGAACTCGCGACGGTATGAGAGCTTTCGAAGACAAGATTTCCTTCTTTCTACACTATTCGATTTCCTCGGCATCTACTACTCCTTCATACTACCTTGAACAAAACCACATTATCTTCAACCGAATCAACCCTTCAACCCAAGAAACACAGAAGTCGATTTGATATGTAGGCTAAGACAAATCACCACACTGCGAAGCTTTCTTGATGTTTAGTTGCATGCGGGTTATATGATAGCTATCTAACCATAAGTGTATGTTGAATGAGTGAAAGAAGAAGAGTTACTAAGGATGTTCTGAAATCAAGACGAGACAAATAGTGAGAGAAGAGGAACTGCCAACGAATGATCCGCGCCCCTCATCAAGGACAAAAAGAAAGGAGGGAGAAAATCTCGAGGAAAGTCTCCCAAACTGTACCACTCCGGCGACACCATGGCGTCAAGGCCACACCTAGTCCGAATCCCCAGTCTAAACAGCCCGCTTCTCAAGCCCACACTTCTTCAAACACTCCTCAACCTTGAGCACAAGATTCTTCGGAATCGCCTGACGAACACGATCAATATCCTCCCCAGCAATGCTCGACCCAAACGAAGTCTCAATGACATCGTCGCTCAACGCAAACAGCTGCGCCGCAACCATGGCAGTGCCACCCTCGTCCGAGGTGAAAGACACGACGGCCGAGGCGGGTGTGCACTCGGGATTCACCTGGGTGTGAAAGGAGCCCTGGGGGAAGACGGTCATCTGGTTGGGACCCAGGTCGGCGCGGATGACGCGCTGTTTGCCGTCTGCGTCGAGGACGCCTGCTTCGGGGACCATCTCGGTGATGACGCGGCCTGAGGTTACGACGAGGAGTTCGGAGGCGCGGGGGTGGAGGTGGAGGAAGGACATTGCGCAGGCTGTTTTGTTGTTAGCCATATTTCACACTCGATTCGGGTTGGGAGTATTCGACTTACCGGGCAAGGAAGCGACGGCCATGCTGCCGCCAAGGCCGGTTACGGCGGGGAAGGTTTGGCGGTTGGCGAGGGCGACTTGGGATTTGTTGAAGTCGTAGATGAAGTCTTCGTCCTTGGGGAGGAGACGGTATCGGGCTGCGCCGCTGGTGGTCTGAGTTAGTAGGGATGTGCATCGGTATAGGTTGATGACTTACCTGTCTGCGATTTGAAGCTGAGCAGTTAGACTGAGACCCGTGGCGGACTCGTTGTCTCTGCGATGGGGAGCAGCCATGGCGAGGGAGGACAGGGCCATGACGGCGAAGGGGACGTTTGCGATGCGCATTTTGATGGTTGCCAGTGTCAGTGATTTGAGGTTTGTGAGTTGAGGGGTAGTTGCTATGGTTGTAGGGTATCTTGTGATGAGTCTGCTGGTCTAAATCAATTTCGTTGGGTATCACGATGGCTTTTATGTGAAACTAATTTCCACCTCGACGAAGCATCTCAAGGCATCTGCGACATCTCATTCCAAATTCTCTTGATCCATATTACCATCTGACACTCTCGCAACTCTGCGCAATCCCAACTCGAAACCCCCATGAAGGCATCTCAAAAGCTTCAACTACCCTGTCTAGCTGAACACCGCCGCGCTCACTGCCTTGAAGATTGCCCGACAGATGAAGTGACAAAAAGTTCTCAAAGAAAAGGTTGAACAGGATTGGCCCATTTCCGCGTCATTTCCACAATAGGGCGCAGTCTGGTCCAGTTGATGGAGCCCCAGATGAGGTGAGGCTGAGTCTGACGCGCTGACGTAGTCTGGTAGACTTCCTGAAGTCGCCGAATCGGGTCACAACATCACCGCCAAACACAGTAAGATATCACCTGAATGGACCGGCGAGCTCAAAACGGGCGCGGGTAAAGTGTCAGCTTCGGTGCGGTCGAACAACGGACATTCACGGCGTGACGGCCGGACATCGCACTTCGACAAGCAACGGCGCCGACCGTACCTTCCTCAACTTCACCTACGATACGTACATGACCTTCATCCGATAATTACCTTAGTTGAGCCCTCCACATGAATACACGGAATACACACCGGAACGAAGCCCTCATACCTCCTCGAGTCCATTCCTGTCACTGGCCAGCAGGCGTCCGTCTAGGTCGACGGATCAGGTCAAACTGGCTAGGTGGTAGAGAGGTTAATGGTCAACAATCAATTACGCCCACAGCCTACTCGACGACGGGCTCCGAGTTCGAATCCCAGCATGAGCGCCAAGAGATGTAGCCCCTAGTTCAGCACCGGGGGGGGTGAACTCTTTTTTGTTTAATCATCGAGTCTTTTAAGTGCTTTCAGAGCGGTAAGGTAAGGTAGATAAACAGCTACTAGTTACGTTTATTTCCCCCGAGCCCCAGGAGATGAACGTAGGCGATTTCTTTTGTTCAATTGTCGTAGGGTATATATATATGGCGTTAGTTGCTGCCCGTAATTAACGGCGTCGTTTTTGCGACATCAATCAATTAACTATAGGAATTAATTCAAACATATTACTGGCTGATTCATTAATCCTAACATGGCACTACACACGGCAAATCACAACGATGCGGGTCGTTTCTACGACAAATCTTTCGCCTCTCATCGCATTCCACTCCAAAGCTATTGGAGGGTTAATTGAGCCTCCTTGTTCCGTTCCTTTCGTTGCCTATGAAAGTGCCATCAAGAAATCTCCTCATACTTTTCACCTATGTCTTGAACTCAATCCAGACTTTGGTGTGGAAGCACGTGAAAATAACTTCCCGGCTTCGTCAGTGTGTCTTGTTTTGGAGCTGTGGGCAGTACACACTGCTCATCTGGACCAACGAGGCAAGCAATGAGGCAATACGACTGGTATTGACGGTTGGTTGGTGATGTTGTGGTGAAGGTGGCTGCGGTGGGCTGGATCAACCAGGAGGTGGATCAGGCAGCTGGTGCCTGGGGCACCAGCTACTGCCTCAGGTATCCACAGTCCCACAGGAGCTGCTTGGTATATTGATACGCTACAGCGGCGTTGCTGCTCGTGGCGAATAAACATGGTTGTTTTCAGCTATTCACTACAGCTTTGTAGCGTCTGAGATTGCAGAATATGGGTTCATTCTGGCCAAACTCTTACCTTAATCGTGAATCGTGATTCGTGAAAGGGATTTTAGCGAAGGCAACAATTGCGTAGCCAAGTTCAGGATAGAGACATACACATGTTTGCTCTATCTGTTACATGTCTGTGCGCTTTACCCTATAAGTGCTGTTGAATATCAATCAACTGGTCGGTGTAAGAGTCACGATGGGGCTGAGTAAGTGCCAACGCCGCCACCTCGTATTTCGGCCGGGAGTCTCTAATTACTCAGTCAACTAGATGTTCAAAAAGTGGACTCATGTCTGTGTATTTAAATAAGATGGCAGCTACTGTACGAAAGAAATCTTACCCCTTCCTTACGCAAGTTATTCGTCAGGGTACCAAGGTGCACAATTCTTATTCAACTATTTTCGCTTTGACCACCGTCAACTCTCTGATCCATGACGCCCAACACACCCAGTTACAAGACGGCTCAGCAACCACGCCTCTTCAACGAGAGCGAGCTTCGGCGCTTTCAAGACTGCGCCAACGAAAATGAAACCCTCGTGGACTGCTGGGCAGGCGACCAGATCGTCATCGTGGCCTGCGAACTGTCAAACAGATACCAATACTCCGACGCACGGAACTCCAAAGCGATAGAAATAAACGTCATATCGCCCGCCGACAAGCCAGTGTGGCGATCGCTGCCCCTGGACGACCAACAGCACGACGCGTTCAAGAAACATTACAGCACCAGGACGATTCGCATGCTCGAGAAGACAAAGGTGAATAAGAGTCTCCAGCCGAAGCCTTGGTCGTGGTACAATGCTACCGCTGCGCATGAGACGTTTCAGCTTTACGCAGACGAGGCGCGGGCTAAGGCGCAGGAGGCATTTGATGCGCTGGGTGGGGAGGCGTACGCGACGGTGTGTGTTGTCAGTTACGATATTCGGGAGACCATGGCCGCGCTGGAGTTGTTCGGGGTCAAGTTGCCTTCTTCCAAGGTGGTGTTTGTGAACTTGATCAAGGTGTTGGAGCATCAGACGAGAGAAGAGGGGGTTATTCCGGAGCGGCTGAGGAAGTACACCGATGACAACATCGCGATCAGGAACGGAAGGCTTGATAGGCGGCCGGGGACGCCGAGGGGCTATCTGGGGATGCCGAGTGTGAGGTTCTTGGAGGTGGTTGGTCCTGCTGCCAAGAGCCATCAGGCGGATTACAAGAAGCTTGAAAAGAGAAATGTGGCCTTGAATAGGATTGCAAGGAGGATCCGAAATGGATAGATGTGTAGAGTCTTGATTTCAAGCAGTCTCACATCGGCTTTGACACGGCTTCTGCCTGGTAAGGTCAACTTTCTTTCTAATCAATACCTTCGGTCAACAATGGCGATAAACCGGTTTAGTGACACTCAATGATAGGTATGATTTTCTGCAATCACTCTCTTCGTGTTTTCATTCTTTGCTTTCTACTCACTGTCAATATGAACCAGACGAACCAAAGCCCATAATTACAACTTTACGCAGGTCGAAGATAATCCGCAACCTGGGTTCCCTGAGCGTAGGCGTTCGCAACATTGGCACGATGAGCCTTTTCTCCTTGCAAGAAAAAGTTCCGAATTTCCTCCGGGCTCATCTCCGGACGCATACTCCTCAAATTCGCCTGAATCCGCCGCAATCCTTCTCTCGACTTGGCACGAATCGAGTCAACATCAACGCCAACCAACTTACCGTCTCGCTTCAAGATCTTTCCGTCCACCATGACCAAGTCGACATCCGCAGAAGTAGAGTGAAGCACAGCAGTCCCCAAAGGATTCGCCGATCCACTGAGCGCGCGTTTGTTCGTGATGACGACTATGTCAGCTCGCTTGCCGGGTGTCAGCGTGCCAATCTTGTCCCCAAGACCGACGGCCTCGGCACCATTTCGCGTGCCCCATACCAGAGCATCCCGAACGCCAAAGTCCATCTTCAAAGAGACTCGCTGGTTGAGGTGTTCTGCGCGATGATCCAGCCCGCGTTGCACTTGCAGCTGCAGCCGCATCTGGGACAGAAGATCTGGCGGGACAGCGCTCGACGTGTCGATGCTCAGTGCTGGGTCCAGACCGTGGGCGAGAGCCAGGCTCAGGGGAGGAAAGCCCATGCCCATTTGTATATCTGTGTCGGGCGAGAGCACAATCTTGCCACCCGTCTCGGAGATGAGGCTCATCTCATGGTCGGACAGGTTTGTGCAGTGGATGTATACGTGTCCGGGGTGCATGTACCCCATATCCGCCCTAACCTCCAAGTCGCTCGTCAGGTTGGAGGCGGGTACGGCGCTTGAGTGGGAGCAGCAGAGGAGACCCTTGTCCTGGGCGAGCTTCACTTCGTCACCCATCCAAGCGAAGGGCGTGGTACCGGACTGGCTGAGCTGCAACGCCACACGGACGAGCCCTGCCCCGGAGTCTTCCCCGGCCATCTTTCCCACGTGCTTCAGGCGTGCTTCCCAGCCTGATCTGCCCGCCGGCACGTCGCCGTACTGATCGCCGCTCATGCCATAGCAGAAGAAGGCCCGGATCCCAGAGTCCTTGAGACCCTGAAGCTCCGACTCAGCATGCTCTGCCGAGTGGAAAGACTCGCAGGTGTCCATGATTGTGGTCACGCCGCTCTCAATAGCCTCGAGGGCGCCGACAAGAGCTGAGGTATACATTTCCTCGACGCCCGTCACTGGCAGCCACCTGGTGTAGGGATTTGAGAGAAATTGCCACAGGTGCTGGTCCACGCCGATGCCGCGGGTGAGGCTCATGGAGACGTGGCGGTGGGCATTGATCATGCCGGGGATGATAATGCCCTCGGTGGCGTCGATGACTTCGGCATCTGGAGCTGATGTTTCGCTTGCCTTGCCGATTGCCTTGATGATTCCGTTTTCGACGAGGATAGCACCGTTGTCGAAGTCGCCGACGGAGTCGTCGAGGGTGAAGATGTGGCCTCCCGTGATGAGGTACTTGCCAGACATTGTTGCTGCGAGGTTCCTGAGTATTGGTGAGATTTCGGATGGGTTGAAGGCTCCAATAACGGGGGGATGTGATTTCAAGCAGTAGCTGTGTGGATTCTGCTCTGAAGATTGGAATTCTAGGAACATCTGACGGTCCCGCGTTCATTTATGCCCTTTCGCAAATTCATCTTCTCATTTTATCGAAAATCGTGCATTCTTGGCGAAGGTGGAGAGTGACTGTCAGGCAGTTGAAGTTCGCTCCTCGCGCCGTTGAATTGTGAAGGCTTGGAGTTCATCGACATCATCAACGGGCTTTTCTCGCATCCCGAGTTCCGTAACATTAACAATTGACCCATCGATGAATCACCACCAAGCGGGCCTGCGTAGCACTCATGAGCGAATCGCAGTTTACCGACTCAAGATTTCCAGGATATCCTGCACGTTCAGCTTCACCTGAGTGACCAAACATGGAAGTAATAGTATGATACTACACAAGCAGAGAAATCAATTCTTACAAAACGCTGAGCCTCCTCTAAGGAGTGGGTAAAAAAGGGAAAGCACACTCCTACAAAGTGCTAATGATTGCGGGTCAAATGGATTTTTCCAAGTATAGTAAAGAAGATGGCATTTGAAGAGAAAAGATCACGATATCTAACAGGAAGAACTCGGTTGGTGTGTACTCGGGATGTTAATGCTCCACATCGTGGAAACCGCTGCGGCGAGACTGTGGATCGGTGGTCGGCGCCGGTTACATCGGGTTCACGGACCGCTCCGTGAGCCAGAGCACTGTCGGATGTATCGCGACCAGCCTATAGAGAGACTATCGGGGCAGAGTAAGTGTACGAAATGTTCCGATCCACACTTCTAGACGGCCATCGAGATGATTCAAAGACTTCGCCGTCTCCCCCTTGCTAAGAAGCAGAGGTCTACGGGGTGGAAATGTGGTAGAACAGACGACTTAGACAGGTGCTTCTGAGTGGTTTTGCCGACCAGAATTTCAGGGACGGCTATCTGGCCTTGGGTTATGACGACCACTTTAATCCATGATGAGAAGTCTGATCTCTGGTTATGGGCCGACAACTACCCAAAAGAAATAAGCGGAGATCATTTCGAGACGCGCTGGATTTGAAGGAACGAACAAAGCATTGGCGGCAACTTGACAAAACACTATCGCTCACACCGATTGAATGTTGCTATTTTCACGAGTTAGCTAGAAATCTAGTTGAATATCGTAGTGGGCAGACTTGAGGCGCGAAAGAGACCTGACAGGTTATAGGAGATCCCTCAACCCCTGTCTGCGAGTGTCCAACGCACGCATCCACTTTGACCGCTCTCATAAAATGACCCAAGTCGCTCTTTTCTCTACTGCCCAGCTCTCGACTCTCTCTCGCTCGCGTCTTCGCGAGTAGCGGACAGCTTGCTCTCCGAGTATCGCGAACGCCCCCAAGTATAAACAAGCTGGCGCGCCGTAGAGGCTATTCCCTGCGGCATGATCAGCAATGCTCCCCACCCTAAGCGGCCGCCCTGATCTTGGACCGCGAAGACGGTCCAACTTGTTGCTTGGTTCCATGAATCAGGCCAGAAATGTGACCAAGTAGCTGTTGCCGACGGTTGCAACACCCTTTAACACCGACGGAAGGCAGCAGGTGTCGGTCATGGTCTTATCCCATCGGGTGCTAACTCACCTCATTTTGCCAAGAGGTGGGGTAGAGCCAATGGGAACTTCCCAGCCTATTAGACTTATCCAATGAAACAGGATTTCCAGTACTTCTATTCTCTATATATTTTGTGTATGCCAGAGGTACCAGCAGTCTCCCTTCATACATAAAGGTCATTACAGTCTAAACAGCCCTGCCGAGTTTTAATTACTTGCTGCGTGAGGTTATTCCTAGATGTTCAGAGGCGAAGAGACTGTCAAGAAATAAGTGGTAGGTTGCAGCTGGAAGTAGTGAAATAAGCGTAGTTACTACCTGCTGCGTTGGTGTCAACAGAGCCAGCTTTCCAGCAGCTGGCCTAGCCGGCCGGGCCTGGGGGACTAATGCGTATGGGCCCTTTCCATGGACGTGCCACAGCCACCGTATACAGTAGCCAGACTGGGCAAGGATCCAGATCTTATCTCATCGGGTGCGGATGGACCCCATTTTCGCCAAGGGCGGGGTAACCCAATGAGATTCATTGCCTGGAAATATCTAGAAATATTTGCCCAATCAGATGCTTATATATGGGCGTTTTTGGAGTAAAAGTGGGTAATTCTGGTCTTGGCGAAAATGGGGTCCATCCGCACCCGATGGGATAGCCAGTTGGGATAGGTTTCGTTGGAATCGTTGTCGTCTCAAGAGATCGACCTGTAAATCGGACCATAGCCTCGTCAACTGTAAGGTCTGAACCAGGTATATAAAGGGAATCCCCAGTCTCTTGGATGTGGGCTGACCACTGGTTAACTTTACGGTATACATCTGGCATTTGATCCTGGGCCCGGCCCTGGCCCCGGCCCCGGCCCCGGCTAGGCTGGCTGGGCCGGCTGGGCTGGAATTCCGCAGTGTTGAATATCCGTAGTCGCTGGAGTAGCAGTTGGAAACGGTCCCGGGACATAAACCGTGTAAATAGGTGGATAGGATCCTCCGTTTGCTGCTGGGTTGACCAATAGGTTGATAATCTAGACTCCCTATGAATCCCTATATATAATAGGATCCCTAGGAAGAGGTATATCTCGTCTGCTGAAGTCTGCCGCCATGAATTCGCTCTAGACGTTCTAGCCCTAGGGCCCTCCTTAGACAACGGCGCTGTATTCGTCCACTGGGCCCACTGCTCCACGAGGCTCTGCGGAACGTATTGGAGGAACAGTTCAAGCGGGCTGGCCGGCAGCCCCCGTATCTCTTGGGCCCGGGCCGGCACGTCAAGGGCCGGAAGGAGCCCGGAGGACCATGCTGAGTAGCCGGAGATTCGTGGGGCCGGACTGTAGCTGCGTCACAGCGCTCGGGCGTACAGTCTGTATTACAGGCAGCAGTAAGGTCTTCTGGGTGGACCTCAACTACTATACAGCTGCGTATAGAAGTAATAGAAGCATTAGATGCAATAGAGGTATCAGAATCACCAGAAGACATAAAATATCAATCAAAATAGTAATAATAGTGATGATAATGGGCAAAAGAGCATAGGAATGAGTGACGTATCGTCAAGTACCCCTTTAAATGCGGGGTAATAAAGTGTAAATAGTGGGTACTTGGAGGTCTTGGCAAAATGAGGTGAGTTAGCACCCGATGGGATAGGCCCTCCTACACGAGTATTTATAAACCAGCCCGAATCTTGAGGGTCGAATTATTTCCCCAAGTGAACACACACCAAGGCTCAAACCGTCCGTTTTTCGGAAACGTGCCGCTACGACTGTGAACGGTCTTCAAACAGCTGGTCCAGGACCACGAAGGGTGACACTATCTCAGTGGCAGCCTCGATGGAAAGCGACAGTTCTTCCAGCGATACAAGCCTCGCTCCAACTCCTGTTTTTATTGTGAGGGCTCATGTCCTACTTCTTTGGAACTTCCCATGCCCAGTCCGGCAGATACCATGTCCTTATTACTCAAGATGTTTCTCGTTTATTATGATGGAGGCTCCGTGGGAGCTGCTGTCAGACAAGCCGTGACTGGTCTCAGATCGAAGAGTTTGCTCTCATCGACCTCGAAGACACCGTCAAATTCAGCACCGCTGAATCCGTCAGGAGTGCAGTGTGCCAAGCAGAGTATTGGATAGCCATGATCATCTACTGCAATTTATTCAATAGCTTGACGAGCGCTCTGAATGATACAGCCGAGAACTCTACGACAGGAAGCGCTATCTTATATAAGGTATCTACAACCAGGCTCGGTACCCAACAGTCGCCGACTATGACCTCCTGAACAGCATACGGCAAAGCTACTCCGCCTCTAGAAAGGCCATCTTATGATCATCGCTGGGTCTGCAAATTGTGACGATGGACTTTGGGGGCGTCAACACACAAACGATAGTAGCCCTAACAGCCCAACCCGGCTGGTTCCCAATCTAATTCGATCCACGACGCAAAGATGTATTTTCGGTTCGATGATGTTACCGCGATGCAGAGATGATGAGTGGGCCACTAGCCCAGCTCCTTGAGCGCAAACGAGAGTACCGGCTCTTCAGACAGGAAAAGTAGAAAGCGTCAACGCTGTATTAGCCATTTATCTGGAAGGAAACCCAGCGTAGCCGAACTCCTGTTGATCAGCGATAGAAAAAAAGGCAGAAACGCTTGATCATCCCGCAGCAGTCTTATTCTGTGGAGGCAATACTACTGTATTGGATCTGATGATGATGATGGGAAAAGCTGAGCGCTGGCTGGGCTGGATATCTGGGCAAGGTGTAGGTGGGGCAGCTCCGAGATGTGAAGGAGCTGCCTCACGTGACCCACCTGCACCTGCCACATATTCCTTGTAGAATCCATCTCAGTCATGCTGCCTTGACAGGCACGACAGGTCAAGTTGAAAGTCGAGTTTAGCAGAGATTTTTGATTAGGTAAGTGGGATGCATGCGTTTTCCCATTGGTTCTTTGGACTACCCGGTGGACTCTTACCGATACCTTTTCATTATCTTATCGATGCAGTATCGATAAGGTATCGATATGAGCCGAGTAGCATCGCGCAGTCGTGGGGGTCCACTCGTCTCGAATGCGCCTTCCCCATTCCCGCTTGGGACGTGTGGGGAAGGGGGGCATTTTTGGGGAAGGAGCACCTCAGCACGCCCACCCCCCCCGCGTTGTGCTAGACACCTGAGGCGCAACTCTGCCAATCTCCAATTTCATCTCATCTTGCGCTCACCTCCCGTCTCCATCTCACCGGCTGCCGCGAATATCTTCAGCCCGTTCTGCGCACCTCTCTTGGCGTGCCGCAACGTACCCGTACTTCTTGCCCGTAAGAGCGCCACTGCCTACAAAGGTACATAAGGGCTCGGTGAACCACCTATTCCAGCTGCGCTTAGACATCAAGCGTACCTTTCGACGATGCTCTCATGAGCGCTGTCGATGGCGAGCCATCCATCCCCCGGCCAGCCTGGCAGTGCTGCAGCCAACTACAAGCGTGCGAGTCGCAGAGGTGCGCCTCGGCGGTTCGTTTGCGAACACCCGGGCTGCGACAAGTTATATTCTAGGGCAGAGCATCTCCAGAGGCACCAGTTGAACCGTGAGTCAACTCCCCTGTCCAGCCGGAGTCCTCGAAATATCACAAAGTACAACCTGACGCGTCTTCATAGACAATCCCAAAGAAATCTTCATCTGCGATATACCAGGTTGTGATCAGAAGTTCGTTCGCGCTGACCTGCTGTCGCGTCACAAGAAACGTCACTCATCGTCGTACATCCCCCGAAATCGCGCGCCCAGCTTCGCCTCTGCGGCATCTGGCAACCAATCCGGCCCGGCTGTGTCATCCCCAACTTCAGGCGCACAACCACGGCAAGCGTTTCCACAACCTTCAACGAGCGGCCCTCACGATGCCGCCATCCTGCTGACTCCCGAATCTGCTACGCCCACCCCGACGACAGGCGCATCAAATCCGTCTCTTGCTCAACATGTCACAAGGATCAGCCAACCTGCCACATGGCCGTCCATCGATGACATGGCTGCTGAGATGATGCGATCGAAGCCCGCTTACTACGGACGTGATCAGCTATCCCTACCTGAGGCACCGCCCCTCATGCCAGCGTTCGACCCGAGAGGATTCCAGCCCGACGAGGCACTTTCACGGGAGAACTTTGCCGTCTGGCTGTTCGACTCTCAAGCAAACTTCAGTGATTTCAATGGAGTCGCCAACCTTCCCTTTCTCGAAGGTGGTCTTGAATCAACTTTCAACAACAACATTCACTATGACTACGAGTCACTGACGAGTCGTTCACAGCTGGATCCGACGCCACCTCGGCAAGTTGAAGTTAGCGACGAACTCATCAGCGAGCCCCGGCGGCAAGAGGTCCTCAGGTGGTTGAAGGTCTTCCGACACAAGCAGCCCAAATACGAGCCGCGTATAGTAAGCCTTGTACAGGAGAGCAATGGAGACTTGCCTGCTTTGAGCCTCGAAATGATGAGACATTGTTTGCAAGAATACTGGAAGAGGATCTCGCCACGCTTGCCGATAGTTCATCAGCCAACGTTTTCTTCGAATCGCTGCTCCATCTTCCTGCTACTTGTGATGATTGCTTTGGGAGCCGCATCCTTAAGCAGCAGAGACTCGACCGGCAACTTGGAACCGTACGGAGGGCTGGCAGACGTGATTATCTCCAGCAGTCGGTGGGAAATCCTTACTCATGAGGAAGCTTCAGCGCCGGTGGGTCTGTCCATAGCTCAAGCAATGCTGTTGCTCGAGTTCTACGAGAAGATCTTCTCTTCCAGGCGCATGCACGAGAGATCGCATATATACCACTCCGCGCTTCTAAACCTCCTGAGGAGAGGGAGCCCTCTGATTGGACGCGCAGGAAGCGAATCGCCCCCAGAAGAAGAAGCACCGACACCGAGCGACGGACCCTCTTCAGACTCAAGAACGTGGTGGGTTCGATGGGCCGAGAGCGAATCCATGCATCGCGTTGTTTTCGCGGCCTTCATGATGGACACTGTCCACGCAGCCATGTTTGGCCACAACGCGGACATGGCACCGCACGAGATCCGGCTTCCCTTGCCATGCGACGATGGCTTGTGGACGGCCGCGACCCCAAATGTCTTCCGACAACTCGACGGGAACTACAGAATGTACGGCATCAAGCAGGTATCATTCCTCGATGGACTGAAAAGCGCTTTACATGGGCAGGAAGTCAAGACACACACCTTTGGACGCATGATTATCATGTCGGGACTGCTCAGTGTCGGATGGCATCTGTCTCGTCGAGAGTCTCACCTCAAGTGGCTTGACCTGCGTACACCCAGCACGGAAACGCACGACAGCTGGAAGAAGATACTTTTCCGCGCCTTCGACGAGTGGAAGGAATCCTTTGACAATGCTGTGGGTGCAAATGACCTATCTGAAGGGCTCGGACAGCCATCAAGTTCCAATGGGCCCATTCACTCTGCCGCTGTTCTCTATCACCTAGCCCACATCAGTCTGCACGTCGATATCGTCGATTGCCAGGTATACGCCGGCGCCAAGCGATTGGTTGGCCGCAAAGTCTCAACTCGCGATCATGTCAACGCTGTTGCAAGAATGAGGACCTGGTCGAATGCACCATCCACCCGGCACGCCGTTTTACATGCCTTTAAACTGCTCTGCAAGGTTCTTGTGGACCATAAAAACCCCAAACGGCGGACGAGCAGCTTTGGCGCTCTGCCTGAACCGGTCTCTGTCTACTATTCCTGCCGCAGCGAGTCGGATCCTCATCGGCCGTGGATCATGTATTATGCAGCCTTGACAATATGGTCTTTTGTACAGGCACTGGGTATTCCCAACAGGAATACGCCCCCGGGAAGGTACAGCGAAATTGCTCGCTACCTGGCCTATTTCTCGAGTCTGGAAGAATTGAACGAAGAAGCTTCGCGGGACCTCAATGAGAGGTTGCCGGAACTGCTGGACCTGCTTGAGACCAGCCTAAAGCAGTCTCACTCGGAGCTCCTGAGGGAAGCCAGTGAAAGGCTCAAACTTTGCCGCGAGATGTTAGTATGAATGTGGTCTTGCACTTCCGATCAACTCCTCCGTGACGAAGATGGTCTGGAAGAGGTTTCTCTGTGTAAAGGCAGGAGATGAGGGTTGTGTAGAGCGGGCTTGCGGATGGACCTCCCCCCTGCGCGACTCCCAGCTTCCACACGCAATTGCGCATCAAAAGCGACGAGGACGACAGTAGATGTAAGTTGCCCATGATATTTCCAATATCTTCGGTCATGGGGAACTTACTTACTTTCTAATTAGACCCATTGCTCGATTGCTCACGAGCCCCAGACTCTTCGGCCAGCCCTCAATTTGCAGAAGATGATGCCCTGTAACACCAACATCTAAACCCATATCCGAGAGACATGAGCGAGGTGTAATGGTCTCCGATGGAAACGTGTCAAAGGGACATCACGTTTTTGCAAAGCATGTCATGATCCAAGACGGATGGCATTCTGCAGAATCTGAATCTCGTATCTGGGTATTATCCTCGAAGGCTTTTGAAGAAGTAGTAATACTGGGACTGATATACGAAGAGAACTTCAACTATTCGTCAACGAATGTCTGTTACAGGATGGTTTACAACTTTCGTCTGCCTTGCTTTACTTTCATCGTATCTCTCCATCGAACAACTATGGATCTTCCTTGGGGCCTGGATGTAGCATTGCAGCCTACACCACAAGTGTTTTTTTTTTACATGCCCTTGCGGTTTCGCTGACCAAGTCAGGAGCCTAGTCTTGTCTCTATGCCGCCGCACCAGCAGCAGCGCCAGCCTGCGGGAGGAAGAAGGCGAACTCTCCGTTCATGTTAGCAACCTTCAAGGTCAACTCATTCTCTTCGGCTTCGAATTCGAGTTCACCGAGAGCCGGGTCGATGATGAAGGCGTTGAGCTCCGGGAAGAGGCGGCCCACTTGTCCCTTGCTGATGTCGAGGGTATCTGCATCTCATGTTAGCCCACCATTACTGCTGCTGCCAAGAAGACTCAAAGGGCTAACTTACTTCCTGGGTTGAGAATGTAGTCAATCTTCGAGAGAGTCACGCCCTGTGCGCCTTCTGCGAGGCTGACTTTGTACGAAACCGCCTCGATGGCGGTGAACCCCGCGGGAGGCGGCGCAGGAGACCTGTTTTCTGTCACGGTGAGGGTTCGGCCGACTGCGTTTTGGAACTCGACCTCGAAACGTCCATTCTTCTGCAAGGAATCATTAGGCACATGTCTTTACAGTCGACTTCAGTGAGAGTGAGAGTCTGAAACTTACTGCTGGAGGAAAGAGAACATCTTGCTTGACATTCGCGCCGCCTAACCGCACAGGCACGATGAATTGTCCCTCAATCTCCTTCTCGTTGGGATCTTTCGCCTCCTTGCCGCCGCCGGCAGCGCCGCCTTCCGCACCTCCGGCTGCTCCTTCCGCCGCGCCTGCTTCACCTGCAGCAGCTTCTTTCTCAGTGGATTTTGATAGGGTTATCGCTGCTCCTTGAGTGAGGCTTCGTGCTGCGAGACTAGAATCCGCCGAGGCTTTTGCGATACCGTTGCTTCGGGAGGCTATTTCGGTGGTTGAGATTGGCAGTGATGCGGCTAGGAGGAGCTGGCATGAAATGGTGGCGAGTTTTGAGAGCCTCATTTCGAAAAAAAAAAGAGTATATTATTATGGAAAGAAAGTCAAAGTTGTGAAAGAGACCAACACGGTTGACTCGTAATAGCGGGCTTGCCGCGAGAAAGAAAAGTTGATGAAATGAAGTAAACTGGAATGGGAACTGAAAAGAGCGCAACCATCACAAACAAAAGCCGGTGGGCGTCAACTAGGTATTCAAAGAGGTTATATGTCCAGATGAACCCATTTGTCCCTGATAAGATTCTCTCGTGTAAGACAAACATGCACGGGGCTTGGTTGTGAGGGCCGGCCGACTGCCAAGAGGAACGGCATCATGAAACCCACACAAGACCGCAAGGATACGCAAGTAGAGGAATCCTCCCCCACCATCCGCGCCGCCAAGGTGCATCTCGAGAGCCTCATGATGGACTAATGCGGTAAGTCGGGGGTTGTCGCACTGCGTGCTGCGCAACGGCGGGCGGCTGGTCATGCCAGTTTGTCGTCGAGCTCCGGCATTGGCGCTGCTTGGCGGTGTGGCAACTCGTCTCTACTTGTCGTTTTCGGATGGTATCTCATGCAGGGGAGAAAAGCATCGACCACTGAACCAACGACATGATGACTCTGCGAAATTGTGAGTTGTGGTTGGATTCTGGGTTTTCAAGAACAGTGCTATCACAAGTGAGTATCGCTTTCTGTAGATCGTGGTTGACCGGTATTGCTAGAGGAAGACTAAGGTTGCGATCCTCTGAAGTTCATCTTATTCTAGCAGACAGCGCTAGAACTCGCGCTTGTGAGTTGGCACTTCCCACCATAAACCCTTGCTTTCTTACCGCCCCTTCTGAACCGTCCCCCAATGATCCTGAATTTCGGCTGACTTTGAAGGGGTAGAATCCGAACCCCTTCACCAAGTCTCAGATGACAGCTGTCGTAGGCTAAACTTAGACTCTCAAACGTGAGCAATCCCTCTGGTCGAATCAGCACGCTGAAAAACCAATGACTCCCCTGCCATGGCCCCCAATAACCAGGGGGTGTCCAACGCCAGAACAGGTTAACAGGCTTAACAGCAACTCTACCCAGGCCGGCGGATAGCGCTCATGCGACCAGTTGCTCCGTTCACCGTAGCGCTTGCGATACTGCGCGAGTTCCCCGTCGGCTCAACTTGCACCAGACTGAAACGCGGGCGTGGATGGCGCCATGGAGCTGGTTCAGGTTGCGGCCCCCCCTGGTTGTGATCATCTCTGGGATCGAGAATTCCTTCTCTTTTGTGCGCTTGGTAATCTTGGTAAAGGCTTTTGCGCTCGAGGCGAGAAGATGAACGGTTGCGCTTGCCTCTAGGGTCAATCTCAACCTCTCACTACAAAAGGAATCTGAGAAAGAATTGGAGGAACCCTCTTGGATTCTAGCAAATTGGAGGTTGAGTCAGGAACGTTTCTGTCTCGAACGGCATTTAGTTCACCTTGGCAATCAGCCCATTTTGACTCGCTTTTGGATTCTGGCAACATCCCGGCGGGGGTAGAGCTACGGTCACTTGTGCGGCTCAGGTTTGGACCGGATTGGCTTTTGTCCAAGCTCGACGCCGGTTGCCGTGTGCAGTTAAGCAATGGCTTCAACGATTGACCTTGGAAATCAACTTGAGGCTGTATTTTAGTCTGATGATTGCAGAACAGACTAGCCATGATCTCTACCTGATAAGAACGTTTCACTTAGTACATACGAACATGACAAGGCTCAAGTCAAGAGTTTCGCTGCTTGATGAGCTTTAGAGATCTTGCGATTCGCGGATAAAGTAGGCAATAGGCCTCGGTTGTCACAGCTGCCTGTCAAAATGCGGTGTCAATCCTGACGAAGTGAAAGCCAAAGTCGCCAGCTAATGCTAAGAACACGAATCTTTCCCAATCTAAGACTTGGAGTTGGCCAAGCCGCTCAAAGACTCCCCGGACAGCTATGCCGGCGACCACGGTGACCTTCCCCCACTTTCAGAGGGAAAGCGCGGCAAACATCGGCTGAAAAGCGGGGCTTCGCCGAAGGTGGCTACCGGCAAACCCGGTACGTGTCTCCTGCCTATCTCGGTCGTGCGACTCACTTCACGTAAGCGTCATCTTGAACCCCTCAAACTTCCCATGACTCACGTGTCAACACGATCTTCCACGACGACCTTCAAGTATCTCTCCCAACATCCAGCATCGCTCAACCACCTTATTGCGGATCACCGGCGTCATGGTGACTAAACGGGTGGCCCGCTATGGCGATTGGGAGAGCCCAATCACTGTCGATACCGTGACCTCCAAAAGCTGGACTATAACATCACCTCGAGTCCATGTAAGTGAACCCAGAGACTTGGAGGCCAATTGGATACTATTTTCTAATTGATGCAAAGCGTCAATCGGGACGGGCGTTCTTCATCGAGTCGAAGGATGATGGGCGCAAAGTCTTCGTTGAGATCACCAAGAATGGTGGCCTCAAAGATCTCCTACCAGCACCTTACAGCGCAGGCAACACAGTCTATGAATACGGTGGCTCTACTTACGATGTCGCCGCGGATGGCCGCATCGTCTTCTCCAATCGCGACAATACCGTCAAGTCCCTCGATGTAGACACTGGCAAAGTTTCGGACCTAACCGGCGACTCGAAGCTGCGATACTCCAACTTCAGCGCCAACCCCACGAGCCCCTGGGTTCTGGCTAACCAAGAAGATCACACCATCAACACTCCCCACGAGATCCGGAACTATGTTGTCGCTATCAATGCAGATACCGGCGAGGTCAAGCGCGTCGTTGAGGGCGCCGACTTCTACTACACCCCTCAGTTCAGCGCTGACGGGAAGCGGCTGACTTGGATGGAGTGGGACCAACCCAATCTCCCATTTGCATCGGCCAAGATCTTCGTTGCCGATTGGACGTCGGAGGCAACTGTCAAGAATGCAGTCTTGGTTGCTGGCAATAATCGAGAAGGAGCAGCAGAGCCTCGATGGGGCCCGGACGGAAGCTTGTTTCTGGGCATTGAGGTTGATGGCTTCCGGAGACTGTTCCGTCTAGCTCCTGGTGCTGAAAAGCCTACTCAGATCAAGTTAGGCGGACTGGATAACGCCGAGATTGGAGAAATTCGATGGTTCCAGGGCAGGTTAGTAGATGCGAAGGCTTGCAAGTAGCGCGAGGGCAATCACTAACATTGCATCAGTCAAACGTACGCCCCATTATCAGAACGTTACGTAGCTGCGGCGGCTATAACATTCGGCGAGGCTCAACTGATTCTTATCGATCTTGAGAAGAATGATTGGAAACCCATCGGCTCATCTAGCATTTGCGGCATTGTCAACGACGCCATGGCTCGCCTGGACGACGGGTCTTTACTTCTTGTTGCGGACGAGTCCGGTTCTCCATCTGCTTTATACAAGGTCTATGTCATCAGCGGGAACACGACGACTATTCGAGGAACTACAGATGAAAAGCTGGACACAGCGCTCTTTTCAAAGCCGGAGCTTGTGAAATTCGAGTCAAAGGAAAGTCCATCTCGCACAATCTACAGCACCTTGTGGATGCCAAAGAACCCCAAATTCCTCGGCCCGGATAGCGACAGACCTCCTCTGGTCATATCCTCACATGGTGGACCAACAGGCTACACCGGCTCTGGTCTCAAGCTGCGAACCCAGTACTTTACTGCACGTGGCTACGCCTATCTAGCGCTGAACTACACGGGCTCCACGGGACATGGCAGAGAGTATCGCGAGGCACTTTTTGGAAACTGGGGCATTGTTGACGCCGATGACGCTGCTGAAGTCGCCAAGCACTTAGGGGAAGCAGGCAGAGTCGGCAAGGTGGGTATCGTCGGTGCAAGCGCCGGAGGCTACAACGTCCTCCAAGCTCTCGTCCGCCATCCTACAACCTTTGATGCCGGATTCTGCGTCTGTGGTGTGAGTGACGTCAAGAAGCTGGAAGAGTCCACACATAAGCTGGAGTCCGAGTACATGGGGGCGCTTGTTCTGGACCCGGGCATGACGGACGAGCAAAAGGAGGAGAGATGCCGTGAGCGAAGCCCCCTATACCATGCCGACAAGATTGGGGCCCCGCTGTTCCTTCTTCACGGAGTTGCAGATACCGTGGTCCCCATTGAGCAGGCCCGGCTTATTTACAAAGCTGTCAAGGATAAGGGAGGGCATGTGAGAATCAGGGAGGTTGAGGGCGAGGGTCACATGTTTGGTATGCCTGGAAGCCCTCGTCTTTGGCTGGAGGAGGAGGAAGCTTGGTGGAGATCGTACTTGATCTAATATTGGAAGAAGCCACTCTTCCCAAGCTTCGGTGTCACATTTCTTCTACTCGAGGTGCGGATTAAAATTGCAAAAGTCTATGGATTGTTTCACTTGCTAATAGTCAAAACGCTTTTCTCATACGTGAGATCAGCAGAAAACCCTAAAACTAATAGCAGTAGTCGTCATCGACATCGTCGTCGAGTAGTGATTCTCTGCAAGCCCACTCATGATCCCGCTTCTTCTCCTTGCGACGATTCTCAGCATCAGTTCTTGTAGCCTTTTTCTTATCCTTGAGAACCTTCTTACTCGCCCGCCGGTTGCTGATTGCACGAGGCAGATGACAAGTCGCTGAACCAATGATTGGCTCAGTGTAAGACGGCTCAGTGCGAGACGGCTCAGAGTCAGAATACACGGTGTAAGTATACCCGGTTTCCCACAGTTCGGCGGACTGCTCCTCATCCAACCCTTCCTCTTCTACTATCCTCTTAAAGAAGGGGCACCATGTCTTCAAATTGCTGTGACTGGGGTACATACCTTTCAATTTTCTGAATTCCTCGTCCTTGAGGTGCTTATCCCAGGCGATTTGCCGAGTTTCCTTGAGTGATGCGGGAAGGCCGTAGAACTTGACAGAAGAGAACCTGCCCTCGCCCAAGTCGAGGCGGACAAATCTTTTTTCCTTGCTATCGATAATGCGACGGAGATGCCAGCGGTAGCTATGAGGCTCGTCAAAATTGCGCAAACATGTCTGTGCGATGGCCTCGCGAGTGCGACAAAGGAGATTTTTTCTTTCTCTTGCGGCTTTCTTCCAAAAGTCAAGGCAGGGTTCCTCGTCGGAACTTCTTAATTCCTGAACAGTTTTCAATTTCGAAGAAGTCTCGGCGTAAATGATCTCACCCTTATGCGTGCGCCACAGGGGTTGGTGCATGCCGGCGTGTCCGTCCACTTGCGAAATGGAATGAGGTCGACGAGGTTTGTCCTCAGCGCTGGCTTCTCTATCGCAAGTTGATGAAACCCAGAGGGTGATGTTTCCAACGCAACGGTAGGGACCTCGATTGCCTTCAGGTTTCGGCACCTTGACATCGTCTGCCAGAATGAGTCCCATGGCACCGGACCACATCCCTGTTCCACATTGCTGGCAAATCGGACATTTGAAGGTGTGCCGCGCTGGTCAGTACTCAGCACACTGATGGAGGAGACGAGGTCTCGATATTTTGGCCGGAGAAGATGGTTCAAGGCCGTGATAACCTCGTAGCCGCTCAGGAAACTGAAGGTGTTTTTTGACCAGAAGATCGGCGCTGCTTCGGCGTGCACCTGCTTGCTGGCCAGCAATAGTCCAAGACCCTTACGCTGATCGCAGCGGCACAAAGGTTCCCGAGGCCAGTAAAAGCCATCTAAGTCCCAGAACAGACGATGAGGCTCCTCGGAAATTACGATGTCTTTGAGGAGGAAAGCGGGAGGCTCGAGGTATTTAAAGGATTTGGAATACCCGCTACAGTCAGGTGTGTGTTCGATGTCCCTTCTCTTCGGTTCGACGAGTGCGAACTCATAGATGAGGTCGCGAATATCAATTGGGAGCTGGCAAAGGGAGAAGAGTCCCTTCTGAGATCGGATGTATTTCCCAGGCACAGGGCGAACCTTGAGGGTCAGAGTAGACATGGCGGATGTGACCTTTCCTGTGTCCATCAGCTTTGTGGGAGAGCTCGTCATGATGTTGTGTCTGCAGAGGTTTGATCGGAGGACAGTGGGTGATTTTGTAAGACTATAGTTCTGTACTTGAGAGATTGTTGAATGTGTTGTGTAGATGTAAAGTGCTTGAGAGCGATCTGTTTCGCTAAGTTCGCAACCAAGGTAGCTGGCACTTTCCTCTTATTTCTAGAGCCCAGCGAAACAACGCTCTGTATTCGGGACTATCAGACAAAGGACATTGATTAAGAATAATCTTCATGGTTTTTCTCTTTGCTACCAGCATCCAAAGCAGTCTTTGCCGTGTCCATAGTTTTGTTGGGTAACCAATGCCTTGTATGCGTATTTCTTTGATCTAGGTCAAAGTGTTGCTGGAAGTTTACCCGACTCGCCCTTCAGATGAGCACGAGTTTCTTTTGAAGAACACAAAAGTATGTTCTCGCAGGACATACATGAAAGGAATCTACTTAGTTTGAATCAAGACTGCCAAGTAAAACCCTGCGGAGCGGTGTTGCTCGTGACAAGCTGCTCAAGCAGCCGCTGTGGAATGCCAAGGATGTTGAGAAGTCTTCTAAAGAAGCCTATGCTTGTGGACATGGAAATATCTGCCTTATTCTGGCTTCGTATTAGAGGCTCCTCCAGCGCTTACTAAGGAAGTTTGAACACCAGGGGCGGGATGCAGGCGAGATTAATATGTCGCAAAGCAAACATTCGTGTTTTCAGGTCTCAGGCAGGGCAGTTGGCAACAACATACCGACCGTTGCAAATCGGACCAGCCATTCGGACAAGTACTCTGGAATTAAGATGATAGATGTAGCTCACTCTTCTAGAGAGTTCGTCCTGTCACTAAAGGAAATCTCCCGCCTCATCCAAACCCCTCATTCATGCTACCAACGGTCGCCACCAGACAGCCAGAATCGCGATCGTGTGGGATCGACTAAGATCACTAGCCCCAACAGCCGAATCCGCCACCCTAAGAACAATGGATCCAAGGAGGCAAACACGGCTTCTCGCTCCAAGCGAAAAATAACTCTCAAACGTTCTCCTCTCTTCTCGACCTCACCGAGCCGAAGCAGAATTTCTGTCCGCTGATATCGAAGAGTCTTACTCCGCAGCTGACAAGTCCTCGTCCACAGTTTTCGATCCACAATGTCGACACGATAACGCTCGAGACCTCGCTTGTGGGTATCGAGCATTCGAGCCGCGATGACATCCCAGCAAGAGTTGCTGTAAGCTAAGCCACAACAGTAGGAGGGGCGTAGGATCAATCAGATGAAAAGAACAAAGCACCAGAAGCACCTCCTCACTCCCAGTCTCTCACGCCGACGGGTTGCCCGTTGGCGTCACTTCGAGACAAGGCAGCACAACCGTGCTCCCCGATCTCCTCACAAAATGATGTTTCACGGTCCAGGCTAAGGGAGGGAGAGTTTATCTGTCTCGAGGCTCTGATTCGTCGGGTTCATGCATCCTCTAGCTCGTGTCGAAGCGATCAACCGCGTCCAGAAAGCAGGGAATCCAACCAAGGGTATGTCATATGGAGCATCATCTCAGCTGTCTACTGTGAGCGGTGACTAGGGGGAGGGGGAAGGGAAAGAAATGTCGAGAAAGAAAAGCTGCATATTCGGCTCTGTTTCTCGCTCTATCCCTCCCTCATCGTGCGTCGGCGGTGCATGCGGTGCTCAGAAGTGTGGCGGGTGTTTCTGGGGTCGATTGGTGTCTCGCATAATGGATGGTCAATCTAGGCCTATCAAACCCCCGGGACAACCCTAGACTCGACGTCACAGACGGCGGACGCACGTCAGCTCATACCACCCTCCTCATCCTTTCCCATCTACGTCATCCCCAGTAGCTGCCACAGAGCTTAGCAACGTATAATAAAGCATCAGCCACATCAGAGAAGACATTATTGTGCAAGCCAACTCGAGGCAACTCTACTCCGTGAAAGCAAAATCAACCAGACTATCGTGAACCCGGAACTCAGAGATTTCTTACTACACTACATATTATACCATCATGCCATCATCAGTAAAGAACCACGGTGCTTCTGTGGAAGGTAAGTTGGCTCAGCGAATCATCCTATCCATTCACACTGTCTAGTCGAAGCGCCGTGAGGTTGCATCCGTCACTAACACGACTCGTCCCACCAGCCGCAATTCCCCACAAGGTCTCCTCCGCCAAAAAGGCAACGGCCGCTAAGGTTGACGAACGGAAATCGCAAGCGACGCTCAAGAAGGTGTCCTCAGCCACAGCCGCTGCTAAGGACAACGTCTCGACCAAAGACCACGCTACCACCACGCCGGTAACAAACAAGGTCTCTTCCTCCACACACAAACCCACAGCATCGGCATCAAAGCCTGCGGCATCAGCCTCGAAGACTGCATCGTCTGCTTCGAAACCAGCCACATCTTCAGCACACAGGACCGCGGATCACGCATCCAAGACCGCCTCATCTTCCGCACAAAGAACAGCCAACCATGCTTCAAAGACGGCCAAGTCAGCATCGCACACGGCCAGCAAGGCCGCCAGCGGCAGCAGCGGCGCAGATATTGTGAAGAAGATGCAGGAGAAGAACACTGCTCAGTACACACAAGCCACCGGTTCGGACATTGTGAAGAGAATCCAAGCCCGCAAGGCCGCCGCCGCAAAGGAGGCTGCCAGGAAGGAAGCGGCAGCAGCCCGAACTCACGAAGACAACTTGCCCAAGAAGAAGCCCGCAGTCGCCGCGGCACCACAGGCTGTGCCCAGAGCTCCTGTTACAGTACCCAAGGCTACCCCAGTCAAGAAGCAAGCCGCCCCTATTCCCGCACCCGCGGTCAGAAATGTCTCTGCTGCTACCACCAGCCCAGCCAAGGTCGCGAAGAAGGAGAAGGTCTACGCGCCTGGTGCTCTTGTGCCAACTGCAGAGCTCGAAGCCAGGAAGGCCAAGGCTGCTACGCCCAAGAAGGAGAAGCAGTACCACGCTAGCGCCCTCACTCCCACACATGAGATTGAGACTAGGCGCGCCGCGAAGAAGGCTCAGGCCGGTGGACCTGTGGGACAGGTCACCGATACCATTGGCAAGACCGTCGGAGGTGTCGACAAGACCGCCGGTGGAGTTGTGGGAACTGCTGGCCGGACCGTTGGCGGCGTCGGACGAACGGCCGGCGGCATTGTCGATGGTGTCGGCAAATCGGCTGGCGGAACCGTTGACGGTCTCGGTAGGACCGTCGGCGGTGTCACCAGCGGCCTCGGCAAGCAGGTCGGTGGTACCGTGGGAGGTCCCCTCGGTAAGGGTGTCCAGGGCGCCACTGACGGCCTCGGAAAGACTGTTGGCGGAGCTACCAGCGGTGTTGGTAATACCTTGGGCGCCGCGACAGGTGGCCTGAACAAGACACTGGGTGACACCACCGGTGCTCTCGGCCGAGGAGATTTGATGGGCACCGTCGGCGGTGTCACTGGCGGAGTTGGAGATACTGTTGGAGGCGTTGGCAAGGGATTGGTGCGTCATCATCCAGTTCTTGAATGGCTACGTGGAATACCTTGATATTAACATGACTCCAGGGTGACACTGTCGGCGGTACTCTAGGAGGTGTAGGTACCACAGTTGGCGGACCGGTCGGCGGCATCGTCGGCGGCGTCGGCAAGGGTGCCGGCGACGCGGTGACCGGTATCACCGGAGGACTGGGCAAGGGAGTCGGCAGGCTCGGCAAAGGCGATGTCCTCGGTGGTGTTGGCGAAGTCGTTGGAGGAGTCGGTGATGGGTAAGCAACCCTCTTTTCACATCCTGACGACCTGGCCGTCGTCTGCGATGTTTTCACATTACTAACTCTTCTTCAGTGTCGGCGGCCTTCTGGGAGGTGTGCTCGGTGGTCTTGGAGGCGGAGGCCAGGAGAACAGCGGTGGCCTGCTTGGAGGCGTGCTTGGTGGAGGTGGTGATGGTAAGGATGGCGGCGGTGGTGGCGGCGGTCTGCTGGGACTTTGATTTGCTATCGACGAGCAACGTGTATCAAGTTTGTAATATCATTTGGACGATTATGAGGGAAAAGAGGCAAGAGATCGCGTACTACTTCCTGGACAATTGTAAAACAGGCAACAAATGGGGAAACAAGTTTGAATAATATGATTTCGTTCACAACCGTATGAGAGGTTTACAACTACATGTATTCGCAAGCAACCATTCGTTCAATACGTCAATGCAAACCCAAAGCGTTGCTGAAAGACTAGATTACCCTAGAGCGATGCGGCAGATGCGTTGATGATCGATATGGTTTAAGCGAGTTGTTCAGATTTACCAGTGAGGCGACGAAGTGTAGTATTAACGCTGGACCTCAACTATATCAACACAGGCGTAAATACCACTACACGAGGGTAATTAGTGGGCCTCTCTTACCGGTCCCATGGACGTGGTACTCCCTCGGCCACATGCGCTTTTGTGTCTCCTAAAAGAAGACAAACATCGGTCCAAGGTGAGCATAATCCCAGGGGCGATAAGGCCTAGATTCCAACATACCCCTCACTTCTAAGAAGTTACCTCGTGAGATTGTTATTCACTCCAGTCACACAGCGCCATGGCTCTTTGCTACCTGCCTCGGCCATTCCGAGATGGTGCAAAGTAGTCAGAATACGAAACAGGCCCTCGACAGCAAATTTTGCTTGCCCAAGTCTAACTCATGGGTGTTGGACGCAGTGAGAAGATGGGTTGAAAACCTCAGGACCATGGGAGCTATAATGGAGGAGGAGGACTTCTCTGTTGAATGATCAATCTAATTTTCACTGAGATTAACTCCGTAAAGTACTTAGCAGCCATCAATCTCTTAGAGGGAGTCCGAATTCGGCAATCCGCGAAGAAATTGGGCTTACCTATTGTCTCGAGTCATCTAAGTCGCATGTAGCGCCTAGTCTTGGACGCAAAAGAAGTCCTATGCCACCAGCGACCAGAGGAAGAACGTATCTGAAAAAATCTTCGTTAAGAATAGCCACAGTCTTTCAGTGAGACTGACCATGGTTCAGGTCCAATAAAGATAGCCGTCACTGAGTTGGGCATTTCATCGTTTTAACTGGATGATTTTGTCATATATAATTTTGGAGCTTGCAAAAGAAGTTTGCAGTCGCGAATAATTGCATTAACAAATGATGTGGTATTAAAATTACGAAATAGCTTGGGTTGTGGGATTAACACCCTTTTAAACGAGTCATAGCCACGACCATCGCCGACATTATGTATGTATAGTAAAGTCGACATGGTATCGACACTACTCATCGCTGCTTCTGGGAGGACCTTCCTAGTTCTTGTCCTCGGGGCAGTCCTTCTTGTCGTCGCCGCTGAGCTGGCCGCGGACAGCACCAGGGACAGCAAGGCTGGAGTGGACATCGGTGAAGAATCCCTCGGGGTTCTCCTCAATCTGGCTGACCTTGAAGCCTGAGCCAGTGTCGACGCCGGTAGCGTTGACGCCGGTGACGAAGGGGCCGGTCAAGCAGCCGACACTGCGGCGGACGTTCTGGTATCCCTCAACGGCGACCGGGTTAGGGAAGGCGATGCTGTTGAAAAGGTTGGTTTAGTATTCCGCTCCTTCAAAGCGACGTGGATGAGAGCTTACCGAGGGGGGCCTGCCTTGCCCTTCTCTGCCTGGTGAATGTGGGTGGCCGTGCGAGCGGGAGACTGGTACTCGCCCTGGAAGTTGACCAGGGTGATGTTGTAGCAGATGACATTCTCCTTAGAGTTGATGCCGTAGTTGAAGTAGCCAATGGCGCCTGCAAGTCCACCGGTGAAGGTGTTGTTGTTGTCGACGACCTGTTCAGGTGTGGCGATCACATCATATGTCGAAGTGAAGTCGAAAGGTCCGGACGAGCCCCAGCTGCCCTTGCCTCCCTTCTTGTGCCAGCCGACAGCTTGCTTGATCTCCTCAATAACCTTGATAGGAGTGGCCGAGGCAGCGGTTGCCAAAGCAAGGGGGATGATAGCGAACTTCATTTTGATGGTGGGGGAGATAGTGAGTAACTGGGAATGAATATACAGTTGGGATTGATAAATACTAAGAGAGGTGGATGCAGATGAGATAATGTGATAAGGATCGGAATATGATGCTGCTACCGGGGGAGCTTACATCTCTGTATATATAGTCAACCCTCGTTTCTAGCTCCGATTTACAATTCAGGTGCATCTTCGGCAGGTACGGTCATTTCCCCTCAATTCCACAGCGCCTCTAAACTCACTTGCATCACTGCTACGGCCTGGTGATGTGTTCACTCAGCCAAGAACCGGAGGAACGATCAAGCGCTCTACGCCGGCGCCATTACCGCGGTCTGGGCTGTCGTGATGAATGGGCCAAGGGAATTGAGATTGCGGTGTTTGCCTCCCGTGCTCCCGTGCTCCCGTAGTCGCCGCGGCGCAGCATATCGTCGAAGTTGGGAGCTCCTTGGCACATTTTCCTAATCCGGGGGACATTGAATACCAGAAGCACGGTTATGACGCCGCCGATCACTGGGGACTCGGCAGCGGAAGCGCAACTTGCCGTCCACAAGTCAACCAAGTGGGAGAGTTTATGTCTTGTTTAGGTTCGTCCGGTAGCGTCAAAATTTCGAGGCAAGCTCCTTGGCGGCTGCTTGGCCCTCTCCCCCAAATATGCTCACCGCGACGCGCCGGATCGTTTGCCAATGCAGCCCAACAGAAAATCTGACGTGGGAAACACTTGGCTTTCACGGCTTGCTACTACGGACATTTGAAATCCAATACTCCGCTGGCAGTTTTGACGATCTTTTCCATTCCACCCGCGCCAGAACACAGCCCGTTTTGGGCGCCCTATCAGGAATCAATTGATGGGCATCTTCCGGAAAGCCTCACATCCGGCGGAATATCGTCCAGGGCTATGTCAGATGCTTTTTTTGTTTATTTCTTCTTCTCCCTACCAAGTTCAAGTCAAACACTTTTCTCGTTCGGCATTTGTAAGAATGACACTGGCGCTGTCGTTGGATCAGCAATGGTCTTGGCGATGAGGCATAGCCAATAAAGTGAGACTTGGCTGACATCGCTTGAAGCACGTTATTTCTGTGGTATGAAATCGCATTTTCTTCTGACCTTCGACTAAACTCGTGGCCAACTCTATTTCATTGCAGACGTTCTTGATATTCAACTGACCAGTTTGTGGTGATTTCCGATAACTCAACTACATCTTCCTCGCAGATTTCCAGGCAGCTGTTGAGAAAGAAGTCAAACGACAGGACATGGAAGCTAAACAAATGATTGTCGTGAATGGTTACAACCCAACAAGAACAGCAAGCTACGGAATTACGATTACTCGAAAGTGCATATGCGCTCGGCCTCCATCATATGCACAATTTGGAAGATCGGCAACATTATCGACAGAGAACAACCACATCGCCCGAGGAGTGACCGGACAGAGTCAAAGCTGTTGGCTTCGAGCTCATGCATTCAGTACAAACAATGTGTTCAAGAAATTGCTCTGTTGAGTTCATTCACGGAGACTCGAGAGAAAGTCTGATCTTGCTTGGTGAGTAATAAGATATGATACTCAGCAGCTAGCTGATCAATAGTAGGTATCTTGGAGACTACCTATCGCCCAAGCACGCAAGATTGACACACATTACCGCGACCGGGATAGAATCGGTGCCATTCTGGCATATACGCACCCTGTCCTCATCTCAGGCTATCACCTGGATACTAAGAATGTGGGTTGTAGACGATAATGTCGATGATTAGCTTTACTAAGCTCCTCTTATGGACAGTCATTGACCCATCGAATGTGAGTAGTGATGCTTCGGGCTACAATCACAAAAATCCAAGTTCCCGCATAAGATGGACCACGTGCAGGCGCAGATAATACCTCAAAGTCTTCAACGCCATACGTCAGCTTCAATGCCCTCAACTGGATTCAACTATTCGCGATTGTGTTGCCTTCGGGTGGGGAGCTCAATTCAATAGACTGTTACACGACTTCGCTGAAGCTACAGCAATCGACGTCACTCTTGAAGTTGAGACTCAGGAGTAGGGATACCGTTGCCAAAATTGGATGCTGACGGCAGCCACCAACTGGCGGCTGAGGAGACGGGACTCGTCGAGGATTTCAGGCCGTTGCTCGAGTGAGTATGGGTTGTCATGCTCTATTGATCTTATCTCAATACTTATGCCTCGCTGCATGTGCATTTCGGCACGGCCATAAGCTCTTCTTGACTTGATTCTGAAGCTTATAACCTCCGAGTGCTTCACCCAAGGTCCCTATTGATAAGGGAATTCGACCCCCGCCGAGTCCTACAGTGAAGCGTAAGGTGTCGCCGGTGCGCCTATCTACGCATGCCAATCGCATTAATGAATGTTCGTTCACCCCTTTTCTGGCTTCCGGCTATTCGGTCGGACCAACAGTTGCAAATGAACATCAGCGGAAGTTTGGGACCCTGAGGTCCGTCAGTAAACAAGCTTTTTGAAAGGGGCTGATCACAAGCTGGGATACAGGGGATACCCAAGCCTTCGAAATGAGTTGCTGAGGCTTGACAAGTTGCAATAGCTGAACCTCCATACTAGAGATCGTCGAAGACAGGAAAAAGATCCATGAACTCGACAATTATATGGGGTAATCATGATTCGTTTTATTAAAATCATGTTCAGGTACCCAGTAAAGCTCCGCAGAGTGGAAGCACGAGCCATATCTACAAACTCTACGATATTGAAAGCCTTTTCAGGTTGCTGGAAACCAGCGCGAATGGCTCACGACGGGTTCGTAGTCATTTAGCGTGCCGTTCATCCGATGTTCGAGCGAGTCACAAGGACTCTCATCTTCACGGGTTCCGGACAAGTCTTGCGGATTCTAGACCCCGCTCAGAAACATAAATACTATTTGCCAAGCCTCAGTGTTGCGATACCACTTTCGCACTCATCATCTATCTGTGGTTACTTCACTTGCAAAAATATCAATAATGGTGTCTCTACTTCATTCTATGCTGGCATTCGCAGGCCTTGCTGTCGCTGGCTCGCTTGAACCCACCGCAACTCAAAGCGACTGCACAACGACAATAACAGTACTCGATCCCGGCTTCACTGGCGACTATCAGCCAACGAGCACTATCACAATCTACAATCAGACAGTTACCATCGGAAAGCCTACAGACTGCCACGGCTGTGCCCACGTCACAACTACCGTGGAGCCGGCACCTTGGTGGGGTGGGATCGGCCCGGAGATCCAAAAGGTTATCTATGTCCACGCAACGGCACCGACTACAGTCACATCACCTGTCTGTGCGACATCAACAGCTACTCCTACGGTTGCCCCATAGCACTGGACATACTGAATGTGCGGGTTCTAGAAAGGGCATGGAGTTCGAGGGGGAATTTACTTTGAAGTCAGGGCATCGGCCCTGGTCACACGTTCATGCCTAAAAGGCTGAAGAGATGGTAGTTGCAGGTGACAAACAAGGTCTACTGATCAATGGTTGTAGCCTCGAAAGCCAACAATGCCATCAGGTGATTTGCGGTTTATAAGGAGTCACAATGAATTCATACGGAGAGTCAACCCAATAAAAACACAATCCAACAAACTCAACTCTTCATGCAGTCTACATCTTGCAGGAAACACAGCTCAGACTCCGCTTGCACCTTCCTGGAGTCTTGTAGTTTCAATAGATTACCTGTTTACTTGGAACCTAGCGCTCTCACTCCAATCGCCATATTCAAGGCAGACCTCATCATAACTAAATGAAACAATCCTTTTAGATGGATTCGACAGGCTTAATCGAGGTTCTTGAGAAGGGTAATAGTGTCTCGCCTGGTCTTGTCTGCTGATATTCTCGTAGAAGAAACCGCCTGGCGTTTCTGCATCTGTGAAAGAGTCACGTTCAATCTCCCAAACACTTGGACCTCGATCGTCGTCATTCGAGATGCGTACATTGTCTTCATAGGCATCGGTTGGGATATTGGGAATCTTGTCTTTGGGATAATCGTTGGCTATTTAAAGAGAGAGATCATGGCCCAGGGGGCGTGATTACTTAACCCGGTTCAGAGATTGTAACCAGACGGAAGAGACCAAATGAAGTATTCAATTAACTCTACGGCCCAAATTATGCCAACAGGTTACCATCTCGTGACTGATTAATGGCTTCTTGGTATTAACCTACGCCTCCACCAAGAGGTGCCTTCTAGACTCCTCCTTCGGCTATCTCCCAAAAGCTTACGTCCGTGCGGGAATGAAATGATAGGTTTACGAACGTCGAGGTGCTCGATGGTTTCGCCTGTTGCGGCTGTTACTGTCTGGTCTTCACCTTAACAAACCACCGTCCCTCATCGCCTTTGCCGGTCTACATACCTGATTTGCTGCCGAATGTGCCAGCACAGCCTGCTGTAAATGCATGAACCTATAAAAAGACTCGTAAGGCACGGTCATGTGCGGCACCAATGTGACACCCTGCACATCCATCCAAGAAATAAGAGGTAAACGTTGCCTAACTCGCTACAACTTCTTGTGGAAGGTATCTCAAGAAACACAAGGCCCAGGCAAGAAACCTGGTTTGATATCTGAATTACTCGGATTCGACTAAGTGATTTAGAGAAACAAGACTGCACCGGTGATTCATCGTGAAAGTCAACGAGCATTGGTGGATCGGTCGTGGCCACGAGTTAAAACGAGAAGCATTTTGTGTAATAAGGTAGAAGGGTATCTAATGGTAGGCAGTCTAATAAGTAGGTAGGCCGCCTTGAGAATAGGAATTTCAAGAAATTTGATGACTTTAGGCACTCTGAATGAGCCTCAGACAGGCCTTTACTGCTCATTGCTCACACATGAGAGTTTTTCCTGTGCTCTCACCTTCATGGCCAATATCATATATCCCAACCTCTGGCAGAAGCGTCGTTTCAGATGGTTCAGTCCCTTTGCATCCACCCTCTGCCCCATCCCTGTTGTACTGTCTCATTATGCGTTGTTGGAGCAGAATTCGCCGCTCCTGCACTACTACCATCGCCGCTCTGCGAGACGTCTGCTTCTGAAATTGTAGAAATTCCAAGTCCTGATGATCGCATCGTACTCGCCTCTGGGGACACCGGCGAGACCACCGAGTAAAGCGTGTTACGAGTCCCGGTATCAGTCACCGGAGATACGTATGCCGGAGGAGGCGAATTCGTCGTCGCGGTTGGGTCGTAGTTGTCCGCTGGCAGCTCACTCAGCTGGGTCGGAGGGTTGGGGTCCAGCTCCGCGACATGTCGATGGACGCCGGTGGCCCCGCTGGCTGCAACAGCTGCTGCTGGGTCCAGCTCGGATATCGGCCGTGGATCGAGTTCGGACATTGGCCTCGACTCTCCGCTGAGTTCCGATTTGTAGGCATATACCTCGCTTTGTTCTGGTCGAGACTTGGTACTTCCCAGAGCAGCGACGACCAATGCTCCACCGGCGGCTGCGACTCCCATCTCTGGTCCGATGTTTCCATTCGATGACATTGCTGCGGCGTCGGCTAACTTCTTTTGACGGTATTTCATGAAGAACTTGTATCCGATGAACATCAGGAGAAGAACAGCAAGGATGATACCAATGGCAAGTCCAGCTTTCGCGCCATCGTCCATGCCGCTTCCACTGTCAGGGGTAGATGTTGTTGTCACAGTCGCCGTAGTAATACCTCCAGACCCAGTGCTCGTAGTAGTAACTACCGTTGAAGATGCTATTGTTGATGTAGATGTGGCGGCGGTCGGCACGACTCCAGTCACGTAGCAGTTCCGGATGACATTAAAGATGGAAGTATACTGCGTGCAGCTGGCTTCGAGCTTGGTGATATCATCGAGGTCGTCGCTGTACCATGAAGACATTCGGCTCCTGAATGAGGCATAGGTGACGGAGAGTTCTAAGCCTGATAGTGTAGAGGTATAATCGCAGGCCGTGGCCCCCCATGACATCGATGTTGTCGGCGCATTATCCAAGACATCTGCTAGGTCTTCGGCGCATTCTGAGTTTTGACGTCGGATCTGTTGTGAACGGGCGTATATGTCCGGCCGAGCCGATACCGGTTCGGTAACCGTAAGCAGGCCGGCCAAGAGGCCGAGGGCGGAAGCGAATTCGGAACGCATCTGGGCGGACGCTAGGAGTCTGGTTATCAGATGGGTTTTCAGGATCAAGAGCCCATGCGTCCACGCGGTCTGGGGAAGTGCGGGACGGCGGCCATTTGTGTTTAGATTCTGACAAGAGATATTCCACCGTCGACGGGTTGATCCAGAGAGGGCGTGATCAAGAAACGGGACCACGCGGCCATTGGAACCCCGGTAATCCATCCAGCAAATACACTACGTCAACAACACCCGTCACATTCCGTGATTTTCGCTTCCCCCTCCTGCAAAAAGTCTGCACTATCGCAACTCCACAGTCCATACTGCCATGTAATCCACCGCCGGATGGGGACTATCATCGCTCGGCCATTGCTAATTATATAGAGGTGCATCTGCCAAGCATGAGCGGACCAACAGCGACAGTCTGTCCCAATGGGCCAAGAATGGTCCGGCCTGGGATCTCAGCCACGGTGATTGCGCTGAACAGGGCTGTGTTGGAGGTGATCAACAAGAGACCAAGACACCAAGTTACCCAACATGTGGGGAGACGTTTTTTCTGTCGGGTTCATCCAATTGGATCGGGACCATCTTTTAGATGAAACATGATGGGTTAATCCGCATTCGCCCTGCTGCTTGTTGAGCGGATGAGTCTTTGGTATTTGGGAGCCGGCAGCAGGCCGGCAGTAGAGTTCTCGGGGGAGATTTGATGTGGATGGCTTAGGTTGTATCCTGATTGGAGCTTCGCTACCAAGGTTTCTTTTGACTTTTTTCTTACTTCGATTGCTCCGGTTGCTAGTTGGGTTGACAGCTCTACCGGAACTGGAGCGGGGTTTCCAACCGTAGTCGAGTAAGGTTACGAAGCTCATCCCCGCCAAAACACCAGCAACAAATCGTTTTGGTCCGTTTACGCGACCTCAGTGAATCATGAGCTTGGTCGGATGAAACCCAGGTTCTGTCTGGACGAGCTGTGAGGAGACACGCCACCGTGACGTACCAGGGCTATGGGAAATGGGGTGGCTGAGGCTGGGCCCAAGAAAAAGCATCCAGAAACATTCTTGACGTTGAGGTCGTGGGACTGTCCAGATGAATGGCGGGTCTGAATCAACGGCAAGAGAAAGGGAACCCCGAGAACAATTTGATCTAATCGGCAAGGTTATGGCTCTTACTATACAGGCACACAGGTAACGGGTACACAATGCTATCGTTTCTCTTCGTTCTCTGCCACAGGCGCGTTCGATGCTGATGCCTTCTAGAACGTCCCAGCGAACGGCAAATCGTTCTCTCCCAGGCTTTGGGTGCGACTAACGTAGAACTCCGACAGTTTGGCAGACCGCCGTGTTTCCTAACTGCGTTCGGTACGTTTGGGTCAGGCGCCCGCTCTCTCAGCATGGAATCGCCCTGCTCACAGGGCACTAAAATGAATCCACGACTCATGACCAGCAGAGGGGGAACCTTATGAGGCGCCTTTTGGGGGTCAGCCTCAACCCCAAACCCCCAAAGAGAAGATTGACAGGGCACAAAGGTGGGCCGTTAAGGGGCAGAGCTGTCCGCTCATGTCCGCTAAGGTGGTGGATCAAACCTAGCACAGGGGAAAGGCAATTAAGCTCAATTTAACCTCGTCGTGTCCGTGGAACGAAAACGAACAAGAGTCTTGTGGCGCGTGACAAGTGACTGTGAGATAAGAGATCTAAATGGTATCAAATGCTGCTCCAAGGAAATTTGACAAAAAATGGAAAAAAGATCAGCCGACTCATCAAAGCCGTCATAATATCTGGCCGGCGCATCCGTGACCGCCTCTCGAGCTGTCACCCCCGGCCAGAGCGCCGATGAGGTCTCGGCCACACACGCACTCCCGTGTCTGGCTCTTCAAGCTCCTTGGCCATACACCAGCCAAGCTCCCTACATGTTCCCATCGCGAACCTTTCAGTCCTCCTATTCGTTAATACGATGCTGCCAAACTTCCTGCTCAGCCCTCGCGCTGTACGTGCTTGCGCCCAGAATGGCCCTCATTTGGTCTACACCCATAAACATGACCTGGCGCGCAACGAACCAGCGGATTCCCTCGTGGCAGGGCGGACTAGTCAAGCTGCCGCGGTAGGTCCAGAACTCGTTGAACTGCAGCACGCTGTTCAATGCCGGCATATGGTCAACCTCAATCTCCTGCTGGACGCCGACGTCGTTGAAGCCGATCATTGGCGGCAGCTGGTTGAAGAAGATGTTGTTGGCGTTGCCGGGGTCCAGACGGATCGCCAGCACGGCCTTTTCGTGGCCCTCTTCATCGACGTGAACGAGGTGCAGCTCCGCCTTTGACCTGTCGCCGTTGACCGAGTGATCAGCGGGCGAGTGGATGTGCCAACCTTTGAGATAGAGCTTCATATCGTCGTAGGTGAAGGACGGGTTGCCGGTGTAGACGCCCTTCGGGTGCGTGACGGTGAAGGCGGGGCCGTAGCCCCAATTGTAAAAGTTGCCCGCCGTCCGGTTGGGGTAGTTGAACCGGAGGATGTGGTTCAGTGCCAGCCCGTTGTTGAGGCTGAGCGCGATGGGCGATTGCTGCGTGCCAGTCTGGCACAAAGTGTAGTCTGAGGGCCGGCGTCAGTACATGTACGTCCAGTCCATATCATCAAGGGCGATCATTTGGCACACATGCAACTTTAACTTACTTGGATTGAGGCGGCCCCAATTGAACGAGGCCTCATAGGCCCAGTCCGCAGATGGCAACGGAGCCATTTCTGCACGCTTCCTGTCTGCCATGGCATAGTGGTTCTGATGTCCCGCACACGCGAGGACATCAGACGCCATGAGCAGCGCGCCAAGGAATACTGTCGTGATCATTGCGATAGCGGGATCTGGAGAAACTAGCTGCGATTTGCGATAGACCTTCGATCGTGACCTACCTACCGTGAGGGCCCTTTCAAGCTTTATACTCTATTATACGGCAGCGAACTGCGGGGCGAAGCACGAAAATCCGCCTGGACAGCCTGTATAACCTTATGGAAGGGGGTTCATTTCCGCCTACCGTTTGTAGTGTAGCCTGCCACAAGAAAACCTCCGAGGAGGGAAGGTCGAGGACTCGAGATGCATGACTGGTAGAATGTTGTAGCCGCCGGAGCCAAGGCCTGCTAAGCAAAAGTAAAAGCAAGGGAGCACTACTTTATCGTCAGATTCTGAACACTTGATGCCGCGTTTTCCATCATGCTTGGCGCGCAGGACACTCTCTGGGCGCGCCGTATTAGAGATGCCCCGGAAATGATGGGCAGAATCAACGCATCAACCCGAGTACAGAGCAAACTTTCCGTTGTTCTACCGCTGGCTTTGCGTGAACCCCCTCCTAACGCACCGCTATTATCGCTGTTTTGTCCGTAAATTGCCCGTGTTTTCAGCCTTTCTTTATCAATCTCGAGCCGTAAGCTCGGGGCAGAGATGGGACGGTGGCGTAAGATTACAGGATGCGTTAGCTCTGATAGACAGGACAACCTGGGCACGGTTGGATGAGGTGCGCCCTACCGGTGGCTAAGTCCTTCCTTTCTACAGGTATTCATACCAGCGTGGCCGTTGTGTACCTTCATGTGGCTTGGCTGACGCCTCGTCGAACGTGTTTGTGTTTCCACCAAGACTCCGAGGCGGGGAACCTCACCCATATGCCATCAATTCCTTGGTCTAGCCATGGATCGCGGCAATTTGGAGGGGGCTTGGTCCAAAACTCGTCCGTACTTACGGTATGTTTCTCACCCTTAACTAACTCGGCCCCGGTCAGAGGCAGGACCAGTGAGAAGAGCAGAGGCGTTTGGCCTGGGCACGTGGCTAGAATGCCGATGCGGCTTCCTCCGGGCAACACAAAGTCTAGACTCGGACAAGACTTAGACCGCTCCTGAGGTATCACGTCTAGGTACGGACGGCGACTGTTTTAATATCTGACCGTGAATTAATTCGTGGAAATCTCGAATGCCAAGAACTACTGCAAGAGGGTGGGCGATCATGCGAGACATGAGCAATCTGAGACTGGCGCTAGCTTTCCGTAGGCCGCCTGAGGGAGGCTCAGCGTCGAGAAATTTTCAACTTCCTGCCACCCGGTTACCGAGGAAAGAGTCCGAATGCTTTGTCGTTGATACTCTATCCTCTTGCAAGTCGACGATCGTTACTGGCCGCAGAAGTGTTGGTTGCCGGTGAGTATGTCCGCTCCGATTATGACATTCATCATGGCCATCTTGAGTGAGTGTAACATCAAGCAGGCTAGGATCTGTTTGGATCGACATGGAAATCTATCACAATGACTGGAAATTTCTCCGTCAGAATCATTAGGGGCTAAACCTAGAGTTGTTGAGATAGAAAGAGTTCCTCCCGACATCTAAGAGCTACGTTTTGGGCAAGTAACGTGACCGATAGACGAGATCTAACGATTTGGGCATGGCGGAAAAGGCGCTAGATTAGGGACTACTACATAAGCTTAACCTGCCCCTCAAGATACCTTAGACCGAGCATAGCACGGTTGCTAGGAGGACACTTGGCAAAATCGCCAACGATGCTAGATGAAGGTATGATAGTCGGTAATTATGAATGGAATTTCAAACCTGCCACCGTAACATCTACTGAGGTCGGGTTAAAACCACATGTAAGTTCACACAGTAAAACCATAGAAATAGCCACAATCTCTTGCAGCTGTGTGAAAGTTACTCAGGTAATAGTTTCGAGTAAAAGAGACCGTCAAGAGATTCGTGTGTGAAATAAGCAAGTATACAAGATTCGATGAATATATACCAAGAAGGCGATGCCTTTCTATGAGTTTGGCGTGGAGTAAAAGCAGGCTTAATGGATTATGTAAACGTGTAAACAAGGCAAGATTCAAAACCATGGTGGGATGGCTGGACAGGTTGTCTAAGCGAACATCCGTCACCAACAAAAAACAGCTGTGCCGTGCCGTCTCCGACGAACCTTGTGACCACATGAGCTCATACTCTAGCCAAGACGAGTCGGAACTCCTTCGCTATCAAGGTGTCTGTCACTGTATTTTCACGCCTCGCGGCTCCATCATATTCCTCGGCCATCTTTCCCCTAAGCATCTACTTCTTGCACTGTGCACAGCCTGGTATCAGTTCGGGTTGACTATTCAAGCATCTATTTTCACGACCTTAGTCTTCATTCTTCCCAAGTAAGCGGTACATGGTGACGTATTTAAGGGTTTGGGTAAATGGATAAGCTAACAAGGGGCAGATCAGCGCCGCAAGAAGATCGCACTACAATTCCAAAGCAATTATCCAGGGCAGTTGAGGAAACACAATGGACTCTCGCTGGGCTCTCACTGAAGAGTGGTCCAAGGATCAAAGTAACTTCACTCTTTGGCACCTACTATCCGACGACGATGAATTCACGAAAATCTACATCACACCTACAGACGCAAACTCCGAGGAAGACACCAAAGCCCCCAACATAGGTCGCCGACAAGGACTAGGTACATCGCCAGAACAAGCAGACCTGGACGACGTCTTGAAGCCCTACAAGTGCCACGAAGGTAACTTCGCACCAGTCCAAACGTGCAAGAAACTGCTCTGGGAAATCCAGCCGTTTTTCAGCCGGTTCTCGATAAACAAGAGGCCGTGGCGATGCTGCAACGAAGAAAAGGAAAGCAAGTGCTGCATAGGCCATCGCATAGGTCCCCCGCAGAGGGCCAGACACGGCCCATTCCCGTCTCTGTTTGAGGCCTTGACGAAGATTGTCTACTTCTGCACGGCTTCGAGAAGAATGATCGGGGAGACTGCTGGTCAGTGTAGGGTGACAGTGGACGGAATCGATGGAACTGCCTGGGTTGATAATGGCCATACCCCTGAACCATAGTTGAAGAGCATATCCTTAGATTCCCTGCAAATCAGTTGAAATATCGGGATTTTCGGAGGGGGTGGGCCTGTTTGGGCAATCGTGCAGTTTCTATTCATCAACACATTTATCGACAGCCTACCTCCTTCTCCGGGAGTTGTGAACAGACTGGAGGCACAAGGGCAAGCTAAAACAAGTCCTGTAGCAATTATTCCCAACGCTAGAATGAAATACATCCACCAGATTTCTCAGTCAAGTACCGCCACCTACAAAGAACTCAACATCCCAGTCCCATCATGACACCAAATGTACTCAAAAACCTGCTGCTCAGGCTCCAAAACCAGGACCTCGTGAAATAATCGCAAGGACATCTGATCCCCTAATCCCTTGGCATACTTTACAAACTCGCCAAAGATGGCCAAGTGCGTCCGGTGCTCTTTACTCCAGCGCTCCAGCGAGGCGATGTTATCAAAGTACGCCAGCCCAAAAGTCCGGTCGTGCCCGCCCTCGGCCGTCAGGGGGTCGACAATCTCCATGAAGCGGCAGCTGAAGCAGCCGACCTCGTCGCCGTGGTCGCGGAGGTACTCCATGCCCCTAATTAGCGGTGGCTGCATCGAGTCTAGGTAAATCTGTCGTTCTTCGGCGAGCGCTGCGGACCAGTCTTGTCCGGAACGGATGACGGTGAGGTTCTTCTTGCCTGGTACGCGAACACGTTCCGGGAGCTTGCTTGTGCCATTTCGTTGTGTTGATCCGTTGGCACCTTGCTTCTTTTCTGATTCTGGGTCGCCGAGAAGCTCATCCGTCTGGGATATAGGCAGGCGATCTCGCATGCTGCCCCAGTAGACATGTTCCTTGATAGGACCGCTCACGATATCTCTCATGTGTGCTGCACCCTCAGTTTCCGCCGTCGAAAACACAGTCTCGAACCGATCAGCCGTCGGGAGAAACACCTCCAAAAACCACCCATGTCGCGACCCTTCTCCCGGCTTCGCATCGCTCCACCACGTCCGGAAGCCGCTCTCCGCCGACCACTCCTCGTACGCGGTCCTGCTCGGCCAATATGCAAACACCGCAACGTTGAAGAACCTCTGGTTATCCGTAACGGCGGCTGCTTCGCGGAAGGCTGGGTGCGAGGCCGGGGCGACACGGTCGGAGGTTGTAAAGGAGGCTATCGTCTTCAAGGCGCCGCCGTCGTTGAGGTCGGCTAATGCGTACTGGGCGCCGATGATGGCCATGACTACATCTTTGATGGTCTTTGGGAAGCGGGAGGTGTAGAGCTCGAAGGGGGGCGTGAAGCCTGGTGTCTTCTTTGCAGGTACGGTGCGGTCTTTTCTGAGCCATTCCGGGATTGCGGATTCGAGTTCCATGGTTGCGACTGGATTATGGTGAACAATTGAGATGTCTAGACGCGGAGAGTCAATAGCACAGCGATTATCTTTTCAAGGCTCTGTATTGCTTCTTGCTGATATACACGACGTTCATCTTATAATCACTGCGGACTTGAATATTTCGCAATCTCATCTTGTCGGATCGGTGTTCAAGACACTTGTCAAGCTATACTAGAAACGAAGTTGTGGTGTGAACACCATTGGGAGGGACAGCAGGTAACATGCACGGAATTGAGACGGAACAGACGGGCATTGAGGTCATACAATCCAGGGATCCGACGATGAGACGTGAGACCTTCACGTTTACAAAGATAGTTCGGGCGCATTATTCCCAATTCCAACCAACGGCATAATCGATAATACCAAGCTAATCATGGATGCACTAATAGATAGGATAGTGCTCAGCCGGTGAAGCTAACCCCACCGACCACGCGGATCGCGTGCATTACTCTTGTCGTCAGGCTTGCCCCTCTCCCTCACCGAATTACCCCGGATTTCAGTGATAACGCACTAGTGGTTCAGCTCGGGAAGTGACGCGAAATTTGACGGAGGGACCAACGATGCGGATAGGGTAGTGCTTAGCCGTTGGGAAAATCTGGGGAATCAAGCTACTTGTAGGAGATAGAAGGGGCCGGGTGATCGTTGGTTTGTGATGTTTTGTGCAACAAACAGTCGATCTTCAAATGTGTTGGATAGGATAGTGCTGAGCCGCTCGTGATGCGGCACAGGAGAACCCCTCATCTAGATACGTTTGTTGGAGCAGACGGAAAAGAATAGCCTCGCTTTCGTGCTACAAAAGAGAGAGAATCTGCCCGTGAATGAAGTCGAGTTCAGATGAAAGCCACTCAGCAATTCAACAGCCTCTCTCACTTCACATCATAAACCATCAATACCCAACCACTCTTACCTCAAATCCACTCACGATATCCTCATAACAGAAATGGCTCCCAAGCTCAAGATCGCGGCCATCCAAGCCGAGCCCGCCTGGAACGACCTCGAGGGCGGTGTCACCAAGTCCATCGCTCTCATCGAGGAGGCTACCAGCAAGGGCGCCAACGTCGTCGGTTTCCCCGAGGTCTTCATTCCCGGATACCCATGGTGAGTGAGAATCAGACACACATCCTTTCGAACTTCCTTTTCCTTGATAGAAAAGATACTCTCCTTCCATTTGCTGTCCGCGTCAATGGTTTAGCTAATTTCTTACCTTCGAAAGGAGCATCTGGGCCAAGTCCCCCACCGACAATGCCGGCTTCATGGGCGAGTACTTTCGCAACTCGCTCGTCAAGGACTCTGACGAGATGAAGCGCATCTGCGCCGCCGTCAAGGAGGCCGGTGTGTTTGTCGTTCTTGGCTACAGCGAGCGTTTCAAGAACACCTTGTACATTTCCCAGGTAAGGCACTTGCCTCTCTCTTTCTCATGAGTCCGTTTTCTCACATCTCAAACAGTCCTTCATCGACGAGAACGGCGTCATCGTTCACCACCGCCGCAAGATCAAGCCTACTCACGTCGAGCGCGCCTACTGGGGCGACGGCCAGGGCGAGTCCCTCCAGACCGTCGCGCCGAGCACGCTCCACCCCGAGGTCAAGATCGGCGGCCTCAACTGCTGGGAGCACACGCAGACGCTCCTCCGCTACTACGAGTACGAGCAGGACGTCGACCTGCACGTCTCCAGCTGGCCTGTCCTCTGGCCTCATCCGACGGACAAGGACGGCGTCAGGCAGGCCGACTGGCCGCACCACATCACGGACGAGATGAGCGTGCGCTTCTCACAGGTGGTGGCGCTCGAGGGCGCGTGCTTCGTCATGGTCTACACGCAGGTCGTCAGCGAGGAGTCCAAGAAGCGGTGCCGGATCGACGAGTTTGGGTACGCGAACAACTCGGTCGGCGCGGGTGGCGGCTTCAGCATGATTTACTCGCCCTTTGGCGAGGAGCTCGTCCAAGCGCCCGCCGCCTGGGGAGGAGTGCATCTTGTATGCTGATGTCGACCTCGCGGAGAAGGCCAAGGCGAAGCAGAACCTCGACATTGTTGGACACTACTGCCGTCCTGACCAGCTGAGTCTGCAGGTGAACAAGTACCCTGCGCGTCCCGTTCACTACGCGGCCGACCCTTGAGAGGAATGTTGCTGGGAGAATGGATGGATCAATGATGAGATCAGAGACTGTTTCTAGTTAGTAGTGAAAGGCTGTTGGGGATTCCCAGGAAAGCGAGATATCAGTTGGACGAGTTTGAGGGATGAGTGCGTCTTTTTGTCAAGCAGAGAGGAAGTTGAGCAGCATATAATTAGTTGTGATATCGCCCAAGTACTTAGTAATTATCATCATCTCTCTGAAAATATTCAGCCCCTCTCTCAGCTAAGAGTCTCAGCTCCCCTCGCTCTATTCCCCTTTGTGTTTTAGAGTTTGATCTAGTAGAAGCAGACGGGTGGATTGGGCGGAGCTTTTCGATAACTGAGCGTGCGTTGATTGGGGAAGTGCGGGGTTTTCCCTCTCCCTTTTTTCGTTTCTTTTCATGACTGAAGCGCGTCGTTGTCTCCCCCCCCCCCCTCCTCCTATGATCCATCCCATCGGTAGTTGAATAATATTAAAACTGTGGTCTTTACCACATCGTCGGGACCTGTCAGAAACACATATCCACACTGACTTGTTGGATGATAATGCCTCTTCTGTCAACCGAGTAAAACTAGCCGACTGGGCCCATATTTGCGGTTACCTGCTTTCCTTGCTTTCCTTGCTCTCATATTCCCCCTCCAGAACATGCCCGCGTGTACGGACTACGGATACGGGCTTTTGATACTCACCTGAGCCATGTCGACATCTCTTCCCCAACGGCAGCCCGAAGGCAAAAAGAGACAGCGGGTCTCCATCGCCTGCCTCGCGTGCCGGCAGAGACGCATGCGAGTAAGTCGTCCCCCGTTCATCATAACCTACCTACCTTACTTCACAACGTATCCCTTTCCCCATTCATTGTCGTAGTGACACGCGAAACCCCCAGTGCGATGGACAACAGCCCATCTGTGGCTCTTGTACGAGGAGGGGCACCGAGTGTGAGTTCCAGCACGCGGACAATAAACGCCGGTATGTCATGGATCAAGAGCCTTTTCCCCCTCCCCTCCCCCTTTCCAAGGCTCCAAGCTCCAACCCCCCCCTTCTCCGGTCTCCCCGCGAGTTCCACAAAGATGTGGATCTCATCATGACCGGTTCGTGCTGCCGCTGACAGCGGCGGACGAATGTCACCATCCCCAGACCGCCCAGCAAGAAATACGTAGAATCCCTGCAAGCTCGAATCAGACATCTAGAAGCCCAAGTCGTCGCCCTAGGCTCCCAGCCGGCCACCGGCTCCGGCGACCTCGCCGCCGCCGAGACCACCGAGGACAATGACGGGCAAGACGACAGCACCGGCGAAGACGACGACGGCAACGGGGGTCCCCTCTCGGACCTCACCGGCCTCGTCGGCCTCCTCAACGTGATTGAAGACGGCCAGCTGCACTACTTCGGCTCCCAGTCTTCCTACAACCTCGTCCGCGAACCACCGCGCGACTCCCCCGCCGACCCGCGCGAGCCCTCGCTCAAGATGCAGCGTCAGGGTCTCCTCGCCGCTGCCCAGCTGGGGAAAATGGTCACCGTCCCCGACGAGCTGCAGGCTCACCTACTCGAGCTCTACTGGCGCTGGCAGAATCCCTGGAACTACGTCATCCACAAGAGTGCCTTCCTGCGGAGCTACCGCGGCGAGGATGATGGGGCGTATTGCTCGCCGTTGTTGTTGTGCTCCATCTTTGCTATTGCGGCGCGGTACTCTGATCGCCCTGAGCTGCGGACCGTGCCGGATGATCCCAGTATTGCTGGGGATGCGTTTGGCGAGCATGCCAAGATTCTGCTGTTGTATGAGAGTGAGGCGCCGACGATTACGACGGTGCAGGCTGCGTGCTTGCTTGCTTTGAGGATCATGTCGGATGGCAAGGAGGCATTGGGGTGATTGTATTCTGGTATGTTCTGTGTTGAAGCAACGAGATTGCGTGATGTTCGTCTGCTAATCAGTATCACCAGGAAACGCAACAAGAATGGCACATAATCTTGGGCTTCATCTCGACTGCTCAAAGTGGGCTACTGCCGGTCTGCTCTCTGAAGAGGAAGCCGAGGCGCGAAAAGTAACGTGGTGGGGATGCTATGTCGTTGATAAGTGAGCAATCTCCTTCTTCCGCTTCCTCATATTCCCATCCACAATGTTTTATCACATCTCATATGAGACTTTGCCAGAGCAGCTAGCTGACATGTTCCAAGGCTCTTTTCAACCGGGCTGGGCCGGCCAAGCAGTACGTCAAAGTCTACCATCTCTTGTCCAAAACCTAGCATAGACAGCAACGAAGAGTACACCCCATGGCTGCCGACTTCGACACGCTGGGTTCCGATAAGTCTCTCAGGGTCCATTCACATATCTCATCAACAGCCTGCCACGTATCTGAGACTTTCACCATTGCTTGCGAGTCGATGGATATAATGTATGATGACCCCGAATCCACTCTCATACTTTGAATAGCGGCGCATCCCCATCGCTGCAGTCCACCTGTGCTTCTCGGCCGTGGTCATCCACCTCATTGACGCCCGGCCGTCAAACCCCAACCGGCAGCAGGCGATCCGGCACTTACAGACATGTGTTGATGCGCTGCGAGACTTGCGAACGGCATGGTGCGCCTGGAGCGATAGGGCCTTGCGAGCGGCACGACTCTTGACGAGAGAGTGGTACCAGTGTGAAGATGTCTCACTGTTGCAGCACTGGGGTGGACTCGGCGGGGTCGAGGGCAGCATATCTGGACCAACAGCAAACGCAGCAGCAGCAGCAGCAGCCGCAACGGGAGTTACCGTCGGTATCCCAAACACAAACGACCAACAGCAACAAAACCTGCACCAACCGTATCAACAAGGTGGAACTGCAGACGCGGACAAATTGATGGGACAAGTGCAGACGACGGATGGCGATGGCCAAGGCGACCCTCTGGCGTTTCTTTTTGATGTTGCCACGCCCGACCAGTACACGGATAGTTTGGTGAAGGAGTGGCTGGCGGAGAGTGGTTAAGATGTGTTGAATACGGTCGTCGATTGAAGACGATGAGTAATCTTGCCCGGCGTTTTTGGTGTATCTGAATGTCTCGGTATATCTCGTCCGTTGTGTGGAGAGGCTCGAGGGTAATTCTTTCTCTGGCTTGTCAGTGTGTGTCAGCGTGCCAGCGTTTGCCTAGTGGTAACAATACGGATAGATACTTAGCAGAGACCTGGCACGCCTGGTCACTATCCGTAGGCTTGTGTCAAGGGGTCAAGACGGCAATTGCAAGTTGCAGCAACGCCGACTTCAGCTGAATGATTCGTGTCAGATGGACCAGACCAAGCCGTCTGACGCAGGAGAGGGGTCTCAGGTTCAGCGCCGGCGGTAGATGCCGGTGAATAAAAGACAGATCAAGGTGTAATGCAAAACGGCCCTAGAATTGTGCAACAATAACCATTATGCTCGAGATCGCTGAGCTGCGATTCCCTTTTGAGTCTAGCAGCATAGCTTAGCTCGGAGGGTACGGAGCTTCGTCCGCAACTTTTGGGCCCTTGGTGCCCTTTGGGGGTGGTCAATGGCATGGTTCAACACGCACGGGACAGCCGCTGACGGGTTTGATGCCCGATTTGATGCAGAGTGACGGTGAATTCTGTCGGGGTGCGTTGGCCTTTCTTGCTGGTCTGATTGCTCCATCTCATTTCTTCCCCCTCCCTTTGTGGTTTCTTGCCTGTGGTCTCCGTAAAATTGTGCTGATGTTTGTGTCTTTTTTTTTTTCTCGTCTTGTTGCATTTTTGCTGATGGTGTTTTTGGGACTTTCCATCGTTGTTCCTTCCAGCTGCCTCAGCTCCTTCCTGGCAGAAGGTCCTACCTAATCGGTTTCGCTTTCCCCATCTCAGATCGCCCTTTCCCTCTCCCTTTTTCACTTTACCATGCTGCCATCGGTGGAGGGGTGCACCCAGAACCCACTCAATATCAGGAGCGTGCTCCGAACGCCTCCCATTGGCTGACAACACCCGTATAGCCAATAGGAGCACCTCCTCGCCAAGACCCACGTGATGGGCATCTGACCTGGGCCCACCGATCGAGATTCGAGACCTTTCAGTGTCCAGTGTGTTCCTTCCTCTTTCCGAAAACCCAACTGAGCAGCAGCTGCCTGGTGGGATAATTGAGAGAGAAAGAGTGGAAGCCACACTTGCACTACACTGCACACAGTTTGCGAATTACCCTCGTTCGTTCCTGCTTACTCTTTTTTTTTTCTTTCGGTTCTGCATTTCATTTCGTATTCTTTTTTCCCATCTTATTTCCATTTTGCCCTTCCAAGAAAAAGAACGAACCTGAGCAAACCTGCAGCCTGCTTAGCCTGCCTGCATTGCAGTCCGTCTCCCCGAAAAAGGAGACCGCAAGGAAGGGAAAAAGGCGAGAAGGGGAAAGAGCTGGTCCATGCGTTTTTGGGGTTGAGGTGAAATTCCTCAGCAAACTGCCGTTGGAATACAACAAGGGCCAACCGTCTCATCCGGAACAGACCAACAAAATCACCCAAGAAAAGAAACGAAGAGGAACAAGAAGAAAACAAGGGAGGGAGGACAACGCAAAGCGGTAAAGCTTCAATCTCATGTCGCTCCCCGCAAAGCGTCGTCGTGTCATTCTTCCCGCACCGGGCGCCCAACCCTTCGGATCTCTCCCACCCGCCTCTTCTTCACTGGTAGCAACATCATCTCACCAGCCATCCGCCTCAGGACGCGGATCGACCGGAGGAAGTGGGAGCAGCGAGGAATCGTTGTTGGGGAATGATACGAGTCGCGACCTTCAATCCAGAAGTCAGAGCATCGACTCATCTTCAGCCGATACCAAGAAGCCGAGGGCCGCTTCTAAACGACAAGTTATTGCAGTTGCTTGCGATAACTGCCGCCGGAGAAAGGCAAAGGTGAGTGAAACGAACACCGATACAAACTTTCCCCTCTACACTAGAGAGAGAGGGTTGTCAAGATGATCCGAGACTGAGAGATTCCACAGTGCGACGGCCATCGCCCAAAATGCCAGCACTGCTCCAAAAGGGGCGTCGAGTGCCATTATGAGGCCAACCAAGGCGAGACTGTGAGTCTCGCCCTCAAACGCAAGGCAAACGACCTCGAAAGCGAAAATGTCCAGTACAGAGAGCTTTTCCGCATGGTCTGCACCAAATCCGAGGACGAGGCAAAGGAGATTTTTCGCCGCATACGCCTGTCCGGTGACCCCCTCAGAGTCCTCGAATCCATCCGCCAGGCAGAGATTCTGCTCCCCTCCCTCCCCGTCAATGACCGCGTCAGCGACTCGCGGTTAGCAAAGCTCAACGAAAGGGCAATGGAAAACAGCCTCCTCCGCGTGCCGGCAAAGCCCTGGACTACGGTTGCTGACGATGGCATCGTCTCCGAGTTAATTACCGACTTTTTCAGCTGGGACAATGCGAGTTGTTTCCCCGCCGTCGAGCAGAATCTGTTTCTCGAAGACATGAGGTCCGGGAATATCAAGCGTGCAAAGTGGTGTTCCCCTATCTTGGTCAACGCAATGTGTGCAGTCCGTGCTGTTAGTCCCCCCTCTTCTACCATGTATCTCGACACCTACATATCGCAAAAGGGCATCCCGTAACTGACACTTTTCCGTAAGCCATTTGTTGCAACTGTCAAAGAGTTTCACTCCTACACAGGCCAAGATTTGGCGAGGCAGTTCCGGGAAGAGGTCGTGCAGCTGGTGGAAAAGAGTCACGGCCGGGCTTCAATCCCCACCATCCTTGCCCTCGTCCTCGTGGACTGGTCAGCGAGTATTGCAGGCGACGAAGCCAGTGCCAAGATGTACCGCTTCATGGCCTGGGAAAGGTATAAACGTTTCAAACCAGAGCGACGCTTCGCCATGCTCAATAAAGACGATCCAAATGATGCGATTGAAATGCTCGTCATCTCGAAAGCTGTGTGGGCCATATTCTTGATGGAGAGGTGCGTTTCCCCCTTGATAGCGAACCTAACTGTCGCAATCCCCAACGCCAAACTAACACTTAACACAATAGCCGCGTATCGTATTTCTACAACTCAACCGCAGATATCCCACCCCCGACAATACCCAGATTGTTCGACGACTGCGGACGAGACGCAAGCGAGCCTCTCGGCAACGTCGACGTTCTCGGTCGACCCTACCTAGAATCTACGAACCTGATACCAATCGTTCCAGGAATAGCAACAGTCGTGTCCGATCTCGCCAGGCTACAGTATGACGTTATGTCATACCTCACGTCTGGAAGCACCATCAAAGGAAGCATCGAAGACGTGAGGCGGAAGAAGCATTGGTATTGCAGGTTGCAGGAGTTCAGGGAGGCGTTGCCTAAACGCTTCCAGATGGAATACAACTTCACCCCGGCAACCTGCTTCTTGAGGTACGTCTAGGTTTTCCGATGACCATTGGCGAAATAGCGAAATGAGGAATCATGCTAACATCACCCAGGATGCACGAGAACGAGTTAGCCTATGCCGTCCTCCAGTCACTCAGCCCGTCAACCATCTTCGACACGCCCTTCACCGCACCTTCTATGACCGTAAAGTCTCTCTGCCTCCATCACTGTGTCTCCGACACAACTCTCGCAGAGTCATATCTACAACGCTACTGCCCGCACTCGTACATCACCCGCGTCATGTTCGTGGCGATGCAGAACCTCATGCCCTACCTCAATGAGGGCCACACCGCCACCAACGACCTCTTCACCCGCCTCTGCATGATGGGCGGTATCTCGGCGCGCGTCGTCCGTATGTCAATGTACCTTCTCCAAGCGGTGCAAGCCATGGCCTGGGCGATGAAGCAGGACATTCCGGCCGCCGCGAGGCCGTATCTTGATCCTTGGGTGAGGCTCGCGATTCAAGAGAGCGAGACAAAAGCACCGAGCTACGCTGTTCCGGACCGGGAGGAGATCAAGGCCCTTCTTGCCGATGATGATCAGAGCGATGGAGGATCTGTCGAGAGCGGCGCCGAACTATGGGCATTGGTAGAGAAGTGGGCTCTCAGCACCGGGAAAGGTCTTTGATGGTATGCCCAAGTAGTCAATAGGGAGCCCGGCGTTTTGGATTGGTTTGCATGGCATGTGGTGCAAGCGTGTTTGATCATGATGAGGAGTGAAGGACTTTTTGAGCATTTGCCATGTATGTGGCGGCCATTTGCGGAACAGAGATTCGGGCAACGCGAGCTGTCATTATTACTTCCAGATTATGGCCCAAGGCTGATGCAACATCGTGATAGTGAAGTATCAAAGCCATCGAAGCTTACCCTCCACGAGATCACAAGTGACATCCTTGAGTGGCCCGGTTGTTTTAAAGCCTTGGCTACCAAGAGTGCATTGAATTGCGCACCAATCACAGCTAACGATCCGTTCGTATTATCAACATTTTGGATTCCAGGACAAGGACATCGATGTCACCTTCCCGCTTGGTATTGGCAGACCCTCCAACTTCTCTAGATTCCAGATGAGCTCGAAGAAAATCGGGATTTAAGCTTGATACTTGCTTCCCCGGAGTCCTATCCGAACTTGCAGCGCCCGTCGGTTGCCTCCTCCGATTATATCCTTGGAGAGGACATCGTCTGACCTGATCAGGATTCTGAGTATGTCAAGACGAGCCTATTTTGTAAAGTCGCAGCATCTCGTATCCCTCAACTTCCGCGAACGACCTAGTTTGACTTGTTCGCCTCTTTCAGTTCTTGTTTCTTCAACTGTAAATTGCGACCTGCATGTTGTTCCACCCTCCCGCCCCCTCTTCCTCTCACGGCGTTACTCGATGCCACCAAACGCCTGTCAGTCCGGAGACATGAGTTCCGTCGGTATTTCACACACCTTGATGACACTGAGCATCCCTTAATCATTTCACACTCTAATACGAGGAACTAAGACAATGCGCTTACAGCGTCACATCCCGTCAAGTTCCCGCACTCATGCAGCAACGATGCTTCTTTCTGCCCCTGTAACTCCTTCGTCTTATTCAAGAAGGATAATTGCAAGCTAGACCCAGTTGCTCGACGTTAGATTAACTCAAGCCCATAGAAGATCGCACCTGGCACTGGTCTGACTCTGCTCCGAGTCACCTGCCAGTATCGCCTTCACAGCTCATTGATAGGCATCGCCCAAGGTTGCCACCAGAATGCCTTCACTATCCTCTGTTGTCTTCACCCTCCTACAAGGCCTACGCGTTGCCGTTCAGGCCCAAACAACAATCATATCCACCGGAAACCCCATCATCGCCGACGGAACCTACTACACAGCAGACCCAGCCCCCTTGGTCGTAAACAACACAGTCTACATCCTCACCGGCCGAGACACCGCCCCCGCAAGCCAAAATGCATTCATCATGAACGAGTGGGAGATGCTCAGTAGCACAAACCCGCGTCCCTCTGGAGCCCAGTGGCAGCTGCGCACCAACATTGCTCGCCCGGAATCGGTCTTCAAGTGGGCTGCGTCCGGGACTGCATACGCTTCTCAAATCGTGCAGGGCCCGGACAAGAGATTCTACCTCTACGCTCCCGTCACCCAGGCCTCGACTTCGAATTCCGATCGGTTCGCTATTGGGGTAGCCGTCTCGAGTAGCCCCTGGGGTCCTTTCGTCGACGCTCACCCTAGTGGGCCCATTGTCTCGCAGTCTGTCCCGTCGCCGGGGAACACCATCCAGAATATCGACCCGACGGTTCTCCTTGATGATACCGGGAGAGTCTACCTCTACTGGGGTACATTCGGTCAGCTTCGCGGCATCGAGCTCTCTACGGATATGGTCAGCACCATCGGACAAGTCACGGCAGTCAACAGCCTAACTGGCTTCTTCGAAGCACCGTGGCTCCTCAAACGAAAGGGAACGTATTACATGCTCTACGCTGCGAATAAAGCCGGAACAGATTCACCATGCACACCGACATTCTACCACGCCTGCATCGCCTACGGAACCGCCTTCTCGCCCCTGGGCCCATGGACCTTCAGGGGTGTAATGCTAGACATTGTCTCCTCAACTACTTCACATCCAGGTGCCTTTCAGTTGAACAGCCAGTGGTATCTGGTTTACCACACCCGATACGCCACGGGAGGAGGCCACTTCCGCCGCAGTGTAGCCCTGGACTCCATGATCTGGGACGATGCCCAGTCGCCCCCGCGTATCAACAAAGTCATCCAAACCCGTCGCGCGCAACCCGCCGCTCCGGCAACCCGCAACATTGCGACCAAAGCTACAGCAAGCTCAGTCAACCGTACGCCGATACAGTACTGGATCAAATCCATCAACGACGCTTGGATCCCCGGGAACCCCCTCCCACCAGACTACTGGTGCTCCTACGACGGCGCTGCCTCGCCGCAGACGAACACGCTTGCCTTGACGTGGTCCTCGGCGGTGACGCTTAACGGAGCGAGGATGGTGCTTTTCGCTGATCAGCCTGCTGGGTCCAATATCGGGGTGCCGCCTCCTGCGAGCTGGCGGATCGAGTATCTGAATGGGAGCGGTGCATGGGTTGCGGTTACGGCGACGTCTGCGTATCCTACTGCCGTTACGGATAATCCTACTATTGTCAGCTTTAACCAGGTTTCGACGAAGAGTATTCGTGCGGTTTTGGTGGCTTCTGGCGGGAATGGGCAGTATGGTGGTGTTGGTGTTAAGGAGTTTGAGGCTTTGGCTCCTTCTGCGCAGTAAACACTCAGAGAGCACTCATATGGGAGGTACATGCAGGCAGGACATTGAAGTTCTCACTCTTCATTCAACATTACATATTTTCCACCAAGAGCACGTCTCCCTTGAAGTCCTCCATATGGATTTCGCTCACAAGTACTTCGTTTCAATTTCCCCAACGTGTCTCCTTACATTCAGCCGTGATTTCCAACCTAAACTCCACCCATCAAAACTTCGCCCGAATCTCAGGCTCCCCCAAAATCACATGCTTAAATCGATACACAATATCGCTAAATCTTCCCTCCGGAAAAACATAAAGCCACGTCATGGTCTCCCCGCCGTCACAAAACACTCCGTGCTCAGTGTCCCCGGGGATCCACACGAGCTGGTCCTTGGACACGGCGTGCCGGACGCCGTTGATCTCAAGCTGGCCGCTGCCGGAGAGCACGTAGTAGATCTCGGCCTGCTTGTGGCGGTGCAGCGCCAAGCTTCCGTTTGCCGGACAGGTTGCTACACCGGAGCTGAGGGAGTCGGTGACTGTGCTTGGGGCGGAGATGAGGGTGTGCCATGTTGCGTTGCCGCGGGATTGTCCGGGGAAGGACTCTGGGGGCTTTGTTGACGAGGATTTGATGTCTACTATAAGAGGGGTTTCTGGGGTCTTTGATGCCATGGTTCTTTCTCTTTTTTTTTTTGTGTTTTCTTTCCTTTTCGTTTCGGCGCAAAAATGTCGTCGTCTACAAGCGCGCAGTTTCTACCGTTTGCATGACGATGAAGAATTGTGTTCATGTGGGGGGTTTTATGTCATTCGCCATCTACTTACCCCTCCTATTCCGAACCCGATGAACTAAGATCAAGACGCCGTCTTATCCAAATTTTTACGTGACGATGGTGTTAGTTGTTCGTACTATATTGGTCGGCGGTGCGGAGACCCACGCCACCAGTCCGGCAAGAAATGCCTTGTTTGGCATGTCGAGCCTCGGGGTCTCAACTCTATGTCCGGATAAGAAATCTATAAGCAACTGCTTCCGTTGCACCGGCTTGTATTCTACTCGCGGCAGTAGTATTCTTTCTCATACTGCTCGCTTGCGATTTACCATGAAGGAAGGGAATTCGATAGAATGTCGATGCACTCATCAAGGAAGGTAGTGTCATTTGATGCCTCCGATAGGCAAGCTGCGTGTCTGGCTGACTGCCGGTAATGGAGCAACATCTTTCTTTATGTCGAAAATATTACAGGCAACCATGGATCGGGCTAATGGCCATAGCTACTTTAGATACTTTGATCGATTGGCGTTGGGAACAACTTGGTTTCACTCTTCGAACATTAGCCCTTGGGCTTCTGGTATACTTAGGCGATGATCTTATCTCTAGGAACGTGATTAGAAATGGGGTGCCGGATCCATCATCCAAACAGTTTCGCAGCGTTTCCCCTCCTCACAGCTTCGATCTTCCTACTGTTGTCGAAAACCTCCTCAACATCTTGATCAAACTTGATCCTCCCAGCTTCCGCCATGGCCAAAGGGGTGAAAGGCGTGTCCGTCCCCCACAACAGCTTCTCATAGCTCACCCACCGAAGCAGAGGAGGAATCGCCCAGGTAACTGGCCAGGGCCCAGCAAGGTCAAAGTAGAAATTTTTCGCCAGGGTTGACTTCATGAATGCCTCTGTTAGATTGACATCCGGCGTGCTATAGCTGACGATCCGATCCAGAGTGGGAACCAGACCGCCGCCTGCGTGAGGCATAATCCACTGAATACGAGGGAATCGCGTCGGAACCTTAGAGTAGAACAAGTCTGCAAATGTGCGAGCCGTGTCGAACGGGAAGTCGATGGTAGGCGCCCGGCGCTGTCGGCCTGCTGCCGGTCTATTCAAGGTAAGCCATTCTGGTGGTGTGATCTCGGGATCTTCTCCGTCGATCGAGAATCTCAAATGGTTATGCTCCGTGCAGGGTGCGGTAGGATGCTCAAAGATTGTGGCGTTCACCTCGTTCAGCGCCTTGTAAACTGGATCGAGTTCCGGGTCGCCGAGATACATTCCGTAGAAGTTGGACATAAGCACGATGCCGTCGGGTTTCGGGTCGAGCTGGGTGAAGCAGTATGTAATCTCCTCCACGGATGCGTTCACATCTGGGAGGGGAAGCGAAGCAAAGAATCCAAATTTGTCGGGATACTTGGCTTTCACTTCTGAACCATACTCGTTGACTTGACGTGCGAGTTTGTAGGCCTTCTCTGTCGCGGACTTGGATGGCACGGAAAGATATACCCCCGGGCTGGAGATGGACAGGAAGGATCTCTCTATGTTCTGGGCTTCCATGAAGTTGAGGTGCGCCTCGGGGGTCCATTCCTACAATTCCATGTCAGCATATCGCGGAGCTGTTTGGGGTGTTCGTTGAGACTGGTACTGACAGGAATCCCTGGCATGCCATCTGGGCCCGGTAGATGCCCAGCATCTTTGAGCGCTTGCGCATAAAAGTCTGGGACGTAGTGCGCGTGCACATCGATCTTGGCTTTTGAGGATTGCATATGGTTGCCTGCGAGTGCGAAACACAGCAATTGGCTGATGATGATGAAGAGAATTGGCATGCTGGCTATGAGTTGGGACTGAGCGACGTTTCCGTCTTGAACGAGGTTGGTTGCCGGTACGGAACCTAAGCTTAATTATACCACCACACATCTTCGGCCTATGCACTTAGAGGAGCTGCAGTGATTATTAAATGCCTTACATGTGAATGACGCCACGGCACCAGTGCATACCTACTGACCGAACCCTTTCCACGCCGCTTCCTGCGCTGCGTCACAATGGCCCTACTAAATTCCTTTTGTCTCGGGGCAGCGCGCATAGCGGCAGATACGAGACGCCACGCTTACAACTGTCTAGCAGCCATTTGCGCAGTTTTACTAGGTACTCACATGCAGCCTTATCGATCTTCGCTTGCAACAGTGTAAATACAGGTTAGGTCATACTTAGGTCCTCGGACATGGTGTTTGTTCCTCCTTAGATTAACGTATAATTACTCATCATTGCCATGCTTTATAGCTGCAGCGACGATGTTGTCTGGCACACAGGTCACAAATTGAACAGACTGCAATGAACGAGTCGATGTATCAGATTTCCCTCCCATGCTAATTGCTCATGCTAATGTTGGTTCCACGCAAAGCATTTACTTTAGATCACTCAATTCTCTTCTAGGCCAAGCCCTGTGGGTGGGCGATGGGAATGATCGGTCCCATGACCACTTCTTCGCCAGTGTCTCCTCGAGGGACCCGTCCAGCATCTGTACAACGTACTTACCCAAGATGGGCAGGAACTTCCAGCCATGGAACGATCCACAAGTCGCGACATAGAGATTCTTACTCGCAGAATGCGGGGAGATGATGAAGTCCTCATCGGGCGTGACAGCCTCCCTATGACATATGTTAGCAAGATACAGTGCACGACCTATTAGCTCTAGGTCTCCAGGAACCTGTTTACATACCAGCAGATGCGATAGTTCTCGTTCTTGAAAGCTTCGCTTCCTTTTCCAAACAGACTCTTTCCAGCATAATCAACGTCTTCTTTCAGAGCATCCGGGACCTCGAGCTGCGCATAGTCAACTGCCGCAGGAGGTGCAGATATCTGGCTTCCGTTTGCGTGAGTCTGAGTGTTTCTGAAGATTATTTGACCCCAGAATTTCAAGGTCTTGTCCTTCGAATGAGGAACACTTCCGTTGCTTGCGCCTGCGATACCGTCAATAGTTGAATCATAGTAGACTTGACTAGTCACTAGCTTTCCATACCTCTTGATGGCGGCACCATGGAGATTCCAACTGGCCCGTCGTAAAGGTCTTTTGCATTCTCTCCAGAGACAAGCGTGAACCCCTCGGTAACAGCTGCTGCCACGAACCTGTCGCCAGCTTGAAGATCTTTTCTCTCGGGGGCGCTATCGGCAAGCAACTTTGCCGTGTAAGCGCCCGTTGATAAGATGACTCGTGAAGCGGTTATACTCTCGCTCTTTGATGTCTTGATACCAGTCGCAGCGCCATGTTCATCAAACTCAATCTTCTCGACTTCTGCCTCAACATACTTCACCCCGAGCTTCACAGCCTCCTCAATAGTCCTCTGCAACGCCTCCTTCGCCTCACCCCATCCACTATTCTTGTTCACAAAAACCTCCTTCACATCAGTGAAATCAGCGTCTTTGAAAATGCCGCCATATTGCTTCTTGGCCTCCTCAACAGAGAAAGAGAATAATCCGGAGTCGACTCCGAGCTTCTTGTAATTCTCCTGCATATGTTCTGCAAAGTTGTTCGGCGAGACCCAGTAGACGCCGCTTTCATGGTAATACGATTTCCAGATCGGGTCCTCTGACCAGTACTTCTTGGCCTCGAGGCAAAGGCGCATGTATTCAATATCGACATAGTCGGCGCGCACGACCTTGTTCCAGTCCCACGAAGCGGCGATGCGGATGGGGGCGTCGTAGGCATTGCGGTCGACGAGGGTGACGGTGGCGTCGGGGTATGCGCGGATCAGGTGCAAGGCAGTGGAGGCGCCGAAGACGCCAGCGCCTATGATGAGGTATGAATCTGTTGAGGTGGCCATTTTCAATGTACGAAGGTTAGCTTCTTCTTTCAGTTTTGGTCAGCGTACTAAATCAGACTAAAGACTATGAGTTTCAACACTCCAAGTTGATCATATCTTGGTCCCCGTTGTCGGACACTGCCCGCACTTCATCCCCGTCTTATCTTCTGACGTCATGTGATCAAATCGGCACGCCATCGGCTTTGGGCCGAACAATCTCCACTGCAACATAGAGCAGGTCACATTAATGAGTCTTGCCGCGAAGATACCGGTGGGATGTAAGTTCGTTCCAGTCTTACCTTACCTTTGGCAGATATCTCAGTTGGGCTCTATCTAGGACACCACTGGGAGGAAAGCAAGTGAGGACAAGATTCTTTAGCTTCAACTCTTTTTCGGCTCTAGAAACTCATAAGCACATAAACTTAACTGAGAGAATCACATTTTCTGATTTCATGGGGAGAGAGCCCGAACTATCGATGTAAGAGGTAGAAGTCATGAACCTCAGAAATTACCAGACTTGCATCTCGAGAGTCTTCCGTTGGCTGAGGCGCATCCTCGACTTCACCTGAATGATTCACCGCATCTCCTGAAGCTTTCTCGCCGATGTCTGTAAGGACTTCGGCTGTTGGTCTCTCGTCTCTAAGGGGACTCCAAAGGCGATCGACCAACATGGCCTCGGCAACCGAAGGGCGAGTCTCCCACTGGCTGACGACAAAGTCTTTAATTCCATCTTGTGCCAAACGCTCCGCGTCCCAGAATACGTATCCAGTTGGCACCAAGGACTCTGGAACGTATTCCCTATAAGCATTCGAGTACTTCCAGTTCCATAACAGAACCCAGGCGAGTGGCGGTTCGTTGGGCGGCATATAATCACCTCGAAACTCCATGTTCTCTGCCCTCTGCTCCGCTCGGTTTCTTGAATCTGGAAAGGCGTTTGAGACATCGCGTCTGCCTATCTATGCAGTCGTGCTCAGAGACTTCTTGAAAGAATCATCATTTCGCTTCTGGGTTGTGATGGCGCGCTCCATCTTGGCTAGCAGTAACTCATAGTTGTCAATCGTAAACATTCGTACCGCAATTTGCAGCCCTCGCGACACAGTCCCCTCCATCCAGCCTACATTCTCAATTAGCAAAAAGAATTCTACTGAGTCCTAGAGCTGAACTCATACTATTCCACTCCATTTCGAGACAGAACAACCCGTCAGAGTTGGTGACCTCAGGTTGTTTGAACTTGGGGTTTTACTGGTCAAGATCACCTTTGATCTGGTTAAAAATATCGGCGTACTTTTCTCTAACAAACGCATCTATGCATCCGATAGCCTCGACTTCCCAAGGATCGAATAGACAGCAGAAAAGCTCGTTGATTGTATAAAAGGGATAGCCGCCGCGCCGTCTGCCCTTGTTCCGACCAAAGAGATGATTGAAGGTTTCGTATCGGTAAATGACTCGGAAGACACGAATTTCTTCGCTTCTATTCAGGCTATTCCTGTACTCGGTCGGCGTGTCTGGTGATACCGTGGTCTCCGCCGTAGTTGGGTTTGGTAAGGCAGCACTTTTGAGGTTTGCCAGAGCCCACCTGGTGTAGAGGCTTGCAAACGGTCGAGCAATGGAATTATGAAATCCGGCCATCCAACGCATGTCACCCGCCGGTGGAGAACTCATGTTTGGGGCTCCCGGGGAGCCTGAGAGGCAGAGCCCATACTGGTCGAGGAACTCGGCGATTGTTCCGTCCCCTCGAGGACTGCCAAATACTCACCCGAGACATTAAGTGAACATGAGCGTCAACATAAAGTCCATCTAGCTCTCGGCCCAGGCAAAACCGTAGGAGAGTATTCCGATTTGCTCTATATTGAGCGTGAAGTACTGGTGAGGCGTGAACAAGAGATTGCAAGCTTGGTAGGTCCGGCATCCAAGAAAGGATCTGAAATCTCAGCTCGGCCGGTAAATTCTCGATACTTGAAGCTGAGATGAAACTCTCAATCAGATTCTTTTGCTCAAAATCCCATGTTACAGTTTCGTCGTCGCTTCCGGTGTTCATGCGGTTTGCGTCGTTGCTGGGGCTCTTTTGCGGTTTCTTCCTCAGCGATTTCCCATGAATGCTCCCTGCACGAACTTCATTTTCACCCTGACAAACTCTGGCGTCCAGTTCCATTTCGATCGTGGCGAGAAGATTCCCCCTTTCCCCTTTTTCTTTTCGCTAGCAGACTGGCTGGTTGTGGAAAAATCGCATGCGGTTGAAGACCAACGAAATGAGTGATGTAGGTTGCCGGATTTTGGTCACCGCCCAAGGGAAGGCCACTGCGGAAGAAGTCTGAGAGAGGGATGACTTACAACCATAAGGCGGGGCAAGTGACATTTGAACCAATCAATGGCAATTGTGTACATGATTGTTCATGTCCCTCAAGCGCCGACGACTACTGCATGTGCCTCCTTCTTTGTAGCGCAAAGGCACAGTTGGTTCTGGTCACAGTCACGCGGGCGCTTCTCGAAAGTATCGCCCGTGTATTTTGATCACTAGAACCCTGAATAGCAGATTCTGGATCACACTGCCGCAACCATGGTACTCACGATGGCGCGACATCCTAGGGATATTAACTTCTCTTGTCAGTAAAGTAAGCATGTGTCCAAATTGCAGTTTCCACATCTTTGTTTGTTCCATATTACGGCTCTGAGCTTGCGGCCCATCATTTTGACGTCTCACAAGGGAAGAGTTTCCAACGCCTGACTCGGCACTGTAGCCGTTGACCACTATTCTTGCAGACTTGGCCCTGCCATTGTTACATGTGCATAGACAACCAACACGGCCTGGAATCAACAGGCTCGGCAGCCCGCATATATTGATCCAACAGTAAATTCGACTCAGGGGGCGCGTTTACCGGCAGAATTGCAACAGCCGCTCATCAATTTGGCGGTTCCAACCAGCATCACCCTACTTCTCGATATCTCGGGGCTATACGACGGGAAGCGACACACAACTGGATTGTGGATGGTGGTATCATTTGGGGACTCGCATGAAATGAAACTCAAACATTGATGGCGTATCTTTCGTCGACCAATTCATACATATCTTGTCAAATGTATCACAATATTAATGTAACTAAGCGCCTGGTGTTCGGTCTACATGTTGGTAGCACGAGAGGCCTCAAGAGACTTTAAGGGAGGTAGCGGTAAGAACCAAAGGATAGCAATATCAACATCTTGAGAACACTGTATGGTACTGGCTGAAAGCTGGTAATGTAAATAAATACTACTCAATGTGAATGTCCGGCTGATAATTCTGGGTAGCCCCGGTGGTCAGCACGAGAGTGACCTCAGCAGGTAGTGCAGGTACAATCAACAACAAGCAAGTAAACCAGCCTAGCAGTTTCTCTCGTTCCATTTTCCGCGTCTTTCAACACCTGAATTCAAGAGATCTCCGTTTTGCATTGTCTCAATATTCGTCATCTACCTTTCATACGTCTGCCCATAAGAAACCATTTCACTACTCCAGACTCTGAATCCACGGCCAAGCCACACAATGAGTCCTCCCGGATCAGCAATCTCACTAATCTCGATTGCCACCACTGCCACTTATGCTTCCACCCCGTCAACTGACTCATATATCAATGATATTAATAAGTCAAGGATTAACGATGGATTCGTGGAAATGTGCAACCACATCACTATGGTGGAAACCGGCAGAAGTATTCTTCTGGGGCGGAAAATTCAGTCACACAATGTCAAGAAGCGCGACCCCAACGATATGAACACAATGATATGGACTTCTGAGATGGATCGTGACTACATCTATGCAAGGACGCAGGAGACCGCTTTGCCAACATGAAGCAGACTGCGGGAGCCTCTGACAGACTCTGCAAGGGGATGAAGTTCTCGATTGATTTCCCTGAACAAGAGAAGAGACGCCTCAAGTCCATTGAAAACGACGAGAACTGGGTAGACTCTACCATCGCGTGAGTCTTGCCCAATTCTGGTATATCTGAAAAGAGTGTTACAACTTGATTCAACTACCTTGAGTTACTAGATGACACCAAGGTCTAAATAGTGCCGGGCAAGCACGACTTGACGTTATGAGCAAGTACCCGTTCGCATTCAACACCCGGTCGACAAAAGGACATATTAAACAGGCCGAACAAATGATTTCTTCAGCGATGAAGGCAAAAATAGATGTAGAGTTCCAGAGAAAAAGTTGGTGGCCAGATGATCCCCCAGAGAGCATGAGACTAACCAGGCTTTATAGAAACTGATGACGCCAAAATCCGTGAAGCCAGACAGGCAGCCCGAGCTGAAGCAGTGTTAAATGAGTAAAGGTAGAGTTTTGGGGAGTGGTTTGGCAGAGAAGTATGGTAATTGTGAGGAAGGTGTGTTGTGTCTCCCCTCCGTGTGGGACTGTTTTGATCTTTTCAATTTGGGCCGCAGTAAGGTGAATCAAGAGGAGTAATCCGTGGTTATGAAAGAGTAAGATTCATGTAGTAGTGAGACTGGATTGGAAGTATCAGGCAATTATGTATTCCTTAGGTGGTTGTCAATCATCATTTGTACACTACATCCGATTCAATGGCAATGCAGCACTCGAAAGACGCCAAGTGTATATAAGTCGCACGAGTAGCCGGCTGACACATACATTCCAGTATTAAATTTCATGAATCAAAGGTGATGACACTCACGCAAAGCCGGTCCAAAAACGTATTGACACGGCCTGCCTTTGGGGAGTTGATATTCCAGACTTGAGACATATGTATGTGCTTTCGAGAGATTAGATGTACGACGAATAGGTAGGTGAAGAACTCCAGCTTGCCCTGGTAGGTGATTGAATGCCGTCTACCAGAAATGACAATCAATCAATGTGACCCTCGGGATTTCACTAAGCAGGTATAAGGTAGTCAGTCAGGCGTTAGTGATTTCATCGACAAGACTTCGTCAACGTTGAAAATTGTCCACAATGAGTGGTTCTTGGTTGTTTACTTTGCATGTTTGGTTATGGGAGTAGAACTGAAAATAAGAAAACTTCGAAGTTGGAGAACGCGGCCTGCTTGCCATTCAAAAAAAGCCCTCATGGGGGTTTCGGTGTACCTAACAGCTGGAGTTAATCGAACATTAGCAAGCCACGCTCACGTGGCCCATGACATGATATAATACCAGGCTCACAACGTTATTTCAACATCATGGGACCTTGTTAGATCATATTTTGCCCAACCGCCGCTAAACAAATGGGACTTGATTGATGCGTTGGCAAAGCAATGTTCGGTATCATTCTAGGTAGTTTGCAATTTGAGGAGACGCAGCGTTGCGCCCGACCCACGACTGGAGCGGGCCGCGTACGAGGGACGAACCACGTAGGGTGATGATATCGCTTCTGCACATTCTCGTTAGCGAATACAGGCTCTGAGCCACTAACATTTCCTTGGCCGGGTGTCATGCAGCCATGTATGCGCACCAACTCAGTCTAGCTGCGGCACAGCTGTCGCCCGGCCAGGGTGAGACCGTGAGAGGCCGGCACGTACCGAGAGCATATTCGTCCATTGCTACATGCAGCTAGACAGAGGAATGCCAAGATCGTGGGCTCACATTTATCGATCACATTTGGAGTAATTATTTGAGATGCTTGTCAGCCCAAATCTCTATTACGTTATTCCTGCATCATCTCTATCCTACCGCCAGCGACACAATCGACATATATAATCTTCAACGTAGCATCGCATTCGATCTGAATTTCAAGATAGTAACTTCGATTCGAGCAAGTAGATCCAACATGTGGGACTGGCAACCATATGTGACGGGATCCATAATACGGAGTGTCCTATCCGGTCTCGTAATTCTTCCCGCCTTGGGATTCTCCGTACTTGTCCTGCGTAAGCCCGGTGCCAAGCACGACCATACACGCCGATGGGTCGACTTCACCAAGGTTGCCCTGGGACTTTGGAGCATGTGAGTGAGACGATTTTTTTCATATCCGCTTTCAATCATCTCGGGGGCTCCCGAGAAAGCTTCATGGATATCTGTTCCAGCGCTATTCTGAAATGAGACTGACACCGCGGCCGCCTTTTAGATCTTCACTTCTCAGCCTCGTGTACTGGATTATTCTCGCAGTCTCTTACTCTAGGCGACAGAACGGCGGTTATTTTCCCTATCCGGCTGGTATCGACTACCTCATTTACGTCGGCGGACTGATCGGATACCTGGGCAACGTGGCCCTTCTTCTCGCTTTCTTTTCCTTAGCTCATGCCTTGACACAGCTTCGCAGCGGCGCCGAGAGTGATGATTCCAAAGCCTATCACGTCGGCAAAAAGGTCGTACTCGGTCTGTCGGCTCTGATTACTCTCGTAGCTGTGGCCATTTTTGCCTGCATAGTCGCTGCGGCGGTCTTACTCGAAATCCTTCCTGGCAGGGATCGGTATGTCCCGGGCGATTGGGACAACGCGATGAGGTTGGGTTTTGCCGCCGAATACATGGGAGTCATCAACATCGGGTTTCTCCTTGTTGCGGCCCTTGGTTTGGCTGGTTATGCCTTCGTATCCTTCAAGGCCTCCAGGGGCAGTCCTACCCAGACGGTAAATAGTCTCTCCTTGACCCTGGAGACAGGACCAAGTCCATCTGAACATGTCGCTGACCCGTCGTTATTTGCTAGGCGGCTACTCTGTTGCTCATTGCAGTCTCTCTCTGGCTCATAACCAGATTATGGAACTTCATCTCCTGCATCATGGCGGTGACAGGTTATTATTGGGTCTATGGTCCGTCCTACATCGCAGCCGCAGTCATCGATGCGATTCTCTCTGTCTGGCCATCGTTTGCGGCTCTCATGATTCTCTACGTTCTAGCATCCAACAACGCGTACAGTCTCTCAAGGCTTCACTACCAGGAGGAGGATGATGAACAGAGGGTCTGGGATGAGCGAACACAGAGCACTTGAGGCCAACATTCCGTATGCTTCGGAATTTCAGCAAGAATATTTGCCATGTTTCATAACGTTATCTCTCTGTCTTTCTTTCTTCTATTCCTCATTTGTCGAGGTGGTGATCCTCAACAGCGTTAGGGCACTCGTAGTCTGTAAAGTTGTTGTTGTTGTTGTGTTTAACGCCGTGGCGGCAAAGGCGCTGCCGCCCTTGCGGCCGACCTCCCGAGGGGTATATGGCGTGGAGGGCCGTAGGCTCAAGCTATATACTCTATAGTACACGCCTCTTCCTAACGTCCTCCAAATCTTGCCCGTGGGCTACTGTCTGTTCTATCCGTCCCTAGTTCCCGCTGGTTCCCTAGTCTGTAGAGGATGGCGAGGCTTTTATGAACGTGCCAAAGTAGCGATGACTTGTAAATTAAAATACTCTTTGCTAATGAAGGTTACCCACATAGATTTCGAGAATTTTAATCTTACTCTGCATCTTGACTTCTCATGAAAGCCCGCCTGACGTGGACGAATCGATGTCACGAATGATTAGATGAGAGGAGTCCGCGTCTGACGGTGCTATTAGCGGGAGAGGTCTATGACTCTCAGTCCCATAGCGTCTGCTAGATCTCTATATTGCGAGCGACCATCTAAACAAGTCTCACTTACAAGTGAAAGCTCATCATACTCATTGATATCCACGCCGCAGAACTGGCATTTGATGATGTTTAAATGGCCCGCCATTGTGCGAATTAGGTATAGTTAGTGAATTGCTGAAGCTTTGGGCAATACAGTTGTGGGACACATTTGTTAGGGCACTACTTTCTCCAAGCTGCATTTAACACCATGTTGTCCATGCGTCAGAGGTTCCCTACTAACTCTTATCAAGCTTTACCAACATCCACATCCCAGCTGGTAAAAGAGCCCTTGGTGCTGTACGAGGCACGCTTCGGGGAGTTATTACAAGACACCGGCTCCAGCTGAAACTGGCCGCCTTGGCGACGGGAATTCTTTTGCCCAGGCGCGTCGTCATCGGATTCGCGATCCGCAGCCCTGTCAAACAAGCCTTTCCCGTTCTCTGTACGCTCTCTACTGTTCGAAGCTCTTTTTCGCCGTCATCAAGTCATTTCGCGATCGTCTCATTTGTCAACCTATTCATGTCTCTCATTGTGTTCGTCCCCTAGTATCGGCCTCAAGAGAAGAAGCCCGACAAGATGCCACGTCTATCCGACGAAGTGGAGGAAGAGCACCTCCTGGGCGCCGAATATTCGGACCACGAAGGAGTGCTCCCAATGGACCCGTCCGAACCGTCCCCCGGGCCGGCTTCCGAGCCTTCCAGAGACCTCCGCCGCCAAAATGGAGGCGGCCCTCCTCCGGTGATGGCGGCTTCGGCGGTGCCCTCGGCGGGGTAGTCTACAAAGCCGGCTCGCGTCTCAATGCCGCCTTGGCTCCGTTCCGGGCCCGGTCGCCGCGGACCGTCATTCTCATGCTGGCCCTCCTGAAGTTCGCCATTACTATTAAGGCCATGATGCTCATGCTTCCCATGATGAGGCTTATTGAGGATGATATATGTCACAAGCACTATAAGACTAGCCCCGCAGAAATCATCCCGGAGATGAAGTGCAAGGTCGACGAGGTGCAGAAGCAGCTCGCCTGGTTGAGCGGGTGGCAGTCTCTCATCGGTGCCGTCGTCAACTTTCTCGTTGCCTTTCCTTACGGTGTCTTATCAGATAGGTAAGTCACTGCACGATTCCCCATGGACAGAGCAAGATTGACTTCTCTTCCTCAATGACTTTTACCTGACTCCTGACACAAAACGTCTAGTATCGGCCGCAAGGCAGGCCTCGTCTTCGCCTACATCGGCACCATCGCCGCCTTCAGCTGGTCTCCCTTCATTCTAGCCCACTTCCCCAAACTCAGCATCTACTACCTCTTCTTCGGCTCCTGCTTCTTTTTCTTCGGCGGCGGCATCGTCGTCGTCTTCAATAATGTCTACGCCATGGCCGCCGACATCAGCACCGAAAAGGATCGCGCCTCAAACTTTGTCATTCTCTCCGTCGGCGCTGTCGTCGGCGGCGTCAGCGGTCACGTATCCGCCGGCTTCCTCATGGAGAAGTTCGGTCCATGGGTGCCGATCCGTCTAGTCTTCGTGCTCACTCCGCTCGTCTTCCTCATCATCTTGCTGTTGCCCGAGACCCTCCGCGTCAAGCTCAGCAACGGGGACGAACCGCCGAAACCGCAGCTGCCGCTGAGCGATGCCATTAGGGAAGGCTTCCTCAAAGGCTTGGTCCAGCTCAAGGACTCCCTCGCGATTCTCAATCACCGCAACATCCTTCTCTGCCTTGTTCCCTCCCTTGTTGGCAACCCAATCATGACGGCAAACTCTTCTACACTACCGCAGTACGTGAGCAAAAACTTTGGCTGGACCCTCGCCCAGACCAGCTTCCTCCTCTCCCCGCTGGGCTTCCTGCACCTCGGCACCCTCATCCTCCTCCCCTGGGTCTCGAAAATCGTCGTTGATCCCCGCGGCCGCTTCCGCCGTACCGGCTTCGGCAAAGACGCCCTCCTCGCCAAGGCATCCTACATCATGATCGCCGCCGGCGCCCTCCTCGAGGCTTTCAGCCGGGAGATCGTCGTCTTCCTCTTGGGTCTCGTCTTCCAGACTTTTGGTTCAGCCCACAACCCGCTCGCGCGCGCCATGATCACCGAGTTTGTCGATCCGGAGCACACGTCCCGGCTCTACGCGCTCACGAGCATGGTCGACACCCTCGGCTCGCCGCTCGGCGGGCCGGTGCTGGCGTGGGCCTTCTCGCTCGGGCTGGAGAAGAAGGGGCTGTGGAAAGGTTTGCCGTGGTTCTACGTTGCGTTCTTGGCGTCCTTGACGTGGGCAGCGCTGATGCTTGTGGAAGAGCCGAAGAAGAAGGGACCTATCCACTTGGAGAGTGAGAGCACTCTAGAAGGATTGGACTATGAGTCAGGGGCGGAGGATTAACCCCGGATGAGGCTCTTCTGCCATTCGATGTCGCTTTCTTTCTTACTGGTATCATTGCAATCTTTTCTTTTGGGATAGATAAGGCGGTATGGGAACTGGGTTAGACGGACTAACAAGCATAGACTGGATATTGTATGTAAAATTACCACGACTCGACGGTATCGCAGGCTACCGTGGTCAGTAAGAGAAGAGTAGGCAGGCGTTCTGAATCAATTCGATAAAAGATGATCAATATACCGCGGACCACGTCCGGTTGCTGGGCAAACAATTGACAGCCAACTGACGGGCAGGGCCGACCATTTCGTTGAATGGGGGACCATGCCGCCAGTTATTGAAGTTGTCAACGGGGATCATCCCCGACGGGGCACGACGATTGTGGATTCCTGCCGCCTCGCTGGCATCGACAATACCAGCTGCCATTCGCCCACGTGGCTGTCGCCTGTCTTCAGGTTCCTGTTGTGCAATAGGGAGACCCTCGATTGCAAAATCTTGTGAATGGTACGCAAGGCTAACATGAGGCAGGCGAGACTACTTATCTGGGTCATCTATATCATTAATGAGGGTATTTGTTCCATCGCGAAAGATTCTCTCACGATGGGCCACCGGGTCAATGCGCATGAAATTGGGCATTTTCGGGCTCGACCGCGGTGCGATGCCTTGTTTTTCTTCCAGTTTGTTTCTGTTGTTCGTTGGGCATCGTCATGCCTTAGCACCTCAGGACTGCCGATGAACAGTCTCACACCAAGATCGCTATGATCTCGACGCCATTAACAACAGACTCAATGGCCCGGTGGGTGGTGCACATCGTCATCGCCATGGGTGACAACCTAGTCAGTCGGTTCAAAACATGAACTCATGGCCTCTCCGCTTGCAAAAGGCAGATCAGAAAGCACCAGCCACACACCGAAACTCCCTCCCCTCTATTGTCTTCCTCAGTCTCCAGGTACTCCCCAGTCGCTAAGTGTCACGGTCAATGGGCGAGGATCCCTGCTGTTTTGGTGATTACTGGCCACAAACACCAGCATCATTCCAAGCGATTAGATCTTGTTAGGTCTTATCCAGGTCTCTCAAGTTTCACAGCGGCGCCGAATCCTTCGATTCTTGGCAGGTTTCTAGCGTGTAGCTGTTCCCCCCCCATCCCTAGCAGGGTCTCTGTGATCACCAGATTCTCCCTTCTGCAGCTACTTGGAAATTCTCCGTGAGGAATCTGTAGGAAATGGAAGAACCACGATCAAAGAGGGCCACAAGTGGGCGTCAAGAGAGACTACCTGATGATTTGATCCGCTGTGGCTGAGCTCCAATAGCAGTGTAGACTGCAGAAACTATTTGTCTCTCCCGCCGTCTCGGTCCGTGGCGCAACCCTACACTAATAACACAGCACCGATGATCCCAGCTCATCGCCCAATAGTTCAAACCGGAAGAGTATTGACTGATCTCCCCATTCACCTTTTCACCACACCCATTCTCCGGTGTTACCCCATTTCGCGGCCGCCTTCTCAGTCTAGTCTTCGCCCTGCTAATGCGGTTGGGTGGTAAGACAACAGAAAAATTCGACCCTTATTTTGATCCGTCCACAGCTACGGGATTGCCCACCCCGCACTCAGTGGGCGCCGCTGCGCCGCAGACAGGCAACCCGGCCGAACAATGTTCAAGGGCGAGGGTCTGATGTCATGGGGTGCCACGCTTGCCATCGTTATGCTATGACTCTGTTGCTGGGGACTTGGAGGGAATAGTCGCCTTCCATCCTTTCTACCAGCAGCCCAGCACCGAGCCAGGACCGAGACGGGACTATGGTTGGGCATTCATCATGTCTGCCAAGGATTGCTGGGCGAACATATAATGCCCAGGCCTCGGAGAGGGCCCCCCGTCGTGAGTTCTTGTCACTGACAGAATTCCTTGTTTTTTGACTCCGTCGTCAAGAACGAGAACTTAAGTAGAACCTAGACCCGCCTTCCAACTGTTACTCGAGGCTTTGCCACATTATTTGACCCTCACGATACCCTCACGATAACCTCAAGATACCCTTCTAGAACTTCGACTTTTCGCTTCTCGAAGTCTATATACCTATTCGCCAATAATAATACCTACGATACCTATTCTGCCATCAAGTAAAGCAAACACTGCATTGTCGTTCCATCTTTCAGAGACAACAGCATGGCCACCTCCGATTTAGAATCCAAAATCCGTCAAGCGGCCGTTAAAAATCGCCAACTCCTCGCCATCCTCGCAGACACAGACAACGCGATCCCCGACCTCCGCCAACAACGCCGCCTCATCACAGACCTAGACCACCAGCTCAAGGAATCAGACAAGATCATCCGCGCTCTCGACGGCCGCCGCAAAAAGGAACTCAAAGACCATGAAAAGTTCCGCGACAGCGTCATGCGCCGCTTTGTGCACAAGGCCGTCGGCAAGCGCGACAAATTTGACGAGCGCGCCGCCCGCGAGGAGCGCGAGTACTTTGACGTTCTCCAGAAGGAGCACAGCGAAAAGGAGCTCAACAAGAACGTAAAGGAACAGTTAAGCGACGCGCGCGAGGCGAGCAAGGCGCTTGAGGTGGAAGCTAGGCGGCACGATGAGGCGCAGTGCGAGCTTGACAGCCTCTATGATTCAATCTTCGCGGGCCCGACGCCCAGTTACCCTGAGGAAGACACCCTCGAGCAGTCGGCCGAGCAGGCGCTGCATGAGTACCACGATACCCGCTCAAAAGTGGAAGCGGAGCAACACGCGATACGTCTTCTGACGGATGCGATGAAGCGGATGGGCGACTCGTTGCGGCACATGGACGATGCCCTGAGTCACTCGCGCATGGACATGTTTGGCGGCGGGACGATGACGGACATGATGGAGCGGAGCGCGTTGCAGCGCGCCGAGAGCGCTGCACAGGAGGCGAGGATGTTGTTGATGCAGGCGCAACGGATGACGCCGTACATTGGGGATCTGCCGCCGATTAGCATCAACCATGGGAACCTCATGGGAGATGTGCTGTTTGATAACATCTTCTCCGATATGACGTTCCACGATGAGATTAAGAAGTCGAGGATGTCGATTGAGAAGTGTGCTCAGGTGTTGAGTCGGTATCTGCACGAGACGAGGGACCGGCATATGTATCTTTCGCGAGAACAAAAGGTTCGCGGAGAGAGGTTGGAGAGTACGCGAACAGCGCTGCAGAAGGAGAGGGAGAGGTTGTTTGAACAGATTGCTGGAGGGAACCTCGATATGAAGTTTGCATCTGCCTCTTCGAGTGCTATGCCAGTTGGATTGAAGCATTTAGTCGTGGAAGGAGTTGTGAAAAAGATTGACTTTAGGGTGAGAGCCAGGGACGTGGGAAACCATTAGCAGCTTTAGATACCAGTTTGCATATCACATATTCAAGTGTTAAGGGAATAGTTCTTGTTTAATGCTTCAATTAGATTTCATTTCATCATAGTATATCTATCCGGCCGTTGATAATACACACACACTTTCTAGTAGTCCATGCGCTCGTGGCGTCCACGCTGCTCACTATATCCAATTATCAGTCTTAGCTCGGTATGGAGATGGCCCAGTAAGGCTTCACTTACGGGTTGTACTCGTTCATATCGCCATATTGCTCCTGGTAGAGGTGCTCGGCCTGCTTCTCAGCGTGTCTCTTGGCCTTCTCGCGGTCGATGTAGTCCAGGCCCTTGGTCTCGAAGAGCTTGTCGACCTCGGCGCCAGCGATGCCAGCAATCATCTCCTTGGCGAACTGGTGCTTGACGGGCTCACCTGTGAGGATAAGAGTGGTTAATACAAGATAAAGCAACAATGAATTGAAGGGGTAGAAAGCATACCGTTCTTGCGCTGACGGTCCTCGAACAGCTTCATGGCCTCAAAGGCAGCGCCGCCGGCGACGATCTCGTGGGAGAGCTTGCCCTCGTGCTGGCCCTCGTAGACGGCATCGCGGTGCTCCTTGGCTTCTCCGAATCCGAACATCTTGAGTAATTTGGTGTGGGTTTGGGGGTGGTGTATAAAGTCAATGGGTTTGTAGTGTTATAGATGAGCTTGGTAGTGAAGTAGAGAGTCCTTCAAGACAGGATTGAGGGAGCAGATCGATGGGTTCTTATGCCCCTCCGGTAACCAGGTCAAGCTCTCATGTGATCGCCATGGAGCCCATCTAAGCTTGCTCTATTTCGAGAAACCCCCTTAACCTTCTGTGCCCCTGGATCACACTGCCCGATGACATGATGGAGGGGTCGATCCGGCACCCCTCGCCCCTCAGCCGTCGATGCTGGCCACACCTGCTTGCCTGCACCTTTCATGGAGGCCGCGTCCCACCGATTCATGCTCTAGCTCGCGAATCCATTGGACACAGGTCGGGAAACCGACGGGAGGCCTTAGCTGAAGCACCAAACCCTTGACGCGGCGCGGGGTGGCAGGAGGGGTCTAGTCTGGTTCGATTTCCATCGACACCAGTTCTGACCCAGGAAAGGCACGTCTTCAGAGACAAGCTATTGGAGGGGCCACCGTCTGGCGCCTGGCGTCTTCTTGCCGACTTAGCCTTACCCGACATGGGCTTGACGTAAAGCCGTGGATGTGTTTTGGCGGGGTCGCTCGGCACATCGGCAGCGCTTTCGTTCTCGCGGGAGTCGGGGTACCTGACGACGACTTTGTCCGCGGTTGCACGGCCATGTGTGTCTTTTGCGGGTTATGATTCGAGGGACAGTCCGACGAGAGGGGTTTAGACTCTAGAGCCCACGTCTGTCTCTCCCTCTTTCTCTCTTCGCTTACTTTCAGACTCTCGGGTCAAAAGTAGTCAACGGCCATGACTGAGCAACCAAACACTGGACGAACACAGCTAAACAAAAGTTCTAGCCCACAAGCCTTCCCTTTGCTGCCAACTGAGCTAGATACAAGATTTGAGATGTTGCCCGGAATTACACGCTTGTAGCCGATTCGGTCAAGCCCCGCCGGCCCGGGGACTTCGGCATTGGGAGCTGCGTCACTATGTCAGCCACCCCTGCTGGGCTGAACCAGAGACCAGAAAAACAACTGGGGACGCGCTGCGGCAAGAAAGCTTGACCGTCGCGCGGCTAACCGGCAAAGAAGGTCTCCATGCGCCGCCCCCTGTGCCTCCCTCTGGAGCTACCATCTCCAGTCTTGTTACACAATGATGCCCCCGTCGGGCCTCTCTCTCATCAGGATCGAGCAAGTTGAGCCAATAAAGTCTCCAGCTCTTATGCAGCTTCGGCATATACAGCCCACATAACGTTTGATCTTGAAGAAAAGACAGGTCGACCCTGCATAACTTCAAGTCAAGCTGAGGTCCGGGTCCCTCTTCAATGACGTGTCAGGAAGCTCCGTGCAGCGGGTGTCTCAGAGTCTCTTCAATCCGATGTACAACCAAAATGGGGGCACCTCGAGAGTGAGGGGTAGCTTTCGTAAGGTGGGCAAGAGTCGTTTATTCTCCTCTGAATCGTCCAAGTTCCAAACCAATCCCCCCTCACCGCTTGAATCGACGATTCCAGACCCTCCTTCACAACAAAGAGCGGACGGAACCTTGACGGGTGCCATCCGGGTCCAACGAGATAGCTTGGATGGGCTGCCGCTGGGCTGACTGGCTGGTTGGTTGGCTGTTGCTGGCATTGCTGTTCCAAGGTTTCGACTTGTGCCTTGGAAACTTGCATCCGCACGGCAGCAAGCTCAGCCATGCGTGAGGTATCCGTAGACCGCTGCTTCACGGCCCTCATCAACCTGCTGATCTTACGAATTCTGCTCCAGAAGAAGCTTATGCATTATCAGTAAACGTGAGACTATGGTTTCGTCACATTGCTTTTCTCCTCCAGAAGACCTCACAGGCCACTGCACAACTTATACCGGAGGCTTTGGTGAAGATTTGGTTCAAGGACCGAGGCCCGCGTGGTAGGGTAGCTGCCAGATCATCGGTAGCCCGGCACAAGACGATCACCTTTCTTGGCAATAGCGGGATCATGCATCGTCGGAAGCCCCCCGGCTTGGCAAGGGTCCAGACGCCAGGGGTCCTTAGTGTCCACCCTTCCCACAGCTAGCGCAGATGGCTTCATGCCGGCTATTTCACCACCTCGAGATTGTCTATTCACCTACTTTTTTTGACATGAGTGAGGCCTCTTCCTATGAAATTCAACTGCGCCATTGATTTTGTCACTGGGATATTGCGGGCGTGTGTTCGTGATACAATGTAAGCTTTCGTCTGCACACAAATGTGACGACGCCCCGGAATGCCGCTGTTTTTGCAAGGCATATAGTGCTCGCTTTGAATGCTAGTCGATGCCATCAAATCCGGCCTGTCTATGACTTTCCACCAAACTTGACCAGGTACTCCTCGTGTGCCTTCTTCTGACTTTGCCATTGTTTCTGCAGCTTCTTGAGCTGGCTCTTGGGCACGTCACTGCCATCCTTAAGCTTAGTTGGCAGTCCCTCCGCGTCCCACTCCGAGTACTTCTCATCTCCCTTAAACAGCTCCGTGTGGGGAAGCTTAGCCTTCTCCCACTTCTCCTTCTCCGCTTGCTCGCGCGCCCGTGTCGCCTCTTCCTTGGCCCGGGCCTTGTCCGCTTCCCTGGCCAACTTCTCGTTCTTCGCCGCAATCAACTCGCTGGCGGGTACGAACTTGATCAATGAAGACTTGCCATCTGGCCTGTCATCCAAGTATACTCCGAGATTTGTGAGGTCTTCGTCACGAATCCGATCTGTAAGTGACAGGATGGCCTTCTTCGTCTCGGGGGAAACTGATGACACAATACGGCGAAGCTCGTCGCGCAGTTTTGAAGTAGCTCGCAGGTATGGCAGTGCCAGCTGCTCAGGATGGCTGGCACCCTTTTCAGCCAAAGAAGTGAACTCTACCTCCGGGTTTTGTTGCGACAACAGGGCGGAAACGGACTCGGCCGAAGTCTTCAGCGCCTCAACATCCGACTTCACGGTTTGGAACACCGTCGCGTACGGCTGCACGACCGTCTTGGGGTCCAGATTTGCGTTTGACGCAGGCGCTGCCCAACCAAGGCCGTCATAAGGCGCCGTGGCATTCTCGTCGAGACCGAAAGTTCCAAGGATCTCGGTGATCCAGCGGGCGACGGCAACAAGCGCGGGCACGTTAGCCTCTGCATCTTGAGAAACAACGACCTTGTTGGCTTCGCTGACAAGTTCCTGAATAACACGCATCGCTTGAGGGGTATCAAAAGAGTTGATGAGGGCGGTTTGCAGGTCAGTCTTGGCTTTCTCAAGACTGCTGATAAGTCCACCGGCGGGCTTCTCTGACAGTGACAGAGATTCGACACCATCGGAAGAAGCGCTAGCGTCCGCAACATATGCCTTGACGTTGGTGAAATAGTTCTGCCGAAATGTTAGCTCGAAAAAGATTGCTGTGATATGGATCGGAGACTCACGTTGATGGTTGCCTCCCAACTAGATGCCTGGGCTCGCATGTCGGGGGAAATCTCCACACCATCATTCCACTTGCCCATGAGGAACACAATACGCATTCCTCTGGATGTGTAAGTTGTGGCAAGTGCATCTTGAATAGTCTGGAAGTTCTTCAAGGACTTGGACATCTTTGAACCGGAAATTGACAGGTGGCCCATGTGCATGAAGTTGTTGACCCACGTGTGCTCGCCCTTCGTGTTGTCAACGTAAAAGGCCTCGCTCTGGGCCAACTCGTTATCGTGGTGAGGGAAAGCCAGATCGATACCGCCGGAGTGAATATCCATCTGGGCTCCGAGAATGTCGGAAGCCATGACGGAGCACTCAATGTGCCATCCCGGGCGTCCCTGGCCCCATCTGCTCTCCCAGTATGGCTCTCCCTTCTTGGACTTCTTCCACAGCGCGAAATCGCCTTCGTTGCGCTTCTCGCCCAGGTTCTTCGACAGAGCGCCCTCGCCATCCTCCTGCAGTGACTTATCGTTACGGTTGCCGGGTCGCAGACGCGCGTATGTGTTGCCAGCCTTCTCGAAAGCTGTGATATCGAAGTACACGGATCCGTCGGACTCGTAGGCGAATCCCTTGTCCACAATGCGCTCGACGAAAGTTGCAATCTGAGGAACGTATTCCGTAACACGCGTGATGACATCGGGTCGCAAGCAGTTGAGAGCGTCCATATCGTCAAAGAATTCCTTCTCCATGCTCTGAGTCAGGTCGGTAAAGATGGTCTGATCGCTCGTGTCGATGGTCTCTTTGTAGAGGGAGTCAAGGTACGGCAAAAGAATCTCATCGGTTCCAGGGAAGAACTTCTTGTCCTTGATCGCAAACGCAGCCGCGTCCATGTTCGCGATGTGCATCTTCGTCTTGGCCTCGTCGTCGCCAGGCTTGCTTTCGCCGGTCAGGGTGCCACCTGCGAGAACCTTTCCATATGCGCTGTCTCTACGCTCGAGGTAGTTGTTCTCATCAAGATCGGAGGATTGGATGAGAGACAAGCTCTTTTCGGCGTATGCGCGGAAAGCTGTCAGGGTAAGCTTCGCCAGCTCTTCGTCTGAGTACTTCTTCTGCTTCTCGAGTTCGAGCAGCCGTTGTCTTCGGGCCTTGATGATAATCTACACCACAGGAAACAGTCAGTAAAGCCTGGTATGTAAATGCGTAACTAGTAAAACAAACCTTGTCGTCAACATCAGTGATGTTCATGACAAACTTCACATCAGCGCCGAAGTAGTGCATCATGATGCGCCGGATGATGTCGGTCGACACATAGTTGCGGGCGTGGCCCAAATGACTCTTGTCGTAGACTGTAGGACCGCAAGCATACCAAGACACCTTGCCGGGGTTGATTGGTGTAAATGGCACCGGTTGACCGGGCTTCAAGGAGTTGTGCACCTTCAAGGACTCCATGGTCGCGATGGAGGAACAAGCCCTGGAGAATCGAAAGTTGGGTATCTGAGTGGAGAGAGAAATGGAAAGTCTGGTAAGTCTAAAGAGGCGATTCATCCAGAACAAAAGGAGAGGGGCACAAGAAGGGCAGGGTGCATGGGAGGAGGGAGGGACGTGGAGAGAGAGAGTCAGAGGGTCGAGTTCAGAGGGTTGAGTCACTCAATTGGGAAGGGAGGGGACGGCGACTGTGTTGGAGGGAGCAAATAGCCGCACACCTATCAAAAAAGGCGGGTGTGACACCATCGTCAGCCTCGCAGTCAATTGGGGCGCTGTGTCAACATCTGAGTGGTCGACTTCCTCTCCAGCCACATCTGCCCCGCGCTAAGCCACGGTCAACTTTTTCTTCCTCAGCCTCGCGAAGTTTTTCCTCCACTGTCTCCAAACCTGCATTCTTGGCTGGCCTTCTTGCACCACTCCAATTGTCCAGAAATCATCCTGGTTCGACGTCGCCAAGCTGATTACAAGCCACAATGGCAACCGAAATCAGCAAAATGACGAAACCATCGCCATTCCTTCAGCCTGGCCCTAGGACATCAGCCAATTCCATCGCCATTGTCCAGCTCTCTCGCGACAACCTCGTTCCTCTCATCCTCCAAGATTCAACTGGTGCCGTCGATGGCTATGCCGAAGGAGCTGTGCTCAACACACGATTCGGCTCATTCCCTCACTCCACCCTGATCAACGTACCATGGGGATCCCAAATTCGCGCCTCAATTGTCGACACTGGCTCCAGAGGCCGCAAGCGCAAGAGGAAGGAAGAGGAAACCGACGCATCGACACCAGCAGCGGGGGATGAGGCCGAGGCGGAATCCAGTGCACCACCTAAGAAGGCGGCCACCGCCGCGAGCGGATTCGTGCACATCCTACAGCCCACCGCCGAGCTCTGGACCGCGGGCCTGCCCCATCGAACCCAAGTCGTCTACACCCCCGACTACAGCTACGTCCTCCAGCGCATACGAGCGAGACCCGGTACCCATATTATCGAAGCTGGCGCTGGCAGTGGTAGCTTTACACACGCGTCAGCTCGCGCGGTTTACAGCGGATACCCCGAGGATGACACCCGAGGGAAGGGCAAGGTCTTCAGCTTCGAATTCAACAAGGATCGCTACGTGAAGATGCAGGAAGAGATTACCGCGCACGGACTGGAGGGCATCGTGAAGCTCTCGCATCGAGACGTTTACAACGGCGGCTTCCTGGTGGACGGTAAAAGCCCCGAGGCAGAGTCGGTGTTCCTCGATCTACCCGCACCCTGGGAGGCCCTCCCCCATCTGTCACGACGAAAGCCAGCGTCAAAAGATACCGAAGGCGAGACACAAGAATGGGTTTCTCCATTAAATTCCAAGAAGTCGGTCTACATCTGCACTTTCTCTCCCTGCATCGAGCAGGTCCAAAGGACGATCAATACAATGAGACAACTGGGATGGGTGGACATTGACATGATTGAGATCTCCCACAAGAAATTCAACGTTATCCGGGACCGTGCTGGATACAGCCAGCCTGATCGCGGTATCGCGGCGAGCGCACGCGACGTGGGCGAGGCAGTCGGCAAGCTTCGTGAGATTGAGAGAAGAACGAGAGAGTATCACAACCCAGCAGATCCCAACTCGGCAGAGGACTCGCCGGCGGGTAACGCCATGGACGTGGACCAAGCGGGAGAAGCTACGAATGGTGAAGAAGAAGAAGGACCCTATGCGGGCAAGCCGTGGCTGCAGGGTCGCGTTATCCACCGCGCAGAGCCGGAACTGAAGACACATACATCCTACCTCGTCTTCGCCGTGCTGCCGCGTGAGTGGAGCGAAGAGGATGAGGCTGCCGTTCTCGCAAAGTGGCCGTGCGGCTCAGAGACTGGTGTTATTGGAGCCAAGGACAAGGAGACGCGCAAGCAGGAGAAGCGCGATCTCCTCGCAGGCAAGGGCAAAAGAAAGAAGGGCAAGTCTGGGAAGGCCCAGGCTGCCTAGGCGAATCTGTAACAGTTGTTAACGACCAATGCAAGTGGTAGATACCCTAGCATCAGTATCAGGGCCACATTCCAGGAGTGTGGTGGTAATTCATGAGCTAAGACGATTGCATCGACTTTTCTTTAGTTGTACTCACAGTGATTGTGTGTGCAACGATATACGAAGCCGGCCTCATTCTTTTCCAGTGATTCAATAAACATGTTGATGGTGATCATCGTCGAACATTTATCTCATTTGACCCGTTGTTCAGTCCTTGGCTACCATAGCTTCAGGCTGTCTCCCCTTACCCTCGACCAAAACCCCAGCCTTCCTCAAAATATCGACCGTGTTGTTCACGACCTCGGGCTTGACACCCTCAACACCATCAGTAAACTTGACCGTCTTCAACCACTCTTTAGCGTCCTTCTCAGAGTAGTCAAGGTGCGTGCTAATATACTTGACAGCCTCGTCCTTGTTCTCGTTGAAGTGCTTCACGCCCTTGTCAAGCTTTTCAAACAGGTCTTTGATCCTCGCGTCAAGCTTCTGCCCTTCCTTGGCCAGCGCCGTCGACGCGACGATCTTCCAGCTGCTCCAGGGCGTGTAGATCTCGCCGACACGGCGGATCTCGCCCGAGTCGTAGTAGCGCTTGGAGGTGAAGTGCTCCCACATGAAGAAGTCGGCGGCGCCCGAGTTGACGGCGTTGCGAAGGTTCTCAAAGTTGTTGAGGATCACCGTGTCTGAGAAGGGCGCGGTGGACGGGGTGAGCCACCCATGCTGGTCGGCGAGAACGAAGCCCATGATCTGGCTGCCGGAGCCGATGCGGGAGACACCGATTTTGCCGCCCTTGAGGGAGTCTACTGAGGCGATCTCGGGACGCTTGGCTCCAGTTGAGATGGCCCAGCCTTTTGTCTTCATGTTAGTAGTTTTCTGAGAAGCTGGCCTTATGCGGTGAAACCTACAGAGGGGCGTGTCGACATATGTGCCGACGAGACGGTAGCCACCATCTCCAGGGGCATCTTCCTTGCCGAGGCCTGCGATCCAGCCCTCTGTGAGACCGATGCCGATGTCGATCTCGCCGCCGCGGATGGCCGTGATCATGTGTCCTGTTCCGGAGGGGAAAGGAATCAAGGTGGCATCGAGGCCGAAGTGCTCTTTGGCGAAATAGAGGGGCGTGGAAAAGTGCTCCGGCACATAGCCGATTCTGAGTGGCGAGGCCATTTTCGATGAATAAAATGAGAAGAAGATGAAATAGCAAGTCACACCTTGGGTCTGTGATGAGTTGGAGGAATGAAGTGATAGAGCGGGAGCGGAACTTTCGAGAGTTGCGATTCTCGGGCCGGGACAAGTGAGGCGGCCGATGACTGTACAGTGAGTGAGTGAGTGCGGGGTCCTTCCCACAGCTTTCCAACCTAAGCTCTGCGTATCAGTGCCGTGGCCCGTCCACCGGTGCAGAACTTAGCGGGGCCGTAGTGGGACGCCCGGTCCCCGTTTCCACCGGGGCGGCCCGTCACTCATCAATGAGTTTATTTCTGACGTATCACATCTTCCTTGGATGAACAGTTGTTACTTTCTAGCTTTAGAAGACATCTATCGCGAGAAATTTTACTGGTACAGCGAGATGGACTCAAACGCTTGACACTTGTGCTCACTGAGCTAGGATGTGAAGGTTTTCAACAGAGATTAAAGCCTGCGATGATGAACCTTGAAGTGTCTTGGCGACCGGATAGGAACACCGACAAGCGGCAATGACATTCAACTCATTTTCTTTAACCAGAAAGTACGTAATCATGTCAGCATCTGCTCTCAAACACGTGTTCTTTCTGGATGGTTTCTAAGCTTCATATCTCTCCGATTCAGTGTCGTATCCGCATCTACAGCCTTATGAAACTATTTCTTGCCAAAGAGAGGAGATTAGGAAGCCGATCTTACTGGGACTTTACTAAATTTGGACATTCTTAATTTGTTACGACAGGTGACTGAGGTTGATGCGAACCCAACATTTTGACGACGATTACGAAAATTGGCTCTCGCCGTGCACACCTTCGTGGATCTGGAGGTCCAACCTTAGTCACGGCCCAGAGATCAAGTTCATTCCCGCCAGATCGATGGTGTGTGAGAGCCTTCCACGGAAGCTACCTAAGTACTCAAAGGTTTTCATTCTGTCATAAGGTACATACACGGCCCAGAGATCAAGTTCATTCCCGCCAGATCGATGGTGTGTGAGAGCCTTCCACGGAAGCTACCTAAGTACTCAAAGGTTTTCATTCTGTCATAAGGTACATACCTTAAGGAAAGCTTCAATGATAAGCACTAAGATTTTGATAAACAAAGATGCAGGATGCCGCAAGCCAAGTGGAGACTCATCAACGTAGTCATATTTTACTGGTGAACTTTGCCTTCCTTGACGACTCTTATGCCGGATCAGTATTGTCATCACATATCATATCACAATCCTTTGTAAAGATGTAGGTGGCTGTATCATTATCAGCGCAATGGTAACACAATAGTCTCCCCTGGGCCATGGCGAGTGTTGTGGATGGTTATGTTGAGAGCCTTGTTCCGTGCAGCTATTCTCGCGTATTGATATTCTCTTGCTGTGTCAAATTCGGGAGATGTCATAAATGTAACCTCAACATTACTTCGCACATGTCCCCAAAACAAAGAAGCTTCCATGGTTGAAGGAGACCTTCGACGGCAGCTACTTTCAAGTTTACGACTAGCATACTTAACGAGCCATCTCTCCTGGCTATGATTTGTTTGGCCACCCCGCTACCCTACCTCGACAACTATCAACCGCCACTGGCCACGCTCTACAGTGACTGAATCCGGGACTCGGTATACCTTTGTAGAAACGAAACAGAAAACACAAACAGCTGGTCACGTGTTTATCCTAGCGGCCCTAAGACCGACTCAAGTTGAGGTTTGCAACTGACAGAAAATAAAATCTTTTTCCACTTCACACCGATTCGGCAGCAGCATATCCATTCCGTCGCCAACAGCCCAAACGCTTGAATGTCGCCGCAGAATGACGATCCTCCCGAGAATCAAGATGAAGGACCTAGGACAATACCTCACAGATGCCTATGGAGCATGTTCTTGCGAACCCACCCCCTCCATGATAGGCTGCCACCACACGAATGTCTTCGGTCCAAGGTCCGCCCCGGGAAGACCTCAGCTCAAGAAGGGTCAGGAAAATAACGTCCTCGTCTACTCGGGATGTTTCAATCCGCCGCACCTGGGCCATTACAACCTTCTCCGACGGGCATTCGAAGGCAGCCAAGACCTCAACGTCATCGTCGCCATCATATACCCGGTCAGCACAACATCACTGGCTCACAAGTGCCGAAGGAGACGTCAATGGCTTATGTTCAAGATGGCCGACCGCGTACGACTCTGGCACGGTGGCTCGAATGAGCCTCAGTAGTACTGGGTTCACGACGGTGGCAGGGACAAATTTGAAGATATGTGGTATCGTGTTCTGGAATCAGTCAAACGAGACGGGTTCAATCTCAAGTTCATTGAGGTAGTGGGGCCAGATCACATCGTGCCCACGCGTGTATACGAGCCCTATGGATGGAATTTGCCTGGACTTCACAGAACCATCATGAGCAATGCAGGGAGACCGTGTGATCTTCTCAAACTGGGAGGAAAACTCGATAAAATGCGCGGTTATGGGTCATGGGAGAATGCCATTGACTATACCAAAGTTGCGAACCCGAAAAGCGGCTATGCCAAGTCGGAGGTGGCCGAGGAGAGAGCCATTGACCGCAAGTCTTCCTTCGACTCGCTCTTGCTTTTATCGACTGTCCAGGCCCCTGAGCAGCCTCATGAAGGTAAATGGATCAACTTCTCAATTGAGATTACGAACACATACGCTAACAGACACATGTAACAGCAGGTGATCACAAGAGAGGCACGAGCATGGAATCAGTCACCGACGCCATCTCCGAATCGCACATATCAGCAGATGACGACAAGGGAGAAGTCAAGATGGAATCCGGCAACGACACTGTTCCTGGGGGAGAGAGAATCAAAGTCTGCCGACGGATTGGGGACTCGGAAACCTGGGTTCGTTTCGTTCCAGCGGGTACCGCGCCCTTGACAATCAGCTCGACGTGGATTCGACGTTTTCTGGAAGGGGGTTTTCTCCAGGACAAAGCTCTGAAGGAAGTCATTCCGGAGCGAAGAGTCATGGAGGATGAGGCTCTTGGAGTTGTCAAGGTGATGGTCTTGCACCCGGAGGTGCTGGCAAGAATTATGTTCCAACGATATGGAGTTGCAGGGCTTGATGAACTTGAGAGGGAATCGGACTGAGTATAATCAGAGAGACAACGGGCTTGAAACTATAGGATGATCGAAGCTTCCCTCAGCAGATCTTCGATTATACGGCAACAACCTGGCACTTCGCGCAGTATCTTCTGAGGTAAGGCTCTTTTCTGGAATTCATGACATTGCTATGAGAATGATTCTGCCCTGTTCCTCTTCGTCTTTCCTCGAAACATGTGGCCAACAATAAATTGTTCGAGCTGATTATAATGATTCTCGCTAAGAAGCACCTATTTGATGCATTTTCCGCCCTTCTGAGAAAGACCTACAAGAACAAGTACGCACTCTAACCAGGGATTCAATACACTCGAAGGCAAAGGCATTAAAAACTTGTCGCAGCGCCACACGTGGCGCTGCCGGTTACTGCCGTACGATACCGCTTTCCACAAGCCGATTACCCGTCTTGTACGGTATATCCCATCGAGTGCTGCAAGGCGACAGTACATTGAGATGCGGGGGAGCAGCCAATCGGGCCACTTCGGGCCCCTTTTTCCAACCAACCAACGTAATTGATAATAGATACTTCCAATTATTAGAGATTCTGCGTATGAAATCGGTACCAGCAATCTTCTGAGTTACAGAGAGCTACATCGCACTCGAGGCAGCCCATCCTCGTGTACTTCCGCCGCTGCGGTTGGGTATGGATATTACCACTAATCTCGCCCAGCGCAGTCCTCGCTTTTACTTGCGATATCGTACTACAACCCACGCAAGCAGAATTAGCATTTCTGTGCCCTCGTACGTGTAATTGCCACGGTATTGCCTCGTTCCTTTTATCTGTTGCCCTCCTTGGACGTCCCCGTCGACGACCTTCTGCCAATGGTCCAAACCGCTGAATTAGGTGGGCAGAAAGCAGTCTACGCCATTCATACTGGTTCTGAACCCGGGGCCACTCAGGATCTCCCCATTGTTGAAGACGAAAGGTATTAATAATAATGACTTCGAGGAGAAAGTTCCAGGCAATTGCCTGCCAACTGCCCCGCCTCACGGGCCGGCTGAAGTCGTAATAGGACCGCATTTGGTCCCCGGTATCTACGCCGTTCATACGGTGATTGTACTCATCGATTGCGAGTGGAATCCGGAGATCCTTCCGCACTTCGGGCCCGAAGACCTGCCGTGCTGCCCTCTTCGCAGCGGTATCTCCAGCCGGCCGTTTGCGGCTTCGTACAACGTCGGATGTCTCTCGGAAGACCGTCGTGAGGAAGAGAACGAGGGCATTATCCTTCCAAGTGAACTGGTTGACCTGGAAGTTATTCCGATGAATGGTTTAGTATGGAATAGCCACTGACAGTGATTTGGGTTAACATACTTTCCCGTCAGCCGTGGAGATCGCGTGTAGTTGACCCCATGGAAGTCCCTTGCCGTCAGTCTCTTTCTCAGTAACCAATGTCTTGTCGATTCCACTATCCTTCCGGCACGTGCCGGTGGCACCGATCCGCTGGTCACGAAGGGCCCGGAAGAGCTTTACTGAAGCAAATAGATTATCAAGAAACACGTGATAAGTGGCCAACGGAAGCAAGGAAAGCAGTGATGTGACCACTCGCTGGGTTGGCGTCAAGGCCGTTCGCCGGGCCTCCTCGTCGCCGGCTGCGGGCCGGGCTTGTGCCACGAGGCCGCAGGGCCCGTCGCCGTGGACGTGCCAGAGCCAGCGGAGGGAGTACCCGGCTTGCGCCAGAACCCAGACCTTGAAGCCGGTTGGGATCGGCTTCGTTGGGATCGTCGTGGTCTCCACTGCCCGGCCCGTGAAGCGGACCATGGCCTCGTCGACGGTGAGGTCGGAGCCGGCCCGGTAGAAGCGGTCGCCGGTCTCTTGGATGTGAGCTGACCACTCATTGACTTGCTGGTACACCTTCGGCATCTGCTTCTCCCGAGGCTGCCCGCGGCGCCGGCCTGCCGTCGACGGCACGGAAGCAGGGATCTTGGCCGGGTCAAAGATCCGGATGCGGCGGAGGAGGAGCTGGAAGCGGTCCCTCGAGATAAATCGAGTAAACAAATGGATAGGATCCTCTGTCTGTTGTGAAGTAGACCAGTATTTAGATATTTTAGTTTCAGGGTGTAAGCCCATATAAATCAAAATGCTCAAAAACAAATAGACTTCGTCTACAGTCGCTGACCTCCACTTGAGACTGCGAGAGTGTTTCTTAACCGGGCCCAGCCTCGCCGAGCGCGGCGCCGCATTCGTCCACTTAACCCACCGACCGACGAGGCTGGCCGGCACGAACTCGAGGAGGAGGTCCAGCGGCTGCGGTGGTAGGCTCCGGACCTCCGCGGGCCGCTGCGGCACCTCGAAGGGCACGAACTGCCCAGGGATACCGGGCTCAACCTCCGGAGGCTCGCGGGGCCGAACAGTGGCATTATCACATTGCTCCGGCGTACAGTCGGCAGTGCAGGCGGCGGCGAGGTCCTCGGGCAGCAGGGCAAAGATACACGACTTCGCCGAGCCCGTGGAACAGCCAGATCCGTCAGAATCGTCAGAATCCATTAATTGAGTATTGGTAATGATGGATTTGGTGGATGTACCGTAGTAGAAATCATAGGGGCAACTCAAGCAGTGGATGTACCAGATGCGGTGCGGGGTAAAAGAGGGCCCCTTATGTGGAGCCAATGTACTGTCGCCTTGCAGCACTCGATGGGATAGATAGGACCCTCATACGGGTCTTCCACTTAGAGGAATCAAGCCACTTTCTACCATACAAGTCTTCCACTTGCTACCTCGCTTTGTGATAAAACTCAAGTCCATAAAATGAAGGCAATCAATCAATCAATCAATCAACCAAGCTCGTTAAGTTTGTCGTTTGGAGGATAGGTTATGACCTATTTCCTAGTACCGCGGGCAGATCTTCTGGAAGAAGTCTGTCACGCAGAGGAAGGCCTGGAAGCCTTCAGAGTCAGTGATTAGCCCCTTGAAGTAGCGATCGAGGGACCCTATAGGTCCTACGGGCTCCTGGCGGCTGTAGGGGTAGAGGGTGGGCCACTGTTGCCTCCTCAGTAGGGTCTTTCGGCAGTAGACTAGATGGTCTGCCTCCTTAACCCATCCACAGGAGCAGGTGAGTAGTGCTTCTGTGTGGTTAAAGCGTTGGTGATATTGTTTAAAGTCCCCGTGGCCTGACCGTGCCGCAAGGAGGTGATGAAGGGCAGCTCTAGGGAGGCTAAGTTCAGGAGGGCAAGCAAGGGTGGCCTTGAGCCCTAGTTGGGTATAGCGGGGAGTTGCCTCTTGTTTCCACCATCGTCTATATTGGCGTCTTGGCCGCTCTTTAGCAAGCCACTTGATACCTGATAGAGTAGCTAGTTGGCCCCTAGGGACTGGTAGAGTTGTTCCCTCCTTAGCTAGGCCGTCTGCTTCTTCGTTTCCTTTAATATCTTGGTGCCCAGGGGACCAATGGGTTCGTATATCGTATATCCTAGCTACCTCCTGGATCTCTAAGAAGGCAGCTTGTGAGGAGTCTGGGACCTTGCCACGGATTCCCTGGATGACACTGGTATTATCGATGCAGATGTGTATCGGCTGGCCCTGAGAGGTATGGAGGGCCCGTCGGAGCCCCGCCCTCGCCCCTTCCGCCTCACCGTCAAACACCTCTGCTAAGCCGAGACGGCCGCAGCCCTGGGCTATACGTCTGTTCTTGCGATAGATAACAAAGCCGAACCCCGTGGCCCCATCAGCGGCTTTAGAGCCGTCTGAGTAGACGATTGTATGATTGTCTGGTACGGTCTTGAGCCAGGCTTGGAAGGCTTTAGCTGCATCCTCCTTACGCTCTAGGGCTATGAGGTCTTGTGAGCCTGGGGGGTATTGCGGCTGTATGAGTAAAGGCCTTGGGCATTTAGGTAAGAGGCCAGCTGTTCTTTGAAGTCTTGTCCGTTGCCGCCCCTGCTGCCAGAGCCTTGGGACCAAGGGATGTTGTTGGTCAACCTTCTGTAGCCGCGTAGCAAAGCGTAGTCGTGCTGCCTCGAGGGCAACCTCTGCTGTGGGCAGGCCAGCCTCACGAAGGAGGCTGCTAGTTGGGGATAGATAGAACACATAGTAGCTCACGAGCAATATTTGGAGGACGTCAGGATACGGCGTGTACTATATAGTATATAGCTAGAGCCTGCGACCCTTCACGCCACATACCCTCCGGGAGGTCTGCCGCAAGGGCGGCTGCGCCCTTGCCGCCATGGCGTTAAATATAAAACAAACAAACAAACAACAAACAAGCTCGTTAAGTAACTAGACCCTGAGAGAGGCACCAGTTAGTCCCCCTTGTTAGCTGATAGCCTGGACTGATTTACTGCCTCTCATCGGCATTATTTCCCAACCAAGGTCTCTATCAGTTGCGAACGTATCGAACAAAACTTGCCAGCATAGAATCAAATCTTACAAGAACGGTGGGAAATGCCTTTCGCACAAATCAGTCCTATTGAGAGATGACATTTCCTCTGCGTAGATTCGTTGCCTTTGATGGCTTGTCGTCACCAGATGTGGAATTGAAAAACTCGAGTATCAACTCTGTGTCTCGCGCAAACCGGGCACAACTGTTCTACTCCAGAAATTTTCTACGAAAGTAATTACATTCTAGGTAGGAACATCGGTAAGTTCGCTCGAGGTACTCACAACTTGAACCCTCCAATCGTCCGAAGGGTCAAGTCAGCTGCTATCACCATCAACAACCTGGACTCGAAATGACTGGGACATTGACGCCTAATCCGGGCACACATGATCAGTTTCTCAGCCAAGGCTTCCAGTTGGTGAAATGGATAAACCGGACATGGCCTGCAGTAGCGTTGTCAATAGTCACCAGCTGAAAGCCAAATGTGGAAATATTAAGAGACCAGCCCTGGCCAACGAGCTAGCAGCCCTATAGAATTAGAGTACCCGAGACACTTAAAGGGAGGACCCTGCCGCCCAACACCATTCACTCATCATGCATGGGCTTCCCTTGTGCTCGCCTCAATAGCCGCGCTCTTCGTCCCAACAATGACGGCAACCATGCCTTCCGTGCCGCCTTTACCGGATCAGCAAGACATTGCTGATTTCAGCTATAACGACGACAAGGTAATCCTGCCCTCGGCATCAACTCACATCAGACTTCTCGAACTCTATCCGTCGACACACGGATTTGACGCCGCATCCGCATCCGCGTCCGGAGCACCCAGTAATACAGACGAAGGTGATTCTGACAACGCGTCGTCTCACTACTCGAGCCCTCTCAAATGCGCCATCTCGACTACCCCGATCGCCACGCCGCGGCTATTCAAAGCGCTGTCATACACCTGGGGTACGTCGGGAGCAACTCACAGCATTGACGTCGAAGGAGCGAGCTTTCGCATCACGGCCTCGCTCGACACGGCGCTGCGACATATTCGTTGTAAAGATGAGCCTGTCACGCTCTGGATCGACCAGATCTGCATCAACCAAGAGGATGGTGCGGAGAAGGGAAACCAGGTGGCTCTCATGACCCAGATCTACACCAAAGCGGAACAGGTTATTGTCTGGCTGGGTCCGGCGGAGAACAACTCCGATGCCCTTATGGAGTGTTTGCAAGAGATTGGACAAGAGGCCGCTGACCTGGCCATCGAGAGCTATCTCACCAAGGAGCGGCTGCCGCTGTTGCACAAGATCATGAGAAATGAGAATCCAGAAGACCCAGTGTCTATGCAGTACCAGCCCCTAATGGCCAAAGCCGTGGCCAAGCTCAAAAACCTTTTACACGAGATGGTTGCTTGGAATGAGAGATTGTGGTTCACTCGGGTCTGGGTTATCCAAGAGCAAGCTCTCGGTTCCGACCCGTTCTTCCTCTGCGGGTATAAGACAGTAAGACTGGACTTAATTCCCTTCGCCATGCTTATCTGGGACGGATGCGTCTCGCAGGCGACGGTCGAGGTGCCGCCTACTGGAGCTGACGAGTTTAGACGGCTTCTGCTAAAGGCCCAAGACCGTCGCTCTAGTCCTTTGATGGCTGTGAGACGTAGGCGCCGAAACTTCCTCAAGGGCGTAGGTCCGGGAGATGACTTTTACCACGTCTTGAAGAAGGCATATGTCGATGGGGACGCCCAAGCGACACAAAGTAGGGACAGAATCTACGGGCTGCTCAGTATTGCCACTGATGCGGATAAGCTGGGGATTACCCCAGATTATGTCACTGAGGAGAGCCATCCCACCTTCATCGAGGCAGCTCACGCTCTCGTTCGTGTTGGCCGCATAGAGATGCTCTCATTCTCGCAGTTCCCCAAGGACATTGAGGGGCTGCCATCCTGGGTGCCGGACTGGAGGTCAACACTGGAACATTCGTACTTGTACGCCTTTGAGGACGCAGATAAGCTCATTGTGCAGGCTTCTGGCGAGAGCTCGATCGAGCTCGTACCCACGGACAACCGCGGCGTGCTCGGGATTCGGGGTATGATTGTCGACATCATCGAAACAACAGGCGATGTATGGAGGTGGGAAACAGACCGAGAATTCCGCTACAAACTTCTCCAGACGATCAGAACCTTGTGCGAGGAGGCAGCGGCAAAGGGATTTGGCCACGAGATTTACGAACATAACGACAGGCAGGCGGAAGCCATGTGGAGGGTGCCCGTGGCAGATCTGTACTGGACCAAAGGGGTCAGCTACCACCGACCCGGTTCAGCCGTCAAGAGCGACTACGAGGACTGCATGAATGTCCTCAGGCTACTCTCCCTGACATTCGAGTCCTTCCCCCAAGAGGAACGCCAGCAGCTTTTGGACGATTTCTACAGACAGATTCCGGGGCAGTCCAATTACAGCGAAAACATGGACAAGCTGTCTGGTAAGCGCCCGTATATGACGCGGCAGGGATACTTGGGCATGGGCCCGGGCGAGGCATGCCCGGGCGATGTGGTGGTGATACTGCTCGGCTCTCGGATCCCGTATGTCCTGAGACCGTCCGGAGACGGGACGATGTACTGTTTCGTAGGGGAGGCATACTGCGATGGAGTCATGGACGGCGAGTTGTTGACTAAGCGGGAGAAGACGACGTTTCTGATTGCTTGAGTCGGCTGGTCGACCATTCACAAGAGGAGGGGGAGAGGACACGTCTGAGTTTCGTGGGAGGCAAAGGAGCGCTCGAGCAGCAAAGTTTTGTTTTATCTGGGGTACTCGTCGAGTGTTTCCTCGAAAGGTGTTCTGTTCAACCGTCCGATCTCTGTGAAAAGTCTATGGAAAGAAAAGCCAGTTCCCCCAATACCCGCCGTGATGTGATGGTATGAATGCAATCTCTGATACATCAACAAGAAAATGAGAGATAGGAAATAGTCAGGTAGAGACTGAAGGGTATTTCAAAAAGTGAAAAAAAAGAATCCAATTTGGAATTTCGCGCGCTGCTTTTTTTGCACGCTGATAAGATATGCTGCCCCAAAAATGATAAACTCCTTTCGCTCGGCCAGAGCGGAAATATTGCCAGAAACCTCCCAGACCTTGATCTGGCGCTATGAACATTGAAGCATGAACAGTGAGCCCAACCCTGGCCCAAGACTGCGCAAGTACGTATCCGTGAGCGGAACTTCGTACTGCTATGAACCCTGCGATCGAGCCGCAGACAACCCGTTTCCCACACAGTCTCTCTCCTCAACTCATCCGCTGCGCCGTGGATTTGCTCAGTGGTCGTTGTAGTCCTCGTCTCTCATGGTGTACATGATGTCTTGGATAACAACCGCCCTGATGTGGTGGTACAGAACGAAGCAGTAAGCTCCGAGTAGACAGACACTCATTCCTGTTGCGAACCATTTCACCGCCTCGTTGCCTAGTTGGTTGGCGATGGTGATGGTGGCGAGAGTGAAACCCGTGTTGGGGAAGACCATGGCCCACCAACCCAAGTGGAAGTAGACAGGCGGCGATGAGATGACGGCGATGGTCGCAATGCCGAACCACCAGGCAGCCAACGCCCAAAGGAAGATAGCGCTCATAAGAGCGATGGTCCTGATGATACCGGCGTCGATAATGATTCCATCACGGTCAGGGTCGAGGTTGTTGGGGAGTCCGTTGGCCATGCCGATGAGAGCGAGAGCAGTGAAGGCCGGGGGACCGACGTTCATGAACAGACCAGGGCGATGCTCACGGTGAGGGAGACCTGCGGACATGAGGCGGCCGACCATGTGTGCGTACATGAGAACGGCGACGGACAGACCAAGACCCTGGCAAGTGAGGCCGGCAATGACAATAGGTACCGCCGCGATCTCGGGCTGGGTGTCGGCGATGACGGAGGCGATGGTGCCAGTAAGCATGATGGGGAAGATGGGCAGAATCCATGTCGGCATCATGGTCTGGAGACCAAAGTTGTGCCTAGCAAAGACGAAGCTGTACTGGCCGATGGCCAACATGAGCGTGACGATGAGGTAGCCCCAGAAGGCAACCTGGATGGCCCAGACAAGGGTCTCATCGTTCTCGGGGATGGCGTATCGGTTCGTGCTGGTGATGAGCGTTGCGATGGACAGGAAGAAAGTTGGGAAGAAGAAACCCTCACGTTCGTGCGTCAGGGACTTCTTCATATCTCCGGGGTAAAGGAAGAATCTTGTCAACATGGCGGAGCAGACGAGGACGAAGAGGATGATGTTGATGACATAGACGACGGTACCGATTTGCCTCAGTCCGGGGAACTGATGAGGTTGTGCGAAGATGAGGAGCGCGAGACCTCCCGTGCTCATGGTGAGGGTGTACCACGCCCAGGTAAAGTGGTGAATACGCGCCTTCCAGCCCATCCTCGGGCGGTTGGGGTCGTTGATGTCGATCATTCCGAGGCCGGGAACATCGCGCAGGTGGCCATGAGCGGCGCCGTGAGGTGTCGTTCCCTTTTCCACGACGGGCGTGATGGATGTGTTGTAGCCGTCCTTCTCGTTCTCCTTGCCCTTCTTCTCGTCGACGAATCCGAGGTCCAGTGGTGCCAACTTGGGTGAGTTTGGTCTGGAAGTCTGCCACTCTGCCGAGTTCTTGCGTGTCGACATCTCGGATTCGGTCCAAGCCGAGTGTTGGGGATCTCTCCGATCCATTGTGGAATTCTTTTATTTTTTATTTTTTTTATATGATGGTGTATATGCTCGCTGGTAGTGACCGGTCGAAGCAGAAAACAGGCAAAGCACGTCGAATCTCGCAGAGAATAAGTCGTTCGCTCGCGTATGCGGTTGTTGAGTGAGTGTCGGTTTGTGGGTAAAGACCAAACAAGAAGAAACTGGGGAAAGATGGGGAATGAAGTTGTTGATATATGGAGGCGACGATGGTGATGTTGTTGACCAAAAACCAAACAGAACTGAAAAAGGGGCACTTGCTGTCGCTGAACAAGGGGATTCCGGCTCCAATGAATTGATGCTAAGATTGGAGGTCTTGGACCGGATGATATATCTTGGGAGACTGGAGAAGATGAGAGGGTGCGTAATGAGTCCGGTTCTTCAGACCAAGCCCTGGTTCTCAGAATAGATACAGACTGACTGACAAAACAGGGTATCAGTCCGGTGGGGACAGGTACGTGCAGTCAAGTCAAAGTGAGAGGCATCAGGAGCAGCAGGAAGCAGGGGGGAGTGAAGAGAGAACAAAAATACACCAAAGTGTGTGCGTATGAGACGAGACAGTCCGGTAACTGGAGACTGGACGTATTTGGTTTCTGCCACCCTTGTTTGAGAAGTGGAGGTTGTATGGCAGAAGGGGGATGGATGTGTCTGCTGTCTCTGTCTCCTCCAGGTGTTTGTGAGGCTCACTGACCTTGGAACAACTGTGCGGTACGAGAGAGGGCACGTCTCAACACCAAATTTGGCTCAAAGTTAAGACGGGAGACCCGCAGGAGGGCGTATGTAGTAGGGTGTCCGTTCTATTTATGCCAAGGAACGCAATATTGGGCTGCGAGATGAGGATATGGACGAGCAACGAGGAAGATCCACAGATATGAAGATCCGAGGTGGGCGGCAATACCGCATCGCGGTAACATATGGTTACGTTGGGCTCGGTGGCCGAGTGTTAACACATTCTGCTGTTCTGCATACCAAGGCCTACAAGCTTGCTGCTGTGGATGTATATGTGCAGTATGCAGTGTGAGTGCGCAGTGAAAAGACGTGTATTGAGGCTCTTTGAGAGAAACGTGGGCTGGCGTTTGGGTGCGTCGTGGTGGCGGCCGGCCGGCTCGCGGGTTTTCAAGACGTACCCCCACGACCGACCATGCACAGGGTGACCCAGATGAGCGACGACCGTTCGCCAGAAGAGGAAGGATCTCGAGGCCAGGGGTTGGCTGTCGTGGGTCCGGCAAGGTGGCGAGCAAGAGGATGTGCAGGCTGGTGGTTGAAGGAGAGTTATGGTGAAGGGCGCCTACCGTCGCCTGTCTCAGACCAGGGTCACAAATGCGGCAGCTGATGTACATTGATAGGAGAGAAGAACCTGCGGCCAGGGTCAAGGGGCAGGCCCATCGATGTGAAGTGATACAAGCCTCGAAGTATTTTGGGGCCCGAGGGGTACTCCTGGATCGACACGGCTTGGGCAAAGACAGCAGTTCGGTCGTAGCCGTGCCAAGGCCGCAATGAGAGAGAGGCGTGCCAGGACGGGAGATGGACTGGGAGTGCGTATGAGATACTCAGAAAGAGAATGAGAGGTAGGTTGTGTTGGCCAATCGGGGGGCCGCCAGGACACCAAGGCCGCGAATCCTCGCATGTAGGGGCCGTGTGTCACACACATCCGCGGTTGGCTTGCTTCTTTGATTCATTCTTCAAGACTTCCTCATCTGAACAATGGTGGATGGGGGCCATCTCGACGTCGATCACCCACGCACAGCACGGGAAATGGAGGGGACCATCTTAGCCTATGGCCCTCTCTGAACTGCTGCTTTTCCTGCACCTATCCGTACGGACTCACAGACGCAGAGAACGTCCAGGGGTGCCGGGGTGGCTGGTAGGTTATGAATCGGGGAATATTAATAGCCCATGCATACGCCTGTCCAAAGCTCGCTTCAGGGTGGGCTGGAACATCACGTCTTTCGCAGATACCAGATGGCGTAGTCGTGAATACGTACGGAGTAGTAGGATACATCATCAAATGCGGTGAAGAGCAGCAGCAGCGAACGTACGAAGTACTGTATCCGATCTCAGATTTCGGGCCCATCAGAGACATTCATGTAGGACACGCACCGTGACGCACGTCAGAGACGAAGGGGGCGTCTGCGCACGCGCGGCGCGCTTCTTTCGCTGCGGTCCGCCCTTCCCTTTCCCTCCCTCCCGCGCCGTCGCCGCCGCCACCACGGGGGGATGATGCTGGCAGCTGCAGAGCAACGATTTCATTGCAGTCTGCAGCAAGCATCAAGCACAACTCGAGTTGGGAAGGGCAGATGCGTGTGTATCCCTCACGGGGGACCCCCGGCTGTCCGAGCCGGGACATTCGTTTCACGATCTGAGCTCTGGCCGCCAAGAGATGGGAGGACCCGCCTCTTGGACCTCGAAACACGTTACTGGATGTTGATGAGAGAAGAGCAATGACGGAATTCGCATGCAGAAGTTTTTTTTTTTCTTTCCAAACTCCTGTGCTCTGCATATTTGCCCTCAACTGGCTTTACCCTGTTTGCTGACTGTTGCTGCTGCTGCCCGCCGCATGGACTTGTGAGGATGGAGACGAAAAGGGCCAAGCCGGCCTCAACAATATTGGACTCCTGCCAGCTCGTGTCTATAGTCTTGGCCGCAGTTCGCGCACTGAGAAGAAGAAGCGTTCATAATGAAGTGCTGCGCATCTTTGCCAAGGCCGACTCTAGCTTGACATTTCGAATAATTGTTCCCGTATATCGTGACGAAACTGAGGAAATGCTCCATGTGGTTCATCTGCAAACATCGCCCTGCCACAATATGTTCAGTGTCCTCAACCTTAACCAAACACTCGAGAATCTCCACTTGCAATGGAGACGAAAATGTGTCGGGACCGAATAAGAGCCTCGACACAGAACGTCTACTGCAGCAGAAGGGCCGCCGGGGGTTGCAGTGAAGGGGATCCTCTGGCGTCGAGCCCGGATTCTTCCCTCTCCAGTGTTTAGTGTATTTTCGGCGGCAGCGCAAGTTTGACGGGATTCAGGAGACGGAACCCACCCGGGCGAAACACCGCTCTGGCCGGACATGTGAAGAAGGCGACCAGGGATCTGGTTCGGGACAGAGATAAGCGTCGAACAGCCAACGGTGACACTCGACGGGGATCAGTAACCATTCCCTCCTCTTCCTCAACTTGATTTCCACACTCAACCTAAGAGTTAGAGACTCAGACTTCATTAACATGACCCCTGGAAAAGCCGCCGTGCCTGTCCCGCTGTCGGGCCTGCGGCTGTCCCACCCGTCCAAATTAATATAGAAGTCAAAAAAGAGGGCCGCCTGTCCCGCTGCCTTCCCAGTTTGCCTCTTTCAGGTGCGCCCTCCCTGGCCATAACTTCAGAAGTCTCACACCTCACCACCCCTGGCGCCCTGGACTTTCGGGTCTTGGAAGCTTCATGGGTGGCTGGCCCTCGTCGATTCGCAGGTCGTAGATTTTTTGACAGCTTGGACGATGACGAAGATGGACAAAAGACAGATTGCTTGTCACGGAAGATTTCTGCTGATGGTCCTCCACCTCTTGATCGACGTCTTGGATGCCCAAAGAGCCGTGCCGTTCGAGCCTAAAGTGACAGTGATGACAATTCATTGTTCAATGCCCGCTACGCCTACCGATATTAGTGGCAGCGAGCACTGGACACTGGCGAGTGACGAGACCGTACACAGACAGCCGCCACAAAACGTGGTCCTAGATGTCTTAGCCCCTTGGCCGTCCATCCATCAGACTGAGTAGAAAGAGGGTGTGCATAAGTGCAACCGCAAATCATAGCTGGCTTATTTCTAGACCACAGAGACTCTCAAAGGTGCTCGGTGAAGTTCCCGTTCGCTTTGCGTGTGAGGCTTAAACAAAATACCACCACACGATGCCGGATAGGAGCAGCTCACAAACATTTGAGTAATTCGGACGAATGCTGGCGGCCCTGCAGACTGAAGCGGTAGAGAGCTGGACGATGTGCGTTATCAGAGATGCTAAACGTACAAAGCTCCTAGAGCCACCAGTTTCTATTCTCGTGAACTCTTGGCTCTTGTTTCTTCTTTTGAACCCACAATCCGGTTGTCACTCGCATCGCGGCTTGTTTTCATGTTCAATCGCGAGCAAAGTCTCGATAATGCAACACATCTCCCGAGCAAGCAACTTGGCGTTCTATCGCCACTGATTGCTCCACACCAACACAGAAACAGCCTCACAGAGCAGTTAATTGTGCACCGCAACCCAATGAAGCTCTCAAGGCAAAAAGTATATGGAACGCCAAGATGATGCATCGCGAATGGGATATCGCCAATAAAGGCAATTCAAGAGCACGTATTTCTCTGAGGCAAAGTCCGGTGCAACAACCAAAACGCCCTGCCCATGCGACCTCATCTAGCATATTTTGACGTTCCTCGCTTGCTGACTTGGCTTTCAATAGGGCGCCGGCGGGTTTGCACATCTACATCTGCATCAACCCGTTCCGGTAGCTTCTTCTTCTTGCTCAATCTCTTGGCCAGATTGGGTGGCATGATCTACCAACCGCCCAGCGCCAAGTAGGAAAATCCACATCTTCTACCTTCCCCTTGCCCACATGGCGCTTCAGCGAAGCCCACAACCGGTCAACGGAGTCCAAGGCGGCTTTTCTTCATGTCTTACTGTTGTATTGCAGCCAGCGGTGCCAGCTAACCAGTGCAGGACGATCACATCTACACTACGACTGACTGCGACACCGCCGCCGCATCGCCAAGGCGCACCTCGAAACGTCCGGCTCAACGCCCGCGGTGCGACGATAAGCATTGCCCGGCTGCCTCCACTGCCGTGTTAGCAACATTGGCAATGCACCGCCGCATCATAGAAGAGGGTCTATGTCGATGATAAGAGGGACGGACTCATCAACTATTAACTTCCCGCCGTGGCAGTGGACACTACCTCTTGGCGAGAGCCTCACTTCTTACCCACTCAACCACAACGAGACTTG